ACTATATTCCAGTACACACGTGTATATTCAAGGTCATACTTTACTGACTTGCAACACTATTTCCCACACCCAGCAATTCGACTTTTCAGGGTTATGCCAACGGCAATGTTGTTGGTGGAAAACGACTTTGTATCGTACAGTAAACAAAGACCTGGGTGTCATCAATCATGGTATCATCTTTTTGCCAGCCGATCCACCAGCACCTTCACCTGGTCTGGTGCCAGGTATCTCGCCTGCAACAGAAACAAAGGAGAGTGGAGCAACACCACCATTCACATCAGAAAGCATATCAAGCTGATTCGCATTTGCAGTGCCATCTATAATAGCTGCCTTACAGCAAGGAATAACACACATGGCAGAAAATCTGGGTATTTCCGCTGGCAATCTCACTCCTGAAAAGTCACTCTCACCTGAAGAAACATTCTGTCAGCCTCCGCTTGGTTGCCATTATCCTTGAGAAACAAGCCCTGCATATCGCACCACACGCGCAAACACACACAAGGCGTGGCTTGTCCTGACAGAATGCAGCATGATTTAGTGATGTTTAGTCTTCAATTTCAGAAGCTGAGGCAGATGCCAACATGTCCCGTTGATAAGATGCCACAAAAGCCGTTCTTTTACGCACCGATTGTTGAGTGGAATCAAAGGAGGATGAGGCAGATGCACGGCTTAGCAGCCATCATCAATCCACCACACATAAGATCCCCACCCTAGCATAGCTCAAGCTCAACTTTCAGAACCAAATGCACATGTGGGTTGCGGTTGCCATGCACACAAGCCTGACAACACACTGAATCAGCAGCACCGTGTGACTTTAGAGTCGACTCAAAGGTCACCCAATGCACATGTGGATTGCCATGTCTCGGAAGCCATCCAAGGTGACTGTAAAGTCAAACACACCTTGGCGAGGTAACCTTGGAAGTCGTCCGGGCGCGAGGCAATGAGCCCGACGTACACCGCAGCAGCAACTGTTGATGCTGTTGCGTTGACAGTTGACCTTTTGATATTGTTGTGTTGACCCACAAAGCCATGCCAAACACACCTTGGCAAGGTAGCCTCGGAAGTCGTCCGGGCGTGAGGCGATGAGCCCATCGTACACCGCAGCGGCATCCTTGATGTTGCTGCCTTACTCAAAAAGTCATCCCATACAGACCTATGCATGTGTGAACACCCAGACACATACATACACCAGAACAGACCAAACAGACCTTGGCCAGGTAGCCTCGGAAGTCGTCCGCGCGGGAGGCAATGAGCCCGTCGTACACCGCAGCCGCATCCCCCGGCCGCCCCCACGCCGCATACGCCTTCCCCAGCAGCAGCGCCACCTGCACCTCATCCGCCACCCCCTCCTGCTCCTCCGCCTCCTTCCCTGCTGCTGCTTCCACCCGCTGCCCGCGCTGCCAGCAGCTCGTCCACTGCCTGTGGGGGGATGCATAGAGGGAGTGGTGGCAGGGAAAGGGGTTGGGAGGGGAAGGATTTCAGAGGCAGACTTTAGAAGGCAGATGTGAGTCTCTGGAGTGCTGCTGCAGCCAATGCTTTTGAGTCGACTCAAAAGGGGATGGAAGAGAAGGTGGATTTCAGAGGAAGACTTTGAAAGGCAGATGTGAGTCTCTGAAGTGCTGCTGCAGCCTATGCTGCAGCGGCATTGGCTGCAGGGTATGCTTTGTCGCACAGCATACGTTTTCGCTAGCAGCAGCGCCACTTCCAACCTCCCACCCCCTGCTGCTGCTGCTGCTGCTGCTACCCTGCTGTCGCATGTGAGCAGCGCATGCCAGTCAGGGTGAAGCAGGAAGGGGGAAGGGAGGGGGAGAGGAACTGTAGGGAAGAGGGAAGGTGGGACGAAGGCTTTTGAGTAAGAGAGAACGAAAGACGGAGGGAAGGTGGGGAGGACACCCTTGAAGGAAAACCTTTGAGACAACGCCGCTGCAGCACTAACAGTCGGTGTCTGTCGGTGTCTGTTCGTGCTGCTTGTAGCTGCCCTGCTTGACAATGCACATGCCCCCCCCCCCCCCCAAATAGTTTGTCCACGCTACATACATGCCATGCCATGCCATACCATGCCATGCCATCCCATGCCATGCTATCCCCTACCCTTCCATCCCATTCCATCCCACACCACCGCGCCGCACCGCACAGCACCACACGCACCTGCTGCGGCTTGTTGTCAGCCAGCAGAGCGCCTGTCAGCCCCTGCAGCACCTCCAGAGACTCCACAGGCGATATCTGATGGAGTGAAGAAGAGGAAGAGAGGATGGGAGGAGAGGGGAGGAGGGGAGGTTGGGAGGGAGGCAAAGAGGGAGGAAGGGAGGGAGGGAGGTAGGCGAGGGGAGGAGGGGAGGGAGGCAGATGTGTCGTGATGTGATATGATGTGATGTGACGTGATGTGATGTGATGCGATGTGATGCGATGTGATGGGATGTGATGGGATGTGATGGGATGTGATGCGATGTGATGGGATGTGATGGGATGTGATGGGATGTGATGTGATGCGATGCGATGCGATGTGTTGTGAATTCGGCAACTTCACCTTGCAGTACTCCTCCTCACCTTGCAGCAATGCGTCTCACCCTGACAGCCTGCTTGTAGGCAGCAGCGCTGGCGCCATACTCGCCCAGCTCGAATCGCACCTCCCATCTTATGTTTTTTGAGAATTCTCAAAAAACATACGCCTCTCCCGCCCACCGCCCCTGCTGCCATGCGTCTCACCTTGATTGCCCGCCTGTAAGCCGCAGCACTGGCACCATACTCGCCCAGCTCAAATCGCACCTCCCCCAGAAGGCGCTGCACCTCGGGATCCTCCGGGGCGACCTGAGAGGCAACACAATGGGGACGAGGCGGAGGCGAGCATGGTAAGCTCACAAGTGCACAGGCGTATCAAGATGCTTGGTCCCCGTGCGTGCAATCAAGCTGCTTGGTCCACGTGCGTGCAATCAAGCTGCTTGGTCCACGTGCGTGCAATCAAGCTGCTTGGTCCACGTGCGTGCAATCAAGCTGCTTGGTCCACGTGCGTGCAATCAAGCTGCTTGGTCCACGTGCGTGCAATCAAGCTGCTTGGTCCACGTGCGTGCAATCAAGCTGCTTGGTCCACGTGCGTGCAATCAAGCTGCTTGGTCCACGTGCGTGCAATCAAGCTGCTTGGTCCACGTGCGTGCAATCAAGATGCTTTTATGAGCCTTAGTGCCAGTGCCCGACTTCGAATCAAACTTTGAGGCGCCTCAAAAATAGATACAAGGTGTTTTTACGAGCCCCTTAGTGCCCGAGTTCAAATTGCCAGAAAGAGCTTCCCAGCTGCCCCTGCTGCCCCTCTGTATCATGCTCCACCCTCACTCCTCACCCTTCACATCCCACCCTCATTCCAGAACCAGAAGGAACGCAACAAGCATGGAATAATAGAAAAACACACGTAGGGAACATGCCTGGCTGAGCTGCTCCAGGCGTTGAGCCGCCTGCCCGTACTACCCTAGCTCCGCATACAGCATATACCCCTGCTCCCTCTAGCACCTCCCTGTTGCCCATGCTGCCCCTTCCCGTACAATGCTACAAGCCTACAACCCAAGAAGGCGGTTTTGCAATGAACATGCCTGGCTGAGCTGCTCCAGGCGTTGAGCCGCCTGCCCATACTGCCCCAGCTCCGCATGCAGCACTGCAGCTCCCTCCAGTGCCTCCCGGTTGTCTGGTGTGGCCGCCAGCCGCCCCTCAAACTCCTTCAGTTGGTCCTGCGGGGTTTATGGGGGGGGGTGGAGAGAGGGAATAGCAGGGGGAGCAGGGGAAGCAGAGGCGATACTTGAGCCGCCTGTCCATACTGCCCCAGCTCAGCATGCAGCACGGCAGCCCCCTCCCGCGCCTCCCTGTTGCCCGGTGTGGCGGCCAGCCGCCCCTCAAACTCCTTCAGCTGGTCCTGCGGGGTTTATAGGGGGAGCAGAGCAGGGGGAGAAGTGGAAGCAGAGGCGATGCTTGAGCCGCCTGCCCATACTGCCCCAGCCGGTCCAGCGGGATACATGGGGGGGTCAGTGGGCACAGAGTGAGCGCGACAGGCAGCGAGGGTTGGGGGAAGGGTGGGTGGGTGGGAGGGAGGGAGGGAGGAGAAGGATGATACGGACAGACAGAGAAGAAGTGGGAAAAACAGCTGCTGAACTTTTGAGTCGACTCAAAAGGCAGCGAGGGTTGGGGGAAGGGTGGGTGGGTGGGAGGGGGGGAGGGAGGAGAAGGATGATACGGACAGACAGAGAAGAAGTGGGAAAAACAGCTGCTGAACTGGTTTTTGAGAATTCTCAAAAACCAGCTGGGAGGGGGGGAGGAGAGGGATGAGACAGACAGAGAGAGAAAAAGTGGGAAAAACGGCTGCTGAACGAGTGCACTTGTGGAGGTAAAGAGACGACGAGACGGGAAAAGCGACTGCTGAGCGAGTGCTCTGCTGAAGCGGGGTGTAAATATGTGCAACACGGCATGCATGAGGGCGGTGGGGTGGGAAGTAAGGGAGGGAGCAAGGACTCACCTCTCGCTGCTTCCTCTGAGCGTCGCTCATCTTGCAGACAGCAATACCACTCGTGTGTTTGAGTCGGCTCAATACATGGGTATATGTAAGGGGGAGAGCAGCAGGAAGCAAGGGAAGCAAGGGAGGGAGGGAGGGCTCACCTCTCGCTGCTTCCTCTGAGCGTCGCTCATCTTGTTCACTGCAATGCCACTCGCATCCACCATCTGCTGCTGCCTGGAACACGGCGGATTTAGGATGGGTTGAGTGCGGTTGGACAACTTTAGGAGGAAGATTAAGAGAAATACATGCTGTGGGTAGGATTCGCAAATGGTTGGTTGGGAGCACAGTGGAAGGTCTTTGACTGAGAATGGGGATAGAGCTGCCTCTTGCTATCATGATTCATGATGCTTCTGAGGTCTGAGATTTATCAGAAGCACCAGGAGGAGGTCTTAGACTGAGAATGAGGGGGTCTAGCTATCATGATGCTTCTGAGGTCTGAGATTTCCCAGAAGCATCAGGAGGTCTTACACTGAGAATTAGGGGACAAATATGTCTCTATTAAGCATCAAGGACCAGGCCAGACACATAACCCTACACATGCACGTAACCAGCCAATGGGGTTCTTCGTTGATAGTCACATACGGGGGGGAGGAAGGGGTGGGGAGAATGTCTCCGAAGGCGAAGATGGCTGCAAACACCGTAGCCGCTATGCCAATGCCAATCTGCCACGTACAGCACATTAAGGGGGAAGGGGGGGCGAAGAGAAAGCATGTAATCATGAGGCAACCGGAGAAAGATTGACATACAAAGGAGGGCCAGGCGCGGGGAGAATGCCTCCGAGGGCGAATATGGCTGCGAACACTGTAGCCGCTACGCCAATGCCAATGCCACATACACAGGGGAGGGATCAGAAGGGGAAGGATGAAACCGTGAGGCAGCAGGAGAAATGATTGACATACGAAAGGGGGGCGGGGGCGGGGAGAATGCGTCTGCAGGCGAACATGGCAGCAAACACCGTGGCCGCTATGCCAATGCCGATCTGTCGGAGAAACAGCTCTGGCTGCCATTTGTGACACAGCTCTGCCTGTCATTTGTCCTGCAATCTGATGCTCTTCCTCTCTTTGGCTTCTAGTGCTGCCTCAGCCACTCCCTGCCCCCTCCTGTGCCCGTGCTTGAGCAGCTTGAGCACGGGTCACAGGACCAGTACGCTGAGGCTCGGTTCCCCTTATCACAGCAGTGTTCGTCTGGTGTTCCTTCAGCTGCGCCCCTTTCTCATTTTCCAGTACCAGCACTCCTGAAGGGCGCACCTCCTTGACTCTCCAACGCACTGTCCCCAATCCCACATCCAGAGTGTCTTGCTTCGCTCTCTTCAGATAGACTTCCTGTCCTTCACATACGCCCCTCTGCACTTTCCCCTCTCCCTTGCGTTGCCTCTGCTCATATCTCCTGGCATCTCGCAGCTGCGCGGTGTGCAGGTTCTCCAGCGCGGCCGGCATCATGAAGCGCATGTAGCGTGCCCGGACATCAGACAGGGCCACCTAGTTCTTGATTGTGCCTGCTGTCACTGTGTCTGTCAGAACCCGTGGTGCCCCCACTGGCAGGATCGGCTCTCGTCCGTATAGCAGACTGTAGGGTGAATGATCGCGCAGTGCTGCCTGCTTCCCGAATCTGTACCCAGCCGCTATCCAGTCCAGCTCATCATCCCAATCCCTCTTTCTCTGCTCCCCATAGGCACGCAGCCCTCGCTAAATAGTCTGTACTATGCGCTCAGTCAGCCCGTCACTTTGCGGGTGGTAGCGGGAGGTGCGTCGGTGAGTGATGCCGGATTCCAACAGCAACTTCTTGAACTCCCCCTGGAACTCGGTTCCCTGATCTGTAAGAACCTCTCCGCATGCTCCAAAGCGACACACTACCTGCGCCTTGAAAGCCGCTGCAATGTGTCTTGCGCTCTTGCTAGTGATCGCTCGCACCTCCAGCCACTTACTCACATGCTCAACCATGAGCACTATGTACTGGTTCCCGCTCCTGCTTAACGGCAGCTCTCCCGTCAGGTCCAGGGACCATCGAAATCCTAAGCCACAGATGGGTAGTGACTGCAGCTCTGCCTTGGCCTGCGTCAGGTTGGCCTTGCTCCTCTGGCACGCCTCAGACCCCTCTACCCACTCCTTCACCTGCCTGCGCATCCCTTCCCACCACCAGCCTGTCTTCAGCAGATGTACAGTCCTCTCATGCCCGAAATGTCCCAGCTTAGTGTGCACTTCTCTGATCACTGCTTCTCGCTCCTGCGGCGCTGGCACCAGCTTCCATCCATCTTCGGTCTTGATTTGCAGCTGTTGTTGATACCACCTGTAGTGGTGTCCTCGCGCCCTCACCCTCTCAGACACGTTCTCGTCCTCCTCGGTCTCTCCCTTCACCCATTCCATTGCCTTCTCATCTTGCCATAAGTCAGCTGGCCCCTTGCTCCCCTTAGCGCCGTTCAACTCCACCTCTCTGGCCAGCAGGATCAGTGTCTGCGCGGGTTCCTGCTCTGTCCTCCCTTTCTCCTGCTCTGTCTGTTCAGGCTCCAGTGGTGGCGGGTTGCGGGAAAGGCCGTCGACGTGCTGCCACCGTTGCCGGATTCCAACAGCAACAGCGTCTTTCCTGGTCGGTGCCGGATCTTAAAGTCATACTCCTGCAGCTTTACTGCCCACCTCGCGTTCCTGCCCGTCAGCCCTGGTGTGGTCATCAGCCATGTGAGCGGCTGATGGTCAGTGACCAGGGTGAACTCTCTGCCCTGTAAGTACACCCTGAAGTGCCCCACCGCCCACACTGCTGCCAGCCCTTCGCCGATGTATGAACTGTACTGAGCCTCTGCCGCATTGCAGCTCCGGCTAGCATAAGCTACCACCTTCTCGGTCCCCTCCACCTCCTGACAGAGGACTGCCCCCATCCCTTGACTGCTCCAATCGGTGTAGAGGGTGAAGGGTTTATCTGGCGCTGGCAGCTGCAGCACTGTTGCGGTCTTCACTGCAGTCATCAAGTCCTGCAATGCTGTCTTCTGCTCTGCTCCCCACTCCCACGCCTTATCCTCCCGCAGCATTCCGTTCAATACTGTCGCCCTTTTGCTGAAATTGGGCACGAAGCGTCTGTAGTAGCTCAGGAAGCCTAAGACTGCCCGTAGTCCTGACTTGTCGCGCGGCTCCCTCAGCTTGTCCAGCACCTGCACCTTTGCTTGTTGTATCCCTATCTGTCCTCCCTGCACCTCATACCCCAGGTACTGCACAGTCTGCTCCCCCCAGCGGCACTTCTTCGGGTGGCAGGTGAGTCCCGCCCCTTCTATCGCGCTCAGTGTCCTCTCCACGTCCTTGAGGTGCTGCTGTTCGGTCACGCTGAAGATGACCACATCATCGATGTAACACTCCGCACACTCCACTCCCTTAGCACGGCATCCATGACTCTCTGGAACACAGCTGAAGCATTCCTCAAGCCAAAAGGCATGTACAGCCACTCGTACAGCCCATCCGGCCCGTGAAAAGCTGTTTTCCTCACGTCCTCTTCCCTGATCTTGATTTGATTGAAGCCCTGTCGCAGGTTTAATGTCGTGAAGAACACCTCGTCCGCTAATTTGTCGAAGATTTCCTCGGCCATGGGCATGGGGTACCTGTCCGGCACTGTAATTTTGTTGAGTGCCCTGTAATCCCCACACATCCGCCTGCTCAGCACCTCTCCGGTCAAGTCCTTCCTCGCTGCTACCACCGTTGGAGTGGCGTACTGACTCGGACCTCCTGATCAGGCCTGCCTCTAGCAACTCCCTTATCTTCTCCCTGCATATCTCCTCGTCTGCCAGTGTCATCTTCCTTCTCCTGTGGAACACCGGCTCATCGCTGCTCAGCTTCAGCGCCATTTCCTTGACTGTACACTTCCCCAACTCCTGCAGTGAGAAGGCGAAGCACTTCCGGTGTTTGGCCAACAGTGCCCGCATTGCTTCCTTCCCCTCCTCACTCAGGTTCTCTCCTATCTTCCACTCTGGCTTTTCCCCTTTCTAGCAGACCCAAACCCCTTGCCTCACTGTCGCTGCACCTGCCTCTCCTTCCTTCCATCCCCAGAGGAGCACTGTCTCCCTCCACATCCGCTGCACCATCCACCGCATCATGTAGCCATCCATGGCGTTCCCCATTGCCCTCCTCCTCTCCTGCTCACTTACCCCAGGCGCTGCTGTGATGTTCTCCCCGTATCCCATGGCTAGTTCTCGCTACAAGGCCGTAGGTTCCTCCCACTGTCCCTTCTTATGGTCATACACCAGCCTTGGCCCCAGCTTCTCTCCCTCCATCCGGTATCCTGCCGCCCCTTCATACGATACCAGAGTGGGCAGGGCTTGCCTCTCCTGTCCCTCCTGATTGCATGGATAATGCTTGCTGTAACTTCTCTTGCTGACTGGTGCCGGAGTCCTTCCCGGTTCCAGTATGTCGCTCACCTTCCGTCCTCCTGCCCTCTCCACTCCCTCTATCTCTTTCTGCAGTTCTTCCGCTAGCATAACATTCCGCCAGTACGTCCTGAGTCGGTGGGCGAATGCTCCCATCCGCACCGCGTCGCTGCTAACTCCTTTGCCCACTTGTCTCTTCACCCTCTCTCTCACCCTCCTCACATGTTCCCGAACATCTCCTTCCATATCCAGGTGTTCTAGCAGGTACGCCAGCCGGCCCTCCCTATCCTGTAGCCACTCCATGATCCTGAACAAGTCTTCCATCAGTTTGGTCCTGGGGTCTTGGTCACCCCCTCCCCTTCCCTGCCCATGACACACCTTGACACTCCCACCCTGCCACTAACAGGTCCACATGCCCCCAGCTTGCTACTTCGGCTTCAGTTATTGCCCTTACGTCATGTACGCCTCTGCTCATTGCCGCCCTGATCACTTCCGCTTTCAGCAGCTCTGGAAATTCCTCCTGCAGCTTCCAGGCATGATGTTCTGCCATTTTCCTCACCTCTGGTGCCTGCTACACGTATATCCACTGCTTCACAGCTATGCCGTTCCTTACCACTGCTGCCAACCCTGCCCCTATTCCCCCAAACAGCTCCACTAGTCGGATGGGCTGCTGCCAGTCTGTCTGTTGGCGCGGCTTGTCCATGAAGCTCATCCTCTGGTCCACTTCTTCTCCCTCGCCATCTGCACTCTCTTGTGCCCCCTGCTTCGCTGTTATTTCCTTCTGATCCGCGCGGTAGGCCCTCTTCGGCTCTGTCTTTACGAATTGCACCGGCAGCTGGCCTAGCGGCTCCCCCTTCCTCCACCACTTGGTTCTGAACTCCACACTTTCCTTCCAAAAGCATATCGTCATGCCTAATTCGAATATCATCTCCGTGCCCACCAACACGTCGAAATCCTCTGACTCTGAAATCCCGCACCTGATTCTGACTTGCGTCTCATGTCTTTCTCCTTGCAGCACCGTCAGCTCTATTGGAGTCCTGGTGCACGACATCCACTTTGATTCTCCCGCCTCTGCTGTCATCACCAACATCCCCTTCACTACGTGTCTGTCCGGCGCCCCCAAACCCAGTTTCTCAGCCATCCTTTTCCCCAGTATGACGCTCTGTGCCCCTGTGTCTATAATGGCAGTTTTTGCCTTCTCCCCTTCCACGGTCAGTGCTCCATTCTGTATCAGCAGGACTGAGGTCTAGCATGCCAATCTCTCCTGGGTGACGTGCAGCTGTACACTTCTCCTCCTTCTCCTCTGGCTTCTGCCCCTTTTCTTGTTCCTTCTTCACATATTCTCTTCTAGTATCCTTCCCTCCGCTTCGCAGCCCCATCTCCTCTCTTCCCCTCTACGCCATGAAGGTTGGTTGCCCCTCCCGTTCCACATCCTCTTCTTCCTCTTCTCTGTCATCTTCCCTTCCTCCCAAAGCCATTAGTGCAGCTCGCTCCTCTTGTTCTACATCCTCTTCCTCCTCGTCCCTGGCATACATTCCCGCTTCAGCCTCTTGTCGCGGTCCTAATGGCTGTAACTGAGCCTGCAGCCGACTAATCTGCTTCTCCTGTTCCTCCAGCTTCTTCTTCGCCGCTCCATCCTTTTGGTAGCAGTCCTTTGCCATGTGTCCTCCCTTGCCACAGACCTCACACTTCGGCGCTTCAGGGCACTCCCGCCGCCGGTGCCCTGGCTTCCCGCAACAGTCACAGTTTTTGCAGTCCCTGCGAAGGTGTCCCGGGTGTCCGCATCGATGGCATGTCCGAGTTTCTGGCCTGCCCTCTCCTCGCCCCGCTGCCCTGTCCCTCTCTTCAGGCATGATCGCTGCTGCCCAGGTTGGCCCCCGGCTTCTTTCTATAGTCCTGGGCCTGTATGCTTCATATTTTCTCTGTGCGAGCTCCATCTTCTCTGCCAACTCGAAGACCTCATCCAGCGTCGTGTCTGCCCCCAGCTCATACACCTTCATGCGCAACCCATTTCCCATGGAGCTGTCCAACCCATCCAAGAATTTACTGACTAGGAGGCCCATGTCCTCACAAGTCAAGTCCTCTGCCAAGTTAATCAGCCGGTTGTAATAAGTGAGTAAGGACTCACTCCTCCCCTTCCTGAAGTCCTGGAATTCTCTCATCTTCTCTACGGTATGGCCAGGAAACTGCCGCTGCAGCCGCTTCAGAAATGCCTCCGTGGGGTCTTCCCCGTACCTGCCCGCCCTCTCTAGCAGCTCATCCATCCTCATACTGTACAGTGTCTCTGCCTCCCCTTCTAGTGTGTTCGGCAGACTCAGGAAGAAGTCCACTGCATCCATGCCACTCCTTTCGCACCTGTATCTCACGTTCCCCGATTGCATCAAGTAATTCTTCAGCGTCGGCCCCACGCGCTGGTCTCCAGAGAACCGCGTCGGCACTTCCACCCGTGCAACCATCGCTGCACTTCCACGCCCCTCGCCCCATGACTCGCTTGCCCCTTTTTCCTGCCTTCCTGACGTCCCCCCTCCTCTGGCCCGCTCAATTCCCTTTCTTGCTTCTCTGGCGCGTTCCATGCTATTCGCCAGACCGCTGCCCACACCCCTGCTTCTCTGTTGATCCTGCCTTGCTTCCCATCGCCTTTCCTCCCCACCCATCTTTCCTCGTCGATCTGGTGAGTGACACGCACGCGCCCATTCTTCCTCTGGTCCTCGGCGCTGCCAGCGCGGCTCAGGTGTCGGGGATCGCGAATCTCTCCTTCCTTCCTGCCCGCTAGTCCCGCTGGCACCCCTCCTCTTCCCATCTCCCTCCCTGTCTTCGTTGCAGATCACGTTCTGGCGAGCGCGGCCCGCCTCCATGCCTCTCGTTGCCTTGCGAACGCGGATCCAGCGAGCGATATCCGCTGCCCCAGCTCATACCCCATTCTTGGTACTGATCAAACGAGCTCGACTCGCCTCCCCTCCTCCCCTCATGATGGTTGCGCAGATCTGGCGAGCGTGGCCCGCTTCCCTGCCTTCCTTCGTGTTGCTGATACGGATCTGGCGAGCGCACCCCACCTCTCCGCCTCTCGCTATGCTGCCGATACGAATCTGGCGAACGCGACTCGCCTCCACGCCTTCCCTCACGACTCTGGCGCAGATCTGGCGAGCGTGGCCCGCTTCCCCGTGCCCCGTGATGCGGGTGATACGAATTCGGCGAGCGCGACCCGCCTCCCCGCCTACCGCTGCGATATCTCCACGGATCCGAGGAGCGCGACCCGCTTCCCCGCTTCCCGCCCCGATGCTGACGTGGATCCGGCGAGCGCGATCCGCCTCCCCGTCTTCCGTCACGATGCTGACGCGGATCAGGCGAACGCGATTCGCTTCCCCGCCTTCCGTCACGATGCTGACGTGGATCCGGCGAGCGCGACCCGCCTCCCCGCCTTCCGTCACGATGCTGACGCGGATCAGGCGAACGCGATCCGTCTCCTCGCCTCTCGTCACGACGCGGGTGCAGATCTGGCGCGCGCGGACCGCTTCCCCGCTTTCCGTCATGCTGTTGACGCGGATCTGGCGAGTGCAGCGCGTCGCAGCCCTGCTCCCCGCCATACGCCGGCTGCGCGGAAACGTGCGCCTCCCTTCGCGCGCTTTGTCTGCCACCAGTTCCGCCCGTCTCCCCTTCGCCTGCCTTTTCCGCCTCGCCTGGCGCAGGGTCTGCCTCCGTTGCTTCCACGGGCATGTCGCGCTGCCCGCCTGCGTCCTCCTTCCGGACTTCGTCGCCGGCCTCTGCCACGTCATCGCGCTCAGACTCCTGCGAGGTATCCGCCGCGTCGTCCTCTCCTTCTCCGCCGGCGTTGAGGTCTCCCTCTCGGCCCGAAAATAGTCCCTCCAAGCCTCGCCCGCGACTCCGATCTTCGCGACGACGATAGCTTGCTTCCGGTGAGCGGTACGCTCCCGTCTCTTGGCGATACCCAAGATCGCCACCTGCTCCGTGGCGCGGATCCGTCCGCCACGGATCACTCCCCGCCATGACCGATTCCGATCCGCCTGCTCCTTCTCGAGCAGATCCGCCCTCTCGGCGTTCGGGCCAGAGAGGCACCTGATCCGCGCGAAGGGCAGGCCTCCGCGGCGACCTCTCCAGTGATCGCCCACACTCGTGCGAGTATCCGCGCCGCGAGCGATCCTCCTCGCGACGACCATAAGTCCTGCCATAACGCAGCTCAAAACCGTCCATCCTTGCACGCGCGCACCCTTTCCGCTTGTTATGAGAGAGACGTATCTCCCACCCCAAGGGTCCTCCCTGAGTGGTGTGTCACCTAGCTGCAAGATTAAGGCAACAATGTTCCACTATACGAAAGGATAACAAGCGGAAAGCAACGAGTGTGTGTGTGAGAGTGAATTTACCTGGCCCAGGCTCGAAGCGTGCATTTCTCAATGTGCGCCTCGAGCCTGGGTTGGTGCATCCACATTGGTTCCTTGGATTGCACTCCTCGGAGCTCTCCTACCAGCTTCGCGACACTCTCCCTGGTCCCCAACTACCTACACCCCAAATCTTCACATACTACTACACTTAGAACTACACCGCAGCAAAACTGGCACCTTATATGCACAACCGTGCATATTCGGTGACAGATCTGCCACGCACACAGGGGAGGGAACCGAGGGGGGGGGATGATCAGAGTGAAATCAGTTGTCTCTTTGACACAAGCACACCTAAGCTAAGAGGAGGTCCTTGGTGAGAGCAGCCATGTCCACCAGGGGCTCTGTCTGCACTGCAATGCGTTCACCATCATCCGGAACAATGCCAAGAATGACGCCCAAAAGCTTGCTCCACTGCTTCGTGCCAAGCAGCAGCACAGCGCGACTCACCTTAGTGGGAAGGTCCTTGGTGAGAGCAGCGGTGTCCACCAGCGGCTCTGTCTGCGGGTTGTCGTAGTCTATGGCTGCTGTGCTGCTCACCTGCCCCTGCTGCTCCTGAGCCCCTGCAGTGCATGCATCCTCTGACCATGCATCCTCTGACCATGCTGCTCACCTGTCCTCTGACCATGCCACTGCAGCAGCACAGCGCGACTCACCTTAGTGGGGAGGTCCTTGGTGAGAGCAGCGGTGTCCACCAGGGGCTCTGTCTGCGGGTTGTCATAGTCTATGGCTGCTGTGCTTTGCACTGCTTTCGCCCGCTTCTTCTCTTCCGCTTGCCTGAGTATGGGAAGGTAGAGACCGGGGAAAGGCAGAGCAGGGAACAGAGAGAGTGCGTGTGCGGCCATGCGTCTGTCTGTCTGTCTGTCTGCGGGTTGTCATAGTCTATGGCTGCTGTGCTTTGCACCACTACAGCCTGCTTCATCCCCTCTGCCCGCCAGAGAACAAGAAAGGTAAAGACTAGGCAGGGAGTGTTTTTGAGACGTCTCAAAGATAACCTCATAACACGCTGTGCTTTGCACCAGTGCCCCCTGCTTCATCCCCTCTGCTTGCCGGAGAACAAGAAAGGTAAAAACCAGGCAGGGAGTGACGAGGGAGGGAGTGGCAGGGGGAGAGAGGCCAAGGCAAAGAGTCCGGCTGGGGGAAAGAGGCAGGGAGAGTGGGTAAAGGTGCCCCTAAGAGAGGCCAGAGCGGCCTGCATCCTCACAAATCCCTAAGTTAACACATGCACAAACCCCCTTTCCTCCCTCTGAATCCTGTCTCCTCCCACAGTTTCTCCTCCCACAGTTACTCATCAACTCAACATCTCACTTCCCCCAAGCGCTCTGCAACGAGGCGGGCATTGTCTGAGCTCAGACAAGCAACACCAGCACCCTTCTCATCTCATCCCACTCTTGGGCAGCATGGGCGGCCAGAGCAACACTTTCTACAAAAGCCATGACCCCGGCCCTCCCACACCCTTCAGACACGACACCCACCCTTCCTCCCATCCCAACACCCGCGCCCCCATTCACTCTTCCCCCACCCCACCCATCTACTCACCGGCGCACTTCCCTCAGGCGCTCTTCAAACAGCCGGTCATCGTCCGAGGCAGCACGGGAGGGCGCCCTGTGAGAACGGCTTTCCACACGACCCGCCCGCCCATCTCACACTCCTCCCCCACACACCCTTTCCCCCTACCCCACCCATCTGCTCACCGGCGCACTTCCCTCAGGCGCTCCTCAAACAGCCGGTCGTCATCCGAGGCAGCACGGGAGGGCCTCTGAGACACCTCTTGCGCCGCCGACACATCGGGCGCCCACTCTGGCCGTGCAGGAAGTGATGAGGGGGTGGGGGGAGAGGTGTGTATAGTGGGAATATGGGGGTTGACTTTGGTGAAGAAGAGCCTTTGAGACACGTCTTGCGCTGCCGACACATCTGGCGCCCACTCTGGCCGTGCAGGCATGGCACGGCATGGCATGGCACGGCACGGCATGGCGCTGCATGGCATGGCATGGCACGGCATGGCACAGAGAAAATGCACCGGGTTGCTTAGCTTGATTGTTGAAACTTTACAGCTTGAACCACCGTTTTCTGACTAGGGTTTGACTGAGGGCAAAAAAGTGATTGTGATTAGGTGGGCTGGAGGTTACCGTTTTCATTGACGCCTGGGATGGCCGCATCTTGCTTGGGGGGTCCGCTGCCTTTGTTGGGACCGGGCTTCTGAAGATGCATTGTGGAATGGCACGTGGGGTAAAAATGAGATGATATGCCGTGTGAGAAGTCAAGATACGGCATGTGAGATTCCGTGTTCGGGAATGTATGTGCGGTGGTACAATAAGGTATGTGCAATGCCACGTGTGAGGTTCCACGATATGAACGCGAGAGGCCATGCGACAGCACTGCACAAGCAGCACAGCACATAGCAGCGAGAAATGCGTGCCATGGCATGTCGTGACGCTGCACATGATGGCATGGCACACAATGTCCTTGCATGTCATCACTGCATGGTCAGTCATGCATGAATGGTCCTTAGTCTCTCATCAATGATGCATGAATGGTCATCAGCAGCAGACCCTCGAAAATCTTATGCCTGTGTCCCCCTGAACCTCGAATTTGTCCTATCCTAAAAAAGTTCCAACAATGCGTTGAGCACGTTCAACATAGAGGAAGTTTTTATCAATGCGTTGAAGTCGTTTCTGAGAATTCTCAGAAGCAACGCGTCGCATCGCACCCGGCTCTTGCCGTCGTCCGCCTTGCCGAACCCCTTCGCCCCGCCTGTGGCTGCCGTCACCAGCATCACTCTCCTTCGCCCGAGTCCACTCCCCAGTCGCCCGGGCCTCGCGAATGAAATGCTGCGAGCCCCAGCTGGCGCTCGTTGAATCAGCGACGACGACGACGACGACGACGCTGATTGCAGGGAGTTAGCTCCCGCAAGCATGGCTGACGAGCTGCAAGAAACGGCTAAGGACTGCATTGCTGAACCTACTCGAGAGGCCTACGCGAGCCAATCGGTTCAACAAGCACTGCTGCTGACTGCTGTCGTCGGCCTACACTCCTGACGGACGTCGCCCTGAGCGATAACCGTTGCTCGCTAGTGGAATTTTGCTGAACAATTGAGTGAGCTGGTCAGGCCAGGAGTACACTAGCAGAAGGAGCTAGTAGTGTACGGTCATGTGGGAACGTGACGTGGACGTCCCTAGAGCTCTGCTGTGATGAAATCAGGACAATCTGGGACGGTTTGGATAAGGCGAATCTGCGACCTTCGCCGAGCAATAGCTTTTGCGAGCGTCGTGAAGTACGAAATCCTAAACTGGGTAGGGGTGATGTGGGTGTGCGGGCATTCAGCTCAGTGTCCCATTTGCGAAGGGCGAAAGAGTGTTTCATAGCCAGATAAAGTTCGCACTATCAGGTAACTATTTGGACATGCTGTTTTCTTCGCAGAGCTTCTCAAGGGGACTGATTTTTTGTGCAATTCCTCTGCCAAGCACTGGAACCTAGAAATCGAGTCAGCCTAATTTGTTAGTCCTTGTCAGCAATTTCTCATACTCGTCAGCAATCCCGCAAGACCAGTCAGCGATCTCTTGGGCGTCTTAGTATTTCCTTTTCCGCTGCCTCTTAGACATTGTCGCGAGGTTTGCGTTTACTAACTAGTGTTCGTTTTTAGGGCGTGCTCTGGTTGCCTCTCTAAACGCGTACTAAGTAGTCCATTCGACCTCGAGCTAGTGTTAGCGCATTGTTTCGCATACGCGGTTGTCGCAGTGCTTATTCGACGATGACAACGGAGGTCGCGGGTCGCAACATCGTAGTCGCAGTTGACGAGTCCGAGCAAAGCTTCTACGCCTTGCAGTGGTATGCCTGCTGCCTACCACTTTCGCCTTTTTAAAATTACTATTCATTTTCTATTTTGCTCTACGCCTTGAAACCGATTTCGCGAGCTGCGCGCTTTCTTATGCCACAAACGGGTTTTCTCCCCTAGCGCACGCCCATGTGCCGGAAACGTAGGTCGCTCACACCGGCTGCGGGCTTTTTCTCCCGCACATTGTTCCGCAGGGCGTTTGACCACATTATCCGAAAGGACGCCGATAAGACGATACTCGTCACAGTGGAGACGCCCATAACCAGTAGCGCAGGAGGTACATAACGCGTACCTTTTTTCTTATTCCGCATTATCCCGCAGTTCCTTGCGTTGCCATGGTTCTCACATTACTTTCACGCCGGGCGCTTTTCTCCCCTATTCTAGACGTCTTAGAAGTTATTGCGTGTTACTTCCACTTGGGGGTTATTTTCTCCTGTTTTTTACTCCGCCAGCATTCGCGATTCCCGAGGACAACGAGCTGAGCGTGGACGACGACAAAGAGCAGGAGACGAAGAGCGTCGCTGAGAGGGCCGAAGCCATCTGCAAGGAGAACCAGGTAGGCCTCCTTTTTTACAGGGTGGGCTGCTTGCAAAACGGGTGGTGCTGGCTGGGTTATAAACGGGGTGGGCTGGGTTAGTAACGGGCTGGGGGCGTTTTATTACGACGCAAGCTCATAATTAGAGCTGACGTGAAGACCACACCGGCATTGGAAACGACCACCCCAAGTTCTTCCAAACATCTTGACCTAATCTCCAGAGATTGGAAGGAAAGAAAGGAATCAGAACAAAAAACAAGCGTGTCTCGTGTGGGTGTCAGGCGACAAGTGTGACGATGAAGGTGTACCAGGGCGAGGCGAGAGAGGCGATCTGCCAGGCAGGCGTGTGAGGAGAAGTTTGAGGCGTTTCTTTTGAGAAGTGCTTTGAGAAGTGCTTTGAGACGTGTTTTGAGACGTCTGCGTGTGTTGTGTGGGAGGATGACAGGTGACGAGCGTGACCAAGGTGTATCAGGGCGAGGCGAGGGAGGCGATCTGCCAGGCGTGTGAGGAGAACGAGGCGAGCATGCTGGTCATTGGCAGCCATGGCCACGGGCCCGTCAAGAGAAGCTTCCTTGGCTCCGTCAGCGACTACTGCTCCAAATACGCTCGGTCAGTGGGAGCTGTAGGCTGTGCTTCAGTTGAAAGTTGCAATGTGCTTCCATTCCAACCCCCCCCTCCCCTGTGTGCTTCCGACTTTTGAGGCGTCTCAAAAGCTCCTTGGCTCTGTCAGCGACTACTGCTCCAAATACGCCCGGTCAGTGGGGCTTGTGCCGTGCTTCCCCTCCCCCCGTGTGTGCTTCCCCTCCCCCCGTGTGTGCTTCCCCTCCCCCCGTGTGTGCTTCCCCTCCCCCCGTGTGTGCTTCCCCTCCCCCCGTGTGTGCTTCCCCTCCCCCCGTGTGTGCTTCCGCCCCTCGTGTGTCCTTCTGCTGCCTCTTGTGTGTGTGCCTTCCTTTCTGTGTGTGCTCTTCCGCCCCTGTCTGTCCCCTTCTGCCCCTTCTGCGTGCTTGGCCTGTATGTGTGCATCTGCCCCTTCTCTCCTCCTTGACAAGGTGTGTTGTGGCCGCCCTCTGCTCTTTTTGCAGAGCCATCACCCGCACTTCCTTCTTCTCCTCCCCATCCTCCCTCCCGCCCCTTTCCTTGCTTTCTTTCGCTCTCTTGCATTCCTTTTCTTCCAGTGTCCATTCACGACCCTCGTCCCACCACTCAGATCTCCTACTCAAGCCTTTCCCCCCATTAGGCATCCACATTCCCTTGATCACCTCCCCCTCTTATTCCACTTTCTACACCCCTCCTTCACTACCCATGTATGTCCCTCTACCTTACAGGTGTCCAGTAGTTGTAATTCGACCTATCAGCTAACCCACGATTTCAGACATGCCTTCATTGTGACTTGCTATAAGAAGGACCATTGTCTTGGTAAATACCCTCAATTTCACTGTAGTTCCACCGTGGAACTTTCTTACTAGATAGCGCTACTGGGGTGTTCAGGGCAGTAATTTTATTGCAAAAAATCCAATGCAATTCACCAGAAAATTTAACGATACGGTCTTGGAATATATAACATTTCGAAGTGCAACGATGCCGCCTGCCTTGATCCTGTCTCCGAAAAGAAGCATTTTGCTCTTTGGACCATTTTGTTGCGCAACAACGAAGAACGCAATGTGTGGGTTTGTTCAGCTTGCCTCATGTACTAGCAGTTTCGGCGGAAGTTGCGGCAGGCGTAGCTAGGAATTTGCAATTAGGCTGAAGTTGCCACGATTTGAAACCAGCGAATTGCAAATCCGCCAGTAGGTTACTGCACTGTCAGAGGCTCCTAAAAAGTCCGCGCGGGAAACTCCTCTGATGTCACTGTTAGAGGTGCAACAATACAGACGCGACTTTTGAGAGCTAGTATATTTTTTTTTTTTTTTTTTTTTTAGCTGGTTTTGTCTCTTAGAAGAATGTTGTGGCTGGATTGCAGCGGAACAGTCTATAGCGGAGCATCCGCTGGACAGCCAAGGACCAGCGGAATGGCATTGGCCCAATCCTTCCGCCACACACGGAGGTTCCATACCGCGTTTACGATTCCCGCGCGCTCGTTTTCCGTTGGTGGTTTCCTGGCGTCAGGGCAGAGTAAGGGTCCAGGAAAGTCTGCTCGAGCGCCTGTAGCACGCGCGGCAGTAGGCGCTGACGGCTTGTTTGACGGCCAGCGGTTTATGCTGACGCTGGAAGTGACGGAAGGCAAACAGGTAACAGTCACAGTAACGGTAACGATGCCCATTTGCACCTCTTCTCTGCCTATTTGCCATTTAAAGCCCGTTATGACATGACGTCATCATTGCCACCTCTCCCTTGCCACGTGGCAGGCCCAGGCCAAGGATGTCCTAGCTTCGGGCAGGTTCCGAGCCACAGTGCTTCCGGACCTGCCTGCGCCGGCCGGCTTCAGAGATTTCTTGCAGCTGCCCCTCTCTCTGCTTCCACTCCCCTCCTCCTCCTCCTCCTCCTCCTCCTCCTCCTCCTCTCCCCCTCCTACCTCCTCCGTTTCCCACCCTACTTCGTCCCTTCCCAATCCTCCTGTCTCTTCCCTCACTTTCAATGCAAGTTCTCTCGATAAATCAACTCAAAGTCAGAAGATACCCTTAACTGCCAGGGCTGGTAACCAGTCTGTTACAGGCAGCACAACGGGTAGCCAAGCCACTCTGGCAGCTCCAGACAGCTCTGTTGCGGCTCAGGCGGTTGCCCAGGTGCTGACGGTGGCGGCTCAGGTGAAAACAGCAGAGGCGGTGAGGCAGCAGATGGTGGAGAAGGCGGTTCAGGTGGCAGGGGGCAGGGAGGGCAGCTCTCCAGGTGCTCTTCTGCTGCTGTCAGGAGGTGCGTGTAACTGCCTTTAATGCTGCTGCTGCTGCTGCTGCTGCCACTGTCCCAACCCATACAATCCTTCCATTCCCCCCCAGCATGTCCGGATCCGATTGACTCCACAACCCACCACTCAGTGGCCCCCCACCCCCGGACTCATCCCAATCCCCACAGCCCACCCCATGCGCTCCTGGCCACTCGTGAGTCGACTCATGCCCACCAACTCGCTCCACATGCTGCGAGACGCCCACAGGCTGCGGGCGGCAGGGCGAATCCCACAATGTAAGTGCAGCATTGCATTTCGTCGCGTGCATTGTGAGTTTTGAGTGTAGTGCTGCATGCGCATGGTGTGGGTTTTTTGGGCGGTGGATATTGTCTTTTGCTGTGAGGGCAAGGGCGGCAGACTTTGACTTACATTGAGTGCAAAGGCGGCCGCTGTGAGTGCAAGGGAGGTGGGTATCGTATTGTCATACTCTGTGAGTGTGCGACTCTTTGAGTGTGAGGACGTTTTGAGTTAAGTCCGCCGAAATCCATTTTTGAGGAGCCTCAGAAAAGGCATGAGCTGATTTTTGCCCTGCGGTTCTCACTCAGACCGCCTCCCCCTCCCTCCCTCCCTCTCCTGCCCTCCCATGTTTTGAGTCGACTCAAAACTTGAGTTTGACATGGCGAAAATCCGTGAGCTGATTCTACCCAGATTTACATGGCACTGTGGTTCTCACCCAGACCGTCTCCCTCTCCTGCTGCCCTCCCATCCTTCCCAACCCGCACTCCTGTGCCCTTCCCCCTCCCAAGGCGTTCAGTTGTGGGCTGTAGAGAACCCCCTCGTTGCCTCAGTGGACCGACTGGAGCAAAAGGTAAGGCTGAGTGACAGAGTCCCACCACACACACACACACACACACACACACACTACAGGTGGCCTTTTGAGTCAGCTAAGAAGTTATTAGTCACCTCAAGAGTCGACTCAAAAGTTGTGGGCTGTAGAGAACCCCCTCGTTGCCGCGGTGGACCGGCTGGAGCAGTAAGTACGAGCGAATTTTTTTCTCCTTCTTTTCTTTTGTTTTCTTTTCCTTGTTGGTGGATAATATCCATCAATAAATGCAAGTACTTCTGCAGTCGTAACTGTCTTCTTAGAGAGAGAAAGTGCCTTTTCAAAGGTACAAGTGAGCGAGTCTCACCGCACACTACAGCACGCACACGCACGCGTGTGTGTGTGTGTGTTCGTGCGTGCGTGTGCGTGTGTGTGCCTTTCCAAAGGTACAAGTGAGTGAGTCTCACCGCACACTACAGCACATGTCCATCATGGCACACACACGCACGCGCGCACGCACACACTCATATACCCTCTCATTTCCTTGCCCACTCATTTCCGCTCTTCCTCCCCCCACCCCTTGTCCCATCCCATCCACCACACACACATGCATCAGCTGGAGGCGGGAGCAGAGGCCATCTTACTGCAGCCCCCCGTGGTGCCGGGTATAATGGAGTGACTTTTGAGAATTCTCAAAAGTCGCGCCCCGGTGGTGCCGGATACTTTCCTTTGAGTTCTTTGAGAATTCTCAAAAAACAGGTGCCGGATACTTTCCTTTGAGTTCCTTCCCCCTCTTCATTCACTCCCCCGTCCCCCCAACCTTCCTCTCCACACACACCCATTTTTCCAAGCAGCTGGAGGCGGGAGCAGAGGCCATCATACTGCAGCCCCCGGTGGTGCCGGGTACCTTTCAGCAATGGTGGTGTGCGGCTGAACAGAGAGGGTGAGTGAGACTGAGAGGGCGACGAGGCGTGAGTGAGGGGAAAGGGAGAGGCGAGAGGGGGGGGCAGGGAGGGGAAGGCGAAGGGATACGGCAGGAGATCTTGGGGAATATGGGGGAGAAGAAAGGGTGGGAGTTGTCGGCACCCTCTCTTTCTGATTGGAATTTGTCAACGGTGACTCAATCTCTCCTAGCAGCTACCCACCCCTTCTCTGAGCCCTCAAACCCGTGCGTGACATTCAGCTAAACTCGTGATATCTTCCTTTCCCACACTGCCCCTCTCCTCTCCTCTCCTCACCACACCTCCACCATCCTCGCCTCTTGGTTTTCGGCACATTCCAGGTAACATTCAGCAAGCAGCAGCCTCGCTAAACCCTTCCTGGAGGGTTGGTTCTTGGTTGTCTTCTTGGAAGTTGCTCTGTCAAACCCCCATAAACCCTTCCTTTCCTCCCAGCCTCACAACAGCAGTGCCAATGATTATCGGCATGCCTCTCATCACCTCGCCGCGCAACCTCGCCTTCTGGATGCTTCTCACCGACGCTAAGGGGGGTGAAGCTGATGCTGAGATCGCCAGGTTCCGGCAGGCAGAGGAGCAGGTGGCAGGGACGGGCGAGGTGGATGTGGATCAATTCAGGGCGTTTCGCCAGCACTGGACGGAGCAGTACCTCACGCTTGCCACGCAGCTCAAAGGTGGGGAGCCAAGCAGGTCAGAGGTTCCGCCAGGCATAGGAGCAGGTGGCGGGGGCGGGCGAGGTGGACGTGGTGGATGTGGAGCGATTCAGATCGTTCCGCCAGCACTGGACGGAGCAGTACCTCAGACTTGCCACGCAACTGAAAGGTGGGGCTTCGGTATCAGACAAGGGGGCGTGCACACAGAGAGTGCCATGTTGGTATGAGCTTCTTTTAGGGATGACGAGGGGCGGAGAGCTCAACCCCCATGTCTCCACGTTTCCACGTTGCGAGAGTGCACGAGAAAGTCATGCCTTTGTTCCCCCGTTTTCCCCACTCTCCTGCCCCTCTGTTCCCTTCTCGAGGTGCTTGCAGGGGCATCAGGAGTGTATGTCATGCCCATCAACCCGCGTGGATGGAACGACCTGCGTAGTTTGATGTTCACTTCGCGTTCTCACTCCCCCGCTCCCTCTGTTCCCCTATTGTATCGCTTGTAGGGGCTTCAGGGGTGCATTTCATGCCTATCAACCCCCGCGGCTGGAAGGACCTGCGTAGATTAATCTCCACATCACCTGTGTTCTCTAGTCTCTGACGATCTCTGACAGTTGACGATCAGTGTATCGCGTTGTGGTGCCTTCTTGCCTTCCCCGTCCTCCCCTTCCTGAACTCTCTAGATGTGCCAAGCAAACAGCAGTCACCCATTTACAAAAAGGACACGCTTGACGACAAAAGGAAAAAGTGCACCAAAACCACAGACAAGTCACGTATGGTGGAGGTGAGGGGTATCGATCCCCTTACCTATCGCATGCGAAGCGATCGCTCTACCATGTGAGCTACACCCCCATGTCCATTGTTGGACATTAATTTATTTAACTGTATTTTAAAACGTTCAAGCCATTCTCTCGTGTTACAAGCCCACGACTCCCCCTCCGAGGTCCTTCGGATCAGCTTGTCCAGATTCTCTAGTAGGCTGGCGTCAAATTAGTGCGACGCGATGGTGAAAGCGTACTTGCGCTACGAGCAGGAAGCGGTATTCGGTCTCGTAGTATCCCCTTCCTGCGGCAGCATCTGTTTCGACCAATCAGGTCGTTCCATTCTAACCGGCGCGCTCGAACGTTTGCTCGTATGGGACGTGCGAAAGGGCACGCTGCTACAGCAGCTCTCGCCGCAGCCGGCCGGCGCCGGCTACAGCCAAGGGGGCGGCGCGGGTGCGGCCGGCAGCGCAGCCGGCAGCGTGCATGATGCCGTCCCCGCTGTAGCGGACGTGACGGCGATTTGCCCGTCGCCGGCCGACGCGACGCAGGTGGCGGCGGGGTACACGGACGGTACGGTGCGCGTGTGGAACATGGTGGACGGCACGTGTAGGACAAGCCTTGCCGGCCACAGGTCGGCTGTAGCAGTGGTGCGGTACAACGCGGCCGGCGCGCTGCTGGCGTCGGGCGGCAGAGACGCGGACATCGTGGTGTGGGACGTGGCGGGTGAAGTGGGGCTCGTGCGACTGAGGGGCCACAGAGACCAGGTAGGGTTCTGGAATTCCGGGGTTTGAACGGGGTTTGGGAGAATGTATGTGGGTGTGGAAAGATGGTTTTTTTCGCTCATGATCGGACGGCAGAGACGCGTATATCGTTGTGTGGGACGTGGCGGGCGAAGTGGGGCTCGTGCGACTGAGGGGCCACAGAGACCAGGCAAGATCCAGGGTTCAGGGTTTTGGAGGGTTTGAATGTAGTTTCTCCAGTTTGGGAGGATGTAGGCTATGAGGCGCCTCGAAAACCCTTCTACTGAAGGAACGCAGAGGAGAGGCCAGTCAAAGTGTCGCGCTTGGGGTTAATGATGAAGAGAGGATGTAGGTGTGGTAGACAGATGGATCCGCGCATGCTCTACCATCAATCCCCCGTTTTCCTCCCCCATTCACCCCGCTCCCTCCCCCATTCACCCCGCTCCCTCCCCCGATCCCCCGCCATGCAAGTTCTCCAGGATACAGGCCTCACCTTCCTGGTTCCCGTGTGCAGCTCCAGTCGCTGCTGGTAATCTGCAGCAGGGACGCCCAGATCAAGGTGTGGGATCTCGCCCTGCACCACTGCATCCAAACCCTTCCCCTCCCGTGCTCCCTCCATTCCACCCTCCGCTTCTTCAACTCCCCAGGTCACAGACCTAACCTTCCTGGAGGGTACAATGGTGCAGCACCAGTCCCTATTGGTCAGCTGTAGCAGGGACGCGCAGATCAAGGTGTGGGACCTCGCCCTGCACCACTGCATCCAAACCATTGCCGAGCCTCGCGGCGAGCTCTGGACGCTCGCCGTCCACCCGAGCCTGCCCAGGCTCGTCGCTGCCGGCACCGAACCTGAGGTTCTGGTTTTCCAAATCAGGGCGGAGAGGGGGTTGTTGGGGGAGGGGGAGGGGGAGGGGGAGGGGGAAGGGGAACCTGGGGAAGGTGTGAAGGTGGAGGGGGAGGCGAACGGGGGAGGGGTCGCCGGGGGAGGAGGAACAGGAGCAGCAAAAGGAAGTGGGGGAGGAGGCGGGGTGGCAGGGCGGTGGGACGTGCTTATACCGCACGGCAGTATAAGGAGAGTCGTGGGGGTGGGGCAGGGCGCAGAGCGGGCTTTAAGCGTGCGGTTTGACGGCCCAGGGAAAGTCCTAGCCTGCCAGAGTGCTGGCAAGGCTGTTGCGTTGTTTAGGGTGAGGAGCCCTGGTGAGGCGGCTAGGCAGGCTAAGAGGCGGAGGCGGAGACAGGTGGAGAAGGGGAAAGGGAAGGGGGATGAGGGGGAGCGAGAGGGTGAGGAGGCAGGGGAGGGAATGGTGGAGGGGGGAGGAGAAGGGGAGGAGGGAGGGCAGGGGGGGGGGGGAGCGGAAGGGGGAGGGAGGGGCGGGGGTGACTGTGGAGGGGGCAGACGAGTTTGCTTCGATGTTCACCATTCGTTTGAAGCACCGAGTGCGCGCCATTGCGTTTGCACCCAAGGCAGCAGGGGCTGGGGGGAGGGGAGCGGGGAGAGGAGGAGCAGCAGAGCCGTCACTGGCGCTGGCACTACACAATAACAGCGTGGAGGTGAGACGAGGGAGAAAAAGGGGGGTCCTTATGGGGTTTGTTTTGAGGTGGTGCAGAAGAGGGGAGCAGCAGAGCCGTCACTGGCGCTGGCCCTGCACAACAACAGCGTGGAGGTGAGACAGGGGGTCGTTATGGGGTTGTCCTGAGCCGACACTGGCGCTAGCACTAGCACCTCCCAAAGCATTCTCCCTCCCTCCCTCCCTCCCTCCCTCCCTCCCTCCCTCCCTCCCTCCCTCCCTCCCCCCCTCCCTCCCTCCCTCCCTCCCCCCCTCCCTCCCCCCCTCCCTCCCCCCCTCCCTCCCCCCCCTCCCTCCCTCCCTCCTCCTCCCCATCCTCTAAATCCACGCCATTCACTCAGTCAGCAGCATGCGGGGCGACTGTTGAGTCAACTCGAATGCCGCTTTCCCTCCATTCTCCCGTGTCCTTCATCCCTCCTCCCACTTTCCTCCCTTCTTTTTTCCAGATCCACACGATTCATGCGGACAGCAGCACCCGGGCGGCAGCGCTGCAGTCTGCCGGCCACCGATCGGACGTCCGCTCGCTGGCGCTCTCCTCAGATGGCTCGCTTCTTTTGTCCGTTTCCAAAGGCTCTGCCAAGGTGGGCGGCAATGTGCTGATATCACAGTAATGAAACACCTCTTACCCTCTTACATCTCGCTTCCCCTCTTACGGCCCACTTTTCCTCTCAATCCCCGCGCCCCCATGCTCCTCCCACGCTCCTCTCTCACCTCTCTCACCTCTCTCACCTCTCTCACTCCTCTCAATCTCACACATCGCCGTGCCCTTCCTCCCTCCCCACGTGGCAGGTGTGGAACCCTGTGACTGGAGCCTGCCTCTCTCACCTCTCTCACTCCTCTTCCTCCCTCCCCACGTGGCAGGTGTGGAACCCTGTGACTGGAGCCTGCCTCTCCTCCTTTGACTCGGGCTACGGCCTTTGCTGCCTCTTCGCCCCTGGTGATAGATACGTGAGTGAGACGAGGGGAGGGGAGGGGGAACAGGTGGATATGTGAGATGGGGAGGAAGGAAGGAGGAAGTTGAGGGTGAGGGCTGGGCGTGAGGGAGGAAGGAGTGTGCAATGGGGTTCTGCGGAGGGGTCGGTTTGTGGTAGGGGAGGGTTGGATGTGGGGAGGGTTGGATGTGGGGAGGGTTGGATGTGGCAAAGGGTTGGGTAGGGTGTTTGAACTGTTTTGTTGTTTGCCTTGTATCCCCAACTCAGATTAGCCCTCTCTGCCCCTGGCTCTCTCAGGCACTCAACACTCTGACTTGAGCGCACCACTCACTGGTGCCGGCAGCACACACATACAGAGATCATTTTTGAGGTGCCTGAAAAATGGACTCTCTGGTGCAGGCGCACACAGCGGCCACGTGGGCCATGACACTGTATCCCCCAGCCGCCACTTGACACTCACGCTCCTCCCACTCCTCCCTGCACTCAGGCCATCGCAGGCACACAAGCAGGCGACCTGGAGGTGTTTTCAGTGGCCGGTGCAGAGCGCACGGCTCTCATCCAAGCAGCCCACGACAAGGCAATGTGGGCCGTGACTCTTCCCCACCACCCCAACCCCAACCCCAACCCCAACCCCAACCCCAACCCCAACCCTAACCCCAACCCCAACCCCAACCCTGCTCCACCTTCCACGACTCACCACTCTCCTGTTCCTCCCACTGCTCCCTGCACGCAACGCAGGCCATCGCAGGCACACAAGCAGGCGACCTGGAGGTGTTCTCAGTGGCCAGTGCAGAGCGCACGGCTCTGATTCAGGCAGCACACGACAAGGCAGTGTGGGCCATGGCTGCCCTGCCTGATAACACGGGGTTCGCCACTGCCTCTGCTGACGGCTGTGTGAAGGTGAGTGTGTGTGGTGGTGGTATGTTTGAATCTGTGATGGCTGTAGTATGCACATACAATGACCTGTGCCCTCTCTTTCTTCAATCAAGGCAGTGTGGGCCATGGCTGCCCTGCCTGATAACACGGGTTTTGCCACTGCCTCTGCTGATGGCTGTGTCAAGGTGAGTGTGTGAGTGTGTGGGCGTGTGTGAGTGTGTGAGTGTCAAGTGCGTGAGCGCGTGTGCAAAGGTGAGGGTGCGCGTGTGCATGTGCTGTGCTCTGCGCCCTGTATCATCAATCAAGGCCGTGTGGGCCGTGGCTGCCCTGCCTGATAACACTGGTTTCGCCACTGCCTCTGCTGACGGCTGTGTGAAGGTGAGTGTGTGAGTGTGTGGGCGTGTGTGAGTGTGTGTGGGTGTATTTGTGCGTGTTCGTGGGAGTGTTTCTTTTTCGCTTTTCCCTTCCTCTTCCCCCCACCTCCCGCTCTTCCCCTCCCCTCCCACCGCTTCCCTTACCCCCCTGTGCAATCCCCTTCATCTTAACCTGACCCCCATTCCCCGCCTTCAGTTTTGGGAGTATCAGATGCAGCTCAAGGGATCCGATGCGGACAAGGTGAGTGAAACAAGGTGCAATATCCGACTGATCTCTGTTCTTTAAAATCATGTTTAAAAAAAAAAAAAAAAAAAAAAAACGAGCTTGCAATGTCAAGCCTCGTCTTCCTGATCTCTGAAGGTTTTTTGTGCCCAGTGCTATTTCTATTCTAATAAACTCTCAAAATCGTACTTACTTCTTTGCCAGGATGCACTGGCGGCAGGGAGGGGTGAGAAGCACTTAACAGTGGTGAACACTCGCACGCTCAAGATGTCTGACGATGTGCTAAGTGTGGCGTTTAGCCCCGACGGCCGATACATTGCACTCTCGCTCCTCGACTCCACCATCAAGGTATGCAGAAAACTGCTAACCGCTGTGCGTGCACATTTGAGAACTTCCAAAAGTGGTGAGGAGAGGATTTACTCACCATACGGGATGGCCGATGCGCTGCAATCTCACTCTTTGACTCCACTATCATCTTACGCCCGCTGATACCTGCTATTTGATCATCTCATGAAAAGTCGATAATCAGATAGCAAGTGTACCAGCGGTTGAACTTCTGAGCAATTTTTGCTGTCGCCTCCCTTCTGCCTCTCTCTGTCCCCCTCACATCCCTCCACCGCAGGTGTTCTTTGTCGACTCGCTGCGCTTCTTCCTCTCGCTGTACGGCCACAAGCTGCCAGCCATCTGCCTCGCCATCTCCTTTCTCTCCCACCATCTTCTCCCTTGTTCTCCCCCTCAATGCACCCCATCTCCCTCCACCGCAGGTGTTCTTTGTCGACTCGCTGCGTTTCTTCCTCTCGCTGTACGGCCACAAGCTGCCCGCCATCTGCCTCGACATCTCCTCCGACTCCCAGCTCGCAGTGTCGGGCTCGGCAGACAAGAGTGTCAAGATCTGGGGGCTCGACTTTGGGGACTGCCATCGGTCTCTGTTTGCACACCAGGACAGGTGGGTGCGTTGCTTGTCGCGGCAGGGTGTGTGGGTCAGTAAGGCGGGGTAGGAGAGGATGGTGGGTAGGCTTTAACTAGGGAGGTAGCGGACTCGCAGCTTGCAGTGTCAGGCTCAGCGGACAAGAGCGTCAAGATCCGGGGGCTCGACTTTGGAGATTGCCACTTGTCCCTCTTCGCTCACCAGGACAGGTGGGTGGACACTTTTCTTGCAGCAGGAGGGCAGAGCGTTTGGGAGAAGCATGCCATAGCAGGTGGGGTACTCACAGCTCGCAGTGTCGGGCTCAGCGGACAAGAGCGTCAAGATCTGGGGGCTCGACTTTGGGGACTGCCACCGCTCTCTGTTCGCCCACCAAGACAGGTGAGTGCTCTTTCTAGCAGCAGAGGTTGTGCGTGAAGCAGGTGCAGTGATCCAGGCAGGCAGGTCATTGCAGGCAGGCAGGTCATGGCAGTGTCGGGCTCAGCAGACAAGAGCGTCAAGATCCGGGGGCTCGACTTTGGAGACTGCTGCCCGCCCGCCCGCACACACACAATGCTTCGTCTGATCTGATGCAGCAAAGCATGGTATTGGGACGCTGACAAGTTGCCTTTGACTCACTCAACCCCCCCATTCTCCCTTTATTTCCCCCCCCTTATCCTCCTCTCAATACAGTGTGATGGGCGTCAAGTTCGTCCCACGCACGCACTACTTCTCGTCATGTGGCAAGGGCAGATGAGGGCACTATTGGGATGCGGACAAGCTGGCTTTGACTCATTCAACCCCCTGCTCTCCCCTCACTTTCCATCCCACCCTTCTTATCACCCTCTCTCTCAATGCAGTGTGATGAGTGTCAAGTTCGTGCCCCGCACGCACTACTTCTTCTCGTGTGGCAAGGACCGAAGGGTGCGGTACTGGGATGCTGACAAGTTCCAGCTGCTGCTCACACTGGAGGGGCACCATGCTGAGGTGAGCTGGGCTTGACTGCGTGTGCTTTGACCCGGGCAAATATACTTCCCTTTTCACACCTGTCAGCACTGACGACGTGCGCTGCTGGGATGCAGACAAGTTCCAGCTGCTGCTCACGCTAGAGGGGCACCACGCTGAGGTGAGCGATGTTGTAGCTGTGGACAGAGCCATGTGAGGTGGCCTGACTCCTTTGACTTCTTTGACTTGACACATAAGGGTGCGGTACTGGGATGAGGACAAGTTCCAGCTGCTGCTCACACTGGAGGGGCACCACGCAGAGGTGAGCTGTGCCACATGCTGCCCGCCATCCTACCCGTCATGCTGCCCTTCATGCACCCGAGGTTTCCCAACTTCCCTTCCCCACCTTCTCCGCTCCTACCCTCCTCCGCACTTCCCTTCTCCCCTCCTACCCTCCTCCGCACTTCCCTTCTCCCGCTCCTACCCTCCTCCGCACTTCCCTTCTCCCCTCCTACCCTCCTCCGCACTTCCCTTCTCCCCTCCTACCCTCCTCCGCACTTCCCTTCTCCCCTCCTACCCTCCTCCGCACTTCCCTTCTCCCCTCCTACCCTCCTCGTGTCCGGCTCGCACGATCGCTCCATCCGCCGGTGCCGGCATATGAGCCCTTGTTATTTTCCACAGCTTTCAAACCTCTTTCCCCCCCCCCCCCCCCCCCTCTAACACGCACGCGTGTGCTGCTGAACGCTCCTCTCCCTGCCACCCAGGTCTGGTCACTAGCTATCAGCCCCCTCGGTGACTTCCTTGTCTCCGCCTCGCACGATCGCTCCATCCGCCGCTGGCAGCGCACCGACGAGCCCTTCTTCCTCGAGGTGGGGGAGTGGAAGGCGGTGTTGAGGGGTGGAAAGTGGTGAATGAACGAGCTGGTAAGGTATCTGCTATTACTGCATGGCGGCGCATCGACGAGCCTTTCTTCCTCGAGGTTAGTTCTGATTGATTCGCAGGCCAGATTCTTCTTATCTGCAGCTCACCCAGCCTTTTGAGGCGCCTCAAAAGTCGTCTCTCTACCCGCAATTTTTGAGGCGCCTCAAAAGTCGTCTCTCCACCCGCAATTTTTTAGGCGCCTCAAAAGTTCTAATCTGCAGCTCGCCCAGCCTACATGGTGCTCCATCCGCCGCTGGCTGGCAGCGTACTGACGAGCCTTTCTTCCGCGAGATGGGTAATGTAGGAAGGGGAGGAAAGTCTCTGCCGTGATATCATATGTATTTGTATATATCTTACATATATAAGTAGCAACGAAATGGAGGAGGGGGGGTATTGCGAGCATGGCAGGTTAACCAGGGCAGCGCATGAAATTGTATCTGTTGCTTTTTTGTTTTTCCCTGTCCCGGCTCCAAACTTCCTTGTCGCTCATCAGGAGGAGCGGGAGAAGCAGCTCGAAGCCACGTTCGAAGCAACCTTACTCATCCCCTTCCTCCCACCTCCGCCCACTCTCCCACCCCATACACACACCTCCCTCCTTCCTCCTACCATCCCTCCTCTTTCTCAGGAGGAGCGCGAGAAGCAGCTCGAAGCCATGTTTGAAGCCCGAGCAGTGGCGCTACCAACCGACGCACGCCGCCCGGACGGGGGCGACGACGAGGAGGGCGGCGAAGGCGGGGAGGCGACGGGGCCGGGCGGCGCGGCGGGGGAGCTGGGCGGCGTGGGAGGGGCGGCAAGGGGCACGCAGGAGACGGTTTGGGCGGCAGACTCGATCATTGAGGCGGTTGAGCTGGCATCCATGGAAGAGGCTCGCATGGTTCCCTTCATCAAGGTGAGACTTAAGGTGGAGTTTTTCTGGTCTAGTGAAGTATCAAGCATGAGAAACGGATGGATGAGAGAATCTATTTGTGTCCCAGGCCCAGCATGCAGCTGGCGTCATTGGAGGAGGCTCGGATGGTCTAGCTTCGCCCCATCTCTCCAGCCACTCCCTCCATCTCTTTCTCGACTCTTTTCCCATATCGCTCTCGACCTCCCCCCCATACCTTCCCATGTCTCCCAATCGCTGCAGGACCCCAGCGACCCCACCTCGCTGCTGCCCTCCTTCCAGCCCAACGTGCTGCTCCTAGGCCATGCGCCAGCGGCCTTTGTGCTGCGAGCTCTCGCCAGAGTCAAGCCGTCGGAGCTCGAGCAAGCGCTGCTGGTGCTGCCCTTCACAGTGGCGCTGCGGATTCTCCACTTCGCCCCCCACTGGCTGCACCGCCCGCTGCCGCAGCTGGAGTTTGCCGCCCGGGCGCTCGTGTCCCTCGTGCGCATCCACCACTCGCAGCTCGTCGCCACGCCCACCGCCCGGCCTCTATTGGCTGCTGTCCACACTCTCTTACGTGCTTCACTCAAGGTATGGTGTTCGAAGGGGGAGAGGGGGTAGCGGGGTGGGTGGGATGGGGGGTTTTGCTGGTGTCCCTCGTGAGCATCCACCACTCGCAGCTCGTCGCTACCCCCACTGCACGCCCGCTATTGGCCGCCGTGCACACTCTTTTACGGGCGTCTCTCAAGGTACGGTGTGGTATTGGGGGAGGAAGGGGAAGGGGGGAGAGGAGGGAGAAAAGAGGGGAAAGAGGAATACTCGTCCCTCTCGTGCGCATCCACCACTCACAGCTCGTCGCTACCCCCACTGCACGCCGGCTATTGGCCGCCGTGCACACACTCTTACGTGCTTCACTCAAGGTATGGTATTTGTAACGGGGTGGGTGGGTGGGGGGGTTTTGCTCGTGTCCCTCGTCCGCATCCACCTCTTGCAGCTCGTTGCCACGTCCACTGCCCGCCCGCTATTGGCTGCAGTGCACACACTGCTACGGGCATCACTCAGGGTGTGGTTTCTGAGTGGGAAGGGGTGCAGGGCTGCAGTGCACACACTGCATATTTGGTTCTGCATATGTCTGTATTTACTTATTTGCATATTTGCATGCGACCAGCTATCTCTCTCATGTGTTCTAGCTAACCACAATTGTTTTGCTAACTGGTGCATATTCGGGTGTTCTCTGGCCTGGCACCACATGCCGTGGTATGGTGTGTGTGGTTTGTGCGATGGCATGACATGGTGTGTGTCCTGTGCTATGGCATGGCAGGGCGCAGTGGCAACAGTGGGATGCAACTTGGCTGCTATCAGCCACATCAAGGTGAGCTGCACCTCTGTTCTTTCTGTGAAAAGTTGTCCTTCACTTGAAGAAAGTATTGTTAAATTTCCCACCTGGGTTTTTGTAAATTTTTGGTTTGCTAGTATTGTGCCGGGGAGCCCAGATCAGCTGACTTATCTGCATTTTCCCCCCATCGTCTCCCTGCCACCTCAGTCCCTTCTGGCATCCTCCCAGGCATCCATAGAGGGGGGGGATGGCACATGGATGGCTGAGAGGGTGAAATATATCCGAGAGCGACTGGCCAAGGGGCACGACACTACTGGTAGCTCATCCTCACCCCTCCACTCTCTCCTCCTGTCCCTTGTTACCCCAGTCCCTTCTGGCATCGTCCCAGGCGTCCATAGAGGGGGGAGACGGCACGGGCATGGCTGAAAAGGTGAAAGAGATTAGGGAGCGGCTGGCCAAGGGGCGCAACGCGGTGGTTGCAGAGAAGCTGCAGAGGAGCAAAGCAGAGAAGCGCAAGCGCAAGGCGGAGAAGCAAAAGGTGAAGAGTTGATGGGTGTGCATGGCACGTCGATAACTGAGAGGGTGAGGTGGGTCGGATGGGGATTGGCCAAGGGGTGCAGTGTGGTGATTGTGGAGAAGCTTCAGAGGAGGTAGGCGGAGAAGCAATAGGGGTTGAAGGTGCTGAAGTAAGGTGGCACGAATATATTTTATTTCTGAGACAAGGAACGATTTACGGTAGCAGAATATGCTGCTGTTGAGTTGTCAGCATGATCTCAGCCAGAAGCCCATGAATATATTGTATTGCAACAGGTGGGAGGAGTGAGGCTCAGTTAAGTGCACAGCTGGAACCTACCAGTACAGTAAGTATGGTAGTTTGTACAGTAGCACAGTACATGGAATTTACCAAACAAAAAGGCGCAGCACAAGAAACCGAAGTCTGGCACAACAGGCAGCAACCTGTGAAAACAGCAGATACCGTTTGGCCCCGGATATAAGCGCATATGCGCTTATAATAAGTAATGATTTTTTAGGGGTGGCGCTTGTAATTGAGGAACGGCCACAAGCGCCGGCGCTTATAAAATGTCAAATTCCAATTTTGGTTTTTGAAGTATTAAAGTGGAGCCCACAATAAGGCGAACACAACTGTGAACGTTGCGCATGGGATCGTGAAGGAAATTCCGGCGAAAACTGCCGTGACTCGATTTCCCACCGCACAGAACCTGTCCTGGAGCAACGCACCTGCCAGCGATGACGTGCATCCTGGCGTGCGGCCCAATAGGGTTTACATGCGCTGCCAGGGTGCCACATTTCACCCGAACTTTCGAGAAGGGGGTGGCATATTCCTGCCAGCGCAGCAGATACGTGCCGCGATTCCTTCCTCTGCGGGTTTAGGCAGGGGGGGATCTGACTATGCCTGAAGAGGAACTCGAGCCGCACACCAGAAGGGGTCCCCTCCAAACCCTCATTTCTTCGCCTTCTCTTTCATTTTTTTCATTCAGATTCTTGGTCTCGCCCGCCATGCTGCGGAAGCCATGGCGGAATTCGCTGGCACTCATTTCTTATTCAAAAAGAAGCCCGCGCGTAGGCCCGCCTTCGTAGTCGACGCCGACGGATGGTACTCCCGTGTCCCACCTGAACCACCAGAGCCACCACAGTCTCCATCGCCTCCTGCGCCGCCTGCTCCTCCTGCTCCTCCTTTGCCGCCTGCGCCTCCTGCTCCTCCTGTTCCTCCGTCTCCTCCGATTCTGGGATGTCCTCACAACACAGGGGATCCGCCCGTGCTCACGCTCCTGCTCCCGACTGCGTTCGACGAGTGGCTGGAGGAACCGGAAAGCAACAAGGCCCAAGATGTTGAGGTACCCGGTGCACCTTACCCTGGACCACGTTGGGGCCGGCCCGATGATTGCACCACGTGGGACGAATCTGCACTCGGAGCTGACGACGACGTGGCTGAGGACGAGGAAGCGAGCCGTGCTGACGGCGACGAGGCTGAGGAAGGTGGCACGCAGGGCGGCACCGCTGAGGATGTGTTTCCTGAGGGCGTACCTGGTGGCGACGACGACGATGGTGTCGAGTACTGGTCACGTGACGGGCTCCCCGAGGAACTGCCGATACCTTCCTTTCCACCAGCTAACCGCAAGCGACCCCACCCGTCTACCCAGAACCGTGATGCCCGCCCCCCCTCTCCCAGGCACAAGATCAGCGATCACAAGCGCAAAGGCTACACCGCTGCGGAGAAGTTGAAGTACGTCGCGATGCTGGATGTGGCGAAGTCGGTGCGCGCACTAGCTCGGGAGTGTGGGATTCACCGGAAGTGTCTCGCCAACTGGAAGGTGGCAGCGGGGTTTCTCAAAGAAGCACACTCCGGGCGGAAGCGCATGCACGGTTGCGGGCGGGCCTCGTGGTACCGCTCCATGGAGTTGAAGGTGTACGAGCGGCTCCTGGACTGGCGCCGCAAAGGAACCGCCGTGTCGGTCGGCCGTCTGCGGGAGTGGTCGAGGGAGTTCATGAAGATCCTCTACCCGGACGTCAAGTGGAGCGGGAGTCAGAGATGGTCGGAGCGGTTTCGGAAGCGGTGGAATCTGAGCGTCCGCATGAAGACGCGGGTTGCTCAGAAAACAGCCGCTCGTAAGATTACGCCCCTTGCCGTTATGTCTAAGTTTCAGGTTCACTTACTAAACTGCCGTATATCCCGCCCGCTTTCCCCCGTCTCACAGATCTTGCGGAGCAGTGCCAGAAATTCTGGCGTTTTGTCCGACACATGCGTCGTGCGCGCGGCATCGAGCCATGCTGGATCCTCAACGCTGACTAGACGCCGCTCTGGCTGGAGATGCCCGCCACCACGACCGTGGATCAGACGGGCGTACGGTCGGTGCCCATCTGGAGTGCAGGTTACCAGAAGGAGCGTGTGACCGTGATGCTGGCGTGCACGGCGGACGGGGCGAAGCTCAAGCCGTGGGTATTTTTCAAGCGGAAGACGCTGCCGAAGGGCAACTTTCCTCCTGGTAATAAGTAGCAACTGCCGCTGTCTTACCGTATCGTTTCTCATGCCGCGCTAAGTTTAAGTGCCATTTCTGTGTGCAGATGTGGTCGTGGCTTGCCACGAGAACGGGTGGATGAACGCAGAAGGCGTAATCCGCTGGCTTGAGGAGTGTGTCAAGCCCTTCTTGCAGCCCCGATTTGGCAGGTGTGCGAAGAGCTCTATGCTCGTGCTGGATTCCTACCGCGGCCACCTTACCGAGGGGGTGAAGGAGAAGCTCCGCGAGATCAACTGCGTGCCTGCTGTCATCCCGTCGGGTTGTACGGGTGAGGTTCAGCCACTCGACGTCTCCATCAACAAGAGCTTCAAAGCATCTGTTCGTCAGTAGTACCAGAAGTGGTTTCAGGAGGAGGGCCAAGAGCAACTGACACCTGCAGGTACGTTGTTTCCGTTAAACACGCATGTTTATCCCCCTTTCACCCTTGGTCACTGACATGGCTTTCCCGGGTGTCTCTGTTGCGGTGCAGGGAATCTGAAGAAGCCCCCCCTCAGAAGTGGTCCTTCGATGGATTTCACAAGCCTGGAAAGCAGTACCCTCCGACCTCGTCAAGCGCGCCTTCCTCACCTGCGGCATTAGCAACGCGCTTGACGGCAGTGAGGACCACCTCGCCATGGCGCACAGGCGGAGCCAACTGACGGCGGAAGTGGATGTAGACGACGACATCATCGCCGACGGATTCTTCGGCAACAACTGCCAGGAGCCCGAGTCTGACGAGGAGTAGTTCCGGTAGAATAGCAGATTAAGTCTAAAATTGTGTACCTAGGTAGAATAGCAGATTAAGTCTAAAATTGTACTAACTTGTAGTATTCGTTGAAGATAACGATGTTAATAGTTGTTGTTTGCTCTTGTTGTGGTGGTAAAAAAAGTGTTAATATTGAGGGTGGCGCTTATAATAAGGAAGGGTACAAAAGGGGTGGCGCTTATAATCGAGGATCAGCCATAAGCGCCATGCTCCAGATAGAAGCGCCGGCGCCTGTAATAGGCCGGCGCATATATCCGGGGCCACACGGTAGCTGTTTATGCAGCAGCAGCCATCTTAGCTCATGGATTTGCTGCATTTACTTCAAGGAAAAAGTGCCGAGGTACAAAATACATGCTATATACAGTGGGATCGGAGTGTAGTGGGAGTGGCGAAATCGGAAGAGGTGGGATGGGAGTGGAGAAATGGGAGTGGTGGCAGCAGTCCCTTCACAGCCATAAGCAGGTCAAATCCCCCCCTCCAGAGCCAGATGGCAGCAGGTTGCGGAGAGCGCAGCTAACAAACAAATCCATTCTCTCTAGGGAAGACGGGCCGCTAGCTGCCTGGCGCAGTGCATGATTGCCCTCACGTCTAGCTGCCCCAACAGGCTGTTGCACAGCAGCAGCACCTCGTTGAGCCCTTGACAGCACGGCACCTGCTGTAGAACGAAACCTGCTCCCTGCTGCTCACTGCAGGCGAGCAGCTAGCTGCCTAGCACAGTGCATCAGCTCCCACACATCCAGCTCCCCCGACAGGCTGTTGCAGAGCAGAAGCACCTCGTCCAGCACCTAGCAGCACAGCACCTGCTCCCTGCGGCTCCCATTGCCGTTGACCACACACCCTCTTACGGCAGGCGAGCTGCCAGTTGGCGAGCGCAGTGCATGAGCTCCCACACGTCTAGCTGCCCCGACAGGCTGTTGCAGAGCAGAAGCACCTCGTCCAGCCCCTCGCAGCACAGCACCTGCTCCCTGCGGCTCACCAGAATGGCGGCCACCACAAAGAGCAGGAAATCCGGCCGCGGCCGGCACTCCTGCCATGCCTTCTTCCTCCTACTGCCGCTCACCCTGCTTGTATCCCTGCTTGTATCCCTGCTCGTGTCTCTGCTTGTAACTTTGCCTGTAGATGTGTTACTTGCGCTGATGCTGCTGCTGGTGGCGGTGTCACCGGCAGCAGCAGTGGTGGTGATGGTGGTGTCAGAACAACTGGAGCTCTTATCAGCAGCCGCCCAGCCAAAAGCACCGCCCCATCCGTTGTCCAGCAGAGGGGCGCTCTCGACGTCCCTCTCCCACCGCTCCCTTCCCCCCTCCCCTCCCTCCTCTCCCTTGCGCTCTCCCTCCTCACGCCCTTTGTCCTCTGCCTCCTCCGCTTCTACCTTCTCCCACTCGCAATCCTCCCCCGCCTCTGCCTCACTGCGTGTACCCCCTGACGAGTCCCCGCCTTTGGCTGCTTCGTTTCCACCGCCTTCAGTGCCAGCTTCAGCCGCAGTACCCACCGCAGCCGCATCGGCTACAGCAGCAGCAGCAGCAGCTGCAGCAACAGTGGGCGCAATCGCAGCAGCAGTAACAGGAGCGACAGCAGCAGCAGCAGCAGCACACGCAACGTTCGCAGCAGCAGCAGCGGCAGCAGCATCGGCCCACATGACTTCCCAAAGGCACATGGTGTGCTCAAACGACAGCTCTCGCCTCATCAGTACCACCACGCACCGGTACGCAAACATGCAGCTCTCCGCCCCCACCGCCTCTAAATGTGCGTACAGCGGCGGGTCTGCTGTGCGCAATAAAGCCGCTACCCGCCCCAGCTGGCGCCGGATGCCTCGTTCGTCCGTTCTGAAGTTGTGCCGAGCGCCGCCGCCCGCACTGCAGGTGCTAGAGATAGTGGTGGGATTGTTGCTTCCGCTGCCGTCGCCGGCCGTGCTGCTACCGCTGCGCCGGTTACTGTTGCTACTGCTGCCATCGCTGTCAGCAACGCCAGTGCAGTCACTGCTGCCCACACCTCCTCTCTGCATAAACGCCACGAAGCACCAAAATGCCTCCGAATCCTCCTCCAACAGAGCTACAAACGGGGATAGCAGATCGCTCATGCCTTGACAGTACCCCACCTCAGGATCATACACCGCATATGCCTCCAAAATCGCCACCAGCCGGGCGGCATGCAGCCTTTGGGGCGGCGATAAGTGTCCGTGTTCCGGCAGGCCGGCGGCTGCTGCCGCCTCCATTGCTTCTTCCGGCGGGAAAGCCTTTTGGGTGGAGTATGGAATCCATGCGGCGTTCATTCGCACCGCATCCAACCGCATTATACGTTGCCAGGTTACAAAATTCTCCAGAGATCCGCTGCCTCGCCCGCAGGTGCTGCCCCTGCCGATTCCTGCCTCTCCTCCTGTCTCTCCTGCTGCTCTTCCTCTGCCACTGCTGGTGCGCGGGCGGAAGCACTCCGGGATCTTGCAGTCTAGCGGGTGCTCTTGGCGTTGCTCACGTGAGGCATCATCACCATCACCATCATCACCATCACCATCACCATCATCATTATCATCATCCTTGTCATCTTCCTTTTCATCATCAGTCGTGTTGCCGCCACCTCCCCCACAGCCACCTCCAGAGGCTTCTCTGCCCTCTGAACCATCCGCCTCCTCCCCTGCGCCTGCTCCCGTGCTCGCGACTGCTTCTGCTTCTCCTTCTTCGCCTGAGAAGGCACCAGGGGCATCTGCAGCCTCAAGGGCAGAACCAGAACCACCAGCAGCATCAGCGTCAGCAGCAGCAGCAGCATGGGCAGCCTCCTCACGTGCGACATCCACGAAAGACTCAGTGGAGACGGACAGACTGGCGCACGCGGAATCCACGCACACCGCATCACTGAACTCGTCATCGCTCGCGTTACCAACACCGCTGTTTTCGCCACCATTGCTACCATTACCGTCCTCATTCCCACTCCCACTTCCATCACCATCGCCGCCATTATCCCCTCTGATGCTGGACCTGACCGCCTCCTGACTGCTGCCGCCTTCGTTGCTCCTTCCTCTCTCCGACTCCTCCCCCTCCTTTTCCTCTCTCTCCTCCCTCTCCCTTTCCTCCCTCTCCCTCTCCTCTCTTTCCTTCCTCTCTCTCTCTTCCCTCTCTCGCTCCTCCCTTTCCTCCCTCTCCTCCTCCTCCTTCATCCTCCTCGTCGCCTCCTCTTCCGCCTGCCGCGCAATCACCGCCACGCGCGCCGCAATCGCGCGGATCTCCTCGTACAGCACGCGCCTCTGCGCGCGCAGCTGCGCCCTCTCCGCCTCCGTGCTCTCCGCCTCGTACCTGAAGGACATAGCGGAAGGGTTTAGCGACAGCCCGGAGAGGAGCGCTACGTTAAAAAAAAAACACGCGAGGGGGCGAATACGTGAACGAGGAGAGAAGGGGAGGATGTGAATAAGTTCGGAGGAGGGTGAAGTAGTGTCAGGACTACTACGAGAGAGGGCGAAAGAGAAGAGGACAAGGAGAGAAATGCTTGCAAATGAGCTTACAGGCCAAGGAGGAACGGCCAGACCTCGGCTCTGATCTCTGCGTCGCATCCCTGCGTTCACGGCGCCAGGCACACCAAGTGATATGGGGGGAGAGAGAGGGGAGGGTAAGGAGTAGTGCAACAACAACATCCAGAAACGGAGACCCGTTACACTCAAACGAGGTCGCTTACCCCAAGCCGGACACGGCCGATAGCCGTCTCGCCGCCGCCCTTCAAGCGACCGGTGGCGTCGTCAAAGCAGTCCCTCCACTGCTGCACCGTCAGCGGCGCTGGCCTGATAGACTTGGGCTTGTCCTCCCATGGCAACATGAACTGACCCCTGCAGGATGACAACCAGACGGAGAGATGTGGACGTGAAAAACGTATGAAGAGTAGCTTGAAACACGCGGGCATGGAGTTGTAGCTTGGTTCCGCCACGAAAGGATTTGAGCAGGTCGGAAAACAGGAGTACTGAAGAGACGCTGAGATTCTACGCGATAAACGCGACAAGTACGAAACGTACTGCTCCCGGAGAACGATGATGCCTCCGACCGTCACCGCTGCAGCGACGCCGCCGATCGCGGCGACTCCGACGGCAACAGCTAAGCCCGCTGCGACCTTAAAAGGATCGACATCCGAGCCCATCGATGGCATGCTAACGTTGTTCAGGTTCCCCGGAATCCCGTCAATGAACCCCATGATTCCGCGGCTCATACTAAACTCGTCCCTAGATATCAGCGAGCTCGGTTGCACCATTCAGGGAGATGCGGATGCAGAACACATTAGGATCCGAGCAGTACGTGGATTCTAAAGCCTGAGAAGGTTGTGCGAGGTAAGAGTTAGCAGGAACAGCAGACAGAGAGGCAGGATATTTGTTCGAGTCGAGAGACCTGTGCAAGTCTGCACAAGTGGTTAGATTCTAGGCGTGAAGCATGCATCAGGTTTCAAGTATCGGATGATGCTCTTCGCTGCGGGGAGGTGGCGAGTGGGGAGCTTGAGACGTTTCTCATCGGTTTGTGAACCTCAATACCGTGTAAAACAAATTTATAACCGCACTGGAACGCACGATGTGATGGTATGTTTGTAATGGCGGAGAACTTCCCTTCCAAGAATGGCTGTGCTGTTGGTGGCATGGAAAACTGGCGGCTGGGTGGGTGGTGAGCGGTGGGAGGAAGAGGAAGCTTATTTTCACGGACGGATGGCGCGAAACTGGGGTTGCGGGCGGATGATGAGATCCTCCAGAGACGGGTGTGCGGGCATTGCGAGGCTAGTGCTGGTTGGCTGGGTGGATTTCAGCGTCATTCTTGTTTGATCGGACGGTCATGACGGTGCTGCTCATTCAATGGGCGGTCACCAGGAGAGGGACCTGGTGGGTTTGCGCCCACCAGGGCTCGGATGGACTCCATACTGGCTTCTGACAGCATTGCTGTCATGCAGAAAAGTGGGGAACTCAACACTCGTTGACTCAATACCACGTCAGGTGGGTCATGGATGACGTCTACGTTCAGCAGACATGAATCATGCGGGTAAGAGCTTGTTCGTAGTTTTGACACCAATGTCCTTTTGGCGTTTTGACACGAGCATACATTGTTGGTTGGTGTCAATAAGTCGCTCAATATCAGCCTGTCAAAATCATCGGATATACCGCTCGCCAGGAGTCGCAGCTCACACAATCCAATCGAAATCATCGTATCAATAAATCTGGCGATTCGCTCTCACCCAATTATCCTGTCCGTAGACTGGTGGGAAATGTTATACCAGTCGTCATGCAGCACGTGGGTGCTACATAATTCACTGTGGTGACAAGCCTGACACTTTGGCATGTGCATAAATTCGCACTCTGACACATATTCGTGTCCCACCAATGAGGTTTCGTCGTACATTACCAATGGCGCGACTCGAGATGACCCGGCTGCTACAGTGATTGACACGGCTAGAGTGGGCCGACTCGGGTTGACACGCATAAACAGCTGATGTCAAAACTACGGACAGGATTTGAAACATAGCGCTGCAACCACTTCTGTTTGGCGAGCAGCCCTGGGCAGCTTGGGCAGGACACCCTTCGACAAAACAGTCGAGTACACAGACCAACGAGTTTCTAGCCACCAGGGAAACAATTGACACTCATCTCTGCTGAGTCGTTGCTCATTAGCACAATCATATGCATATGTTCATGGTTTCTGTTATGAGTTGTACTAAGAAGAGTGCGCGTGTAAGGAAATTCCCTTTTCCTTACTTCGCGTCCCTGCCCAGCGCGTACGTCACTGTAGCACCTCAGTCAGCACCGTTACCACTCGCGACCATCGCATCATTCATCATCCCGCCTTTTTCGCACATCGCATCCCGACCTCACGGCTCGGCTGGTAACCCGCGCTCCGGGCCTACGCTTCGACACTTTCCCAACCTCAGTCCCAGGCTCAACGCGCGACAACCACAGTCCATTACCGTTACCACTATTGTTTCGCTATATAATCCTTCGCTCATGCCTTCGCTCATTGTACTTTTGCTTCGATAGTGCAATTCTCGTTCGTTCACCCAATTGCACTCGTAACACTTGGTATTCAGAGCCTACGATCTCATCTCGGACCGCATCCACACCTTCGCTTCCCACTATCTCAATTTTTGGGGGGGGGGTAGACGTCTCTCAGCGACACAGCACCGCCGCTCGTAGTGCTCTCTCGCAAGCACGCACGGCCACGACCGAGGCTCTCGCTGAGCTTGCCCGACACCCCCGCCATGGCCGACCTCAATCTCGCCACGTTGACGCAGGAGCAACTCGATCGTCTCGTGCGACAATTGGAGGATTCGGCGCTTGAAATCGCGACGCTCACGGCGGAACGTGACTCCGCCCGTCAACAGTCAACGGTGAATGCTCCGACAACATCCCACGCACCAACCAATGTCTCTGTACATTCGGAGGAGCCGATTATCATTTCATCCGGCACACCAACGCAACACAACAGCACGGGACAGCGCTCAGGCGCAGCCAGTGACGGCGCAGCCCAACCGATGCCCGGCATGGGAGGGAACAGGAGCACGCTAAGCCCACGGGAGCCCCGAGAAGCCCGTCGGCACGTGGAGTTTGCGACGACAAATGGTGAAAACGCCATGATGGCCCCAATGCCACTCAAGCCGCAACGCGCGCCCTGCTTCGACCCAAGCCAACGCGGCGGCCCGACAGTTCAATCGTGGGTCTTCACGATGAATGTGTTTTTCGACGCCAACTACGTCGAGTCGGACGCCGCCAAGATTCGGTATGCGGTTTCACTACTCAGGGGCCCCGCCATGGACTGGTGGCGAGTCATCGTGACGTCGCCACGCGCCTACGAGCCACCGTCGCACGAGGAAGGGCCCTCGGGTCCAGCTGTCACCTGGAGTTCGTTCTGCGAAACAGCCCAATACAGCACGTGGGATGCGTGGTGCGCAGGGCTTCGGGCGCGTTTTGAGCCGATCGCGGCTTCGATTTCGGCGCGTCAGAAACTGCGCACTTGGCGCCAGCTCGGGTCGGTTCAAGACTACACCAGCGGTTTTCTCGCACTTTGCGAACAGGTCGGCTACATGCACGAGGCGGAGCGGGTGGACCGTTACGTCGGAGGGCTGAAGCCGGACATATCGCACGAGATAATGCTACGCGGGCTATCGAATTTCAACGAAATCCTCGCGCTCGCCGAGAAAATCGATATCCTACGCCGACCGAGACCGGGGTCCTATTTCGGACATCGCCCTCGGGGACCGATCGAGCACGACACTGTACATGCCGTCGCAACGAATGCAGCTGCCACGCCATTTAGAGGGCGCTGCTTTGCTTGCAACCGGCCGGGCCATCGCAAGAGCGAATGTCCAGAGGAGCTGAGGCGTCGAGGAGCAGAGCAGGGGAAGGAGTCTCAGAGGCAGGGAAACGCCAGCAGTCAGTAGAAGTTGGGCCAACTACTGACGAGACTGCCTGCTCGCCCAACCACACCGACCCTCACCGAGTCACAGTACCGATTCACGCCATCGATCGGGCTCGGATGAATAAGGAGGGTACAGCGACAGATTGCCCGGTACTGATCTACGGGAAAACACAGGGAGCAGCAGTGAAAATCTTCATTGACGGAGGAGCAAGTCACAGCTTAGTTAATACTGCAACCGCACGGAAATTACAGTTAACACTTAACCGATGTTTACCTGAGATAGATGCACGCTTAGTCGACGGCACGCCATTGGCCATACGAGAAAAAGTGGAGCGAGTAAAAGTCCGCTGCGGGGGAAACTTCGGGTTTACACAGGAAATGCTCGCAACGACGCTGGATGGGCACGACATTTTACTGGGACGTGATTGGCTGCGACGGTACAACCCACGGATCGACTGGACGACGTGGAGCTGCACAGTGCGAAGTAGCGGTAACTGGGTCGTCCTACCTCGCTGGCGGCCACCCGAATCTTCGACAGTCCAGGTCAACGCCATCGCGATGAAACGGGCTGTCGCTGCTGGAGCTGACGTGTACGCAGTGGATATCGCAGTGGTAGAAAAAGACGAGCAGCAGAATGATTTACAGAAACTGCTAGCAGCCGTACCGACCGAATTACAGGCACTACTGAAACGGTTCCCGGGGATATTTCCGGATGATTTACCACAGGGACTGCCACCTCAGCGAGCGCACGACCATAGGATCGAGCTAGAACCGGGGGCACAGCCAACAGTACAGCGGCAATTTCGACTGACACAGCCCGAGCTCGACGAGTTAAGGAAGCAGTTAGATTACCTGTTAGAGAAGCAGTTCATTCGACCGAGCTCGTCACCGTTCGCCGCACCCATACTATTCACACCGAAAAAAGACGGAGGTTTTCGCATGTGCATCGACTACCGAGCGCTTAACCGAGTAACAGTCAAATCGCGATACCCCATCCCCCGCGCCGACGAACTGATTGACCAACTGCGAACAGCACGTGTCTTTTCGAAAATAGATTTACGGGGAGGTTACCATCAGATTCGCGTCGAACCATCGGACTGCGCAAAAACAGCATTTAGGACTAGGTACGGGTCATTCGAGTATACAGTAATGCCCTTCGTGTCAGAGGTCCACTGGTGATCCCCGATTGATCCTAGGGAAGGGTTACAGGCATGTTGGCCTGGGGGGTTATGGGCGCACTTACCCGCTACACAAACAAGCCCTTTTATCCCAATGGTCTAGTGGTTGGGATTCTGAGATGGTATCAGAGCAAAGGTCTCGGGTTCGAATCCCGGTGTATGCACTTCGGGCATCCCAGTGCGGGGGGGTGTCAGAGGTCCACTGGTGATCCCCGATTGATCCTAGGGAAGGGTTACAGGCATGTTGGCCTGGGGGGTTATGGGCGCACTTACCCGCTACACAAACAAGCCCTTTTATCCCAATGGTCTAGTGGTTGGGATTCTGACACTTCGGGTTGACGAACGCGCCTGCGACTTTTCAGATGACCATGAACGAGGCATTTAGGCCACTTTTAGATAAATGCGTAATCGTTTACCTCGACGATATCCTCGTTTACAGTCGGGATAAGCAGCAACACTTAGCAGATCTTGAAGCAGTTTTTAAGGTTTTAGAGGAACATCGGCTGCTCACCAAAGGCTCCAAGTGCGAGTTTTTTAGGGATAGGCTAGAGTTTTTAGGTCACGTCATTTCAGAGGCTGGGGTTGAGATTGACCCAAAGAAGCTGGACACGGTAAAAGCGTGGCGCCCCCCGACGAACATCACGGAACTGCAGAGCTTTTTAGGGTTTGTTAATTACGTTCGACGGTTCGTGCCCGACATGGCACGTTTAACAGCCCCACTAACTGATTTACTGCGTAAGGGGGTCGCTTTTACGTGGGGGGAGAAAGAGCATGCTGCCTTCTCTGCCCTAAAAAATGTTCTCTGCTCACCACCCGTCCTACGCATCGCTGATCCCCACCGCCCTTTCGAAGTGGTTACCGACGCAAGTGACATCGCCATCGGAGGTGTACTGTTACAGGACTTCGGCAACGGCCTCCAACCCATCGCCTACGAATCACGAAAACTACATCCGCCTGAGCGAAATTATCCGATACACGACCGCGAAATGCTCGCGATCGTGCATGCATTCAAAGTTTGGCGCTGCTACTTGACTGGCGCAGACGTGACAGTACGGACAGACCACCGATCTCTACAGTACCTCCGCGCACAGCCCCACCTCAACCCACGACAGATTCGATGGCTCGATTTCCTCGAGTCGAATTTTCACTATACGGTCATATACAAAAAAGGAGCATCGAATATCGCCGACGCACTGACCCGCCCCACTGCCCAGATCCACGCGATACTACTCGCCCAGACCAGCCCACTGCTTACCGGCCTATTTACCCACGGATATCAAACAGACCCGTTCTTTACAGGAGGCAACTCACAGCAATTCGCAGCGCCAAAGGAGTCTATTACGTAAAAACTGGAACCGACCGCATCTGGGTACCGGGATACACGTTACTTCGGGAACTACTGTTACAAGAAGCACACGACGGAGTTACCTCGGGACATTTCGGGGTAGAAAAAACACGGCAGCAGCTGCAGCGGTACTACTACTGGCCAGAAATGTTGACTGACGTGCAACGACACGTGGCATCGTGTCCCACTTGCCAGCTCATGAAGACAAGCAGGAAGCGACCAGCGGGGCAATTACAACCCATCCCGCCTCCAGAGCGTGCTTGGCAGCAGGTGACGATGGACTTCGTCACGGGGTTACCAGCTGGGGCGAGTGGGAATGACGCGATCCTGGTCGTCGTCGATCGACTAACGAAAATGGCTCATTTCGCAGCATGCAGGAAATCCATCACAGCCGAAGAAACCGCCCGACTATTCATCTCCACCGTCGTACGCCTGCACGGGATACCCGCGTCGATCATCAGCGACAGGGACACGAAATTCACCAGCAACTTCTGGCGGAACCTGTGGCAGCAGTTCGGCACGCGCTTACAGTTCAGTTCATCCTATCACCCCGAAACCGACGGACAGACGGAACGGACAAATCAGACCATGGAGCAGCTGATTCGAGCCACGTGCGACGACCCGAATACGTGGGAACAGCAACTGCCACTCATTGAGTTCGCATACAATAACGCACCATCAGCCACGACGCAATAGTCGCCGTTTTATCTAAATTACGGACAGGACCCAACAGTACCCATGACACCGAATCCTGACAACCCCGTCCCACGAGCACAACAGTTCGCCGAGATTCTGCAAGCAGCACGGACCAGGGCAGCAGAAGCAATAAAAAAATCAAACATCATCGCTAAACGCAACGCCGATCGACATCGCAGACCCGTTACTTATCAGCCCGACGACCTCGTTTTACTCGACACTCAGAACCTTCGCCTGCCCATCACTCCAAAACTTCGCCCCCGATATTGTGGGCCATTTCGCATCAGCCACATGATCACACCCGTCACCGCCCACCTCCTCCTACCCGCTGACTGGTACGTCAGCCCGTCATTCCACGTCAGCCTACTTCGCCCTTACATCCCATCCACGAGCCAACTGCCACGAAATCGCCCAGCCAGCATGACACGTCCCCCAACCGAATCACTCATCACCCCTGAAAAAATCCTCAGCCACCGCGTCCGCGACCCTCGGGGAGCCCGAAGGATCGAGTTCCTAATTCGCTGGAAGGACCGAACGCCCACAGAAGTCAACTGGGTCCCCCTGGATACAATTGAGAACCACCCTGTCTTCACCGAGTATCTGCGAAGCCGAAATTTCCGCGACGTCCATGCGCTCTCGTAAGAGGGGCCTCCTTGGGGAGGGGGGTAGTGTAAGGAAATTCCCTTTTCCTTACTTCGCGTCCCTGCCCAGCGCGTACGTCACTGTAGCACCTCAGTCATTACCACTCGCGACCATCGCATCATTCATCATCCCGCCTTTTTCGCACATCGCATCCCGACCTCACGGCTCGGCTGGTAACCCGCGCTCCGGGCCTACGCTTCGACACTTTCCCAACCTCAGTCCCAGGCTCAACGCGCGACAACCACAGTCCATTACCGTTACCACTATTGTTTCGCTATATAATCCTTCGCTCATGCCTTCGCTCATTGTACTTTTGCTTCGATAGTGCAATTCTCGTTCATTCACCCAATTGCACTCGTAACAGCGCGGAAGACTTCAAAAAAAGGATGAGAACTACAGAATGACGAGAAAGATAAAGAAGCAAGCATTTATAGGGTCGAAACCGTGGTAGGCGAGGACCTCGGGACGTGGATGGTTTGGGAGTGTCGCGATTGGTGCGGGGCGACTCGGAAGTGGTTCGGGCCGAAGTGTAGGCCGAACCCAAACTGACGCGAACAGTTCGGGCTGTCCTTGCTAGGAGTAGCCTCAACAGTAATGAATTCACATTCATTACAGTTTCAATGTATGTTACACATACCACCTAGCATGTTACCTCACTACATTATGTGCTGACTTTTGTTAAAGGAGGATAGGTTGGTAGACACTTTTGCGGCGAGGCCTTGACCATTAGCTACTTTCCACGTCGCCTCCAAGCCCACACATCCTGGCGCCCAGGGAGCCCGTTGAACCACACAGGGAGGAGGCAGCGTGGCTTCATGCGAGCTGAGTAAGCTTGCCGCGTCGTAACATTCCGTCATCGGGAATTCCGCGGGCCTGTCAGCGCCTGGTGGGCCGAATGGATTTCCTCTGCGGCTAGACACACGTGGCTCGTTATCACAGCCACAAACGCATCAATTTATTCCTATAGCGCCTCGACTGCAAAACTATTGCCTTGCGAATTCCACACTTCCTGGTGCTTTACTAAGCGGCGTGCTTGGTTACCGATTGGTTGACACCTCACGAAGATTAGGCTGCGGGGAAGTTCACAAGGTTTCGTACATTTCGCTGCGTTCCAAAGCGGTAACTCTCGATAACCAAGTGTTGATCCGTCAAAACTCGCGTCACCAATAGGCAACTTGGCCGGGACTGGGACTGGAGTCGAGTCAAGAGTGTTGGGATTGGGGGTGGGGTGGGGGGAGTCTGGTGTGGAGCGATCAGTAATTCCTTGATCTCATCAAAACCTGCCGACAGCATCATTTGAAGCTCCCCTTCTGCTTTTCTCCTTAGCACTCACTCTCGTTACTCAGCTCCTTGTGAGCTGTGACAAGAGACGTTCAGTTACTTTCAGGGGCTTTACCTTGATATCTGTTGATTGCCGGTCTCCTCCTGTGCAACCATGTCGAACGCAGTCACTATCCGCACCGCGCCCGTTGAGGCTGCTCTGCTCGAGTCCGCCGTGGCTCGTCCTGCCGCCTCTTCCCAGCGGCGTGTGCGGTTAAATGGACTCAAGGCCTTCCGTGGAGGACATGTAAGAATGTGATGAACGAACACTTGCAGATGGTTGCAATTAGAAGTCCGTACCTCAAGAAGGCTCACCTCATGGGCTATTTGTCAGTGTAATGCAACAAGCCTATCTGCCTGTTTCTCAAGAACCCTCAAGTTGAATTCGAACACGATTATATAGCCCTAGGCCACAAGGGTTTGGGCCACGCCTAACACTGCATGATCACGTTACGTCAAATTGAATTATTATTCCTTGTTCATGCCTTCTCTCGCTCTCTTTTCTTTCTCACCCATTATTACATCGGTCCGAACTAGCCGGACTCGAAAGGAAGGTCAAGGTACAGCAATTTCCGGGCGACATCATAATTCTGGACTTGCTACTCTTCTTTGGTATTCTTTCTGTCTCTGTTTCGAACAGCTGGGTCAAAGCTTCGCCGCTACTACTCAAAGCGCACCTATTGATCGGCTTCAATCCAAGCAGAGGATCCATGGCCACTCCGCAGTGCGCGCCGCCGTCGCCGTTGAGGCTCCTGGTATGTGAAACACATAACACGCTTCATTTTTATGGCATCCGCTTTCGCCAACCTTTACACAGTGTCGTGACTCTGTTTAGCTTTCGATAGTCAAAGCCCCAAGCACTGACACTTCATCATTCCCTCTGGTTTAGTTGCTCCTGTGGCAGACGACTCAGCTCTGGTAACCCGCTCAGACATTCGCAACATCGCCATCATCGCACACGTCGACCACGGCAAGACGACGCTCGTCGACGCCATGCTCAGACAAGCCAAGGTGCGTCCGGCGAAGCCTCATGGGACCTCTTACTCAACAAATGTAACCGTCTGGCTAAGCACATGGAGACCACAAGTGGTTGGAATTCACTAGAACTGTTGCTGACACCCCTCATTTCAACCCGTTCCTCCCTCGCTCCCTCGTACGCGTTATCAGGTGTTCCGCGACAACCAGCAGATGCAGGAGCGCATCATGGACAGCAACGACCTGGAGCGCGAGCGAGGCATCACGATTCTGAGCAAGAACACGGCGATCCGGTTCCGCGGCACCAAGATCAACATTATCGACACGCCCGGCCACTCCGACTTCGGCGGCGAGGTGGAGCGCGTGCTCAACATGGTCGACGGCGTGCTGCTGCTGGTGAGTCTTACACTGGTGTGGGTATTCGTTAGCAGGTATAGTTCGGCAGCTCATGAACCAATCAACCTCCATGTTTACCTCCCCGGCTCCCTACTATCCTCCCAGGTTGATTCAGTGGAAGGCCCCATGCCGCAGACGCGGTTCGTGCTGAAGAAGGCCCTGGAGCTGGGGCACCGCGTGGTGGTGGTGGTGAACAAGGTGGACCGCCCAGCGGCGCGCGTGCAGCACGTCATCAACGCCACCTTCGAGCTCTTCTGCGAGCTCGAAGCCACCGACGAGCAGTGCGACTTCACCACCGTGTACGCGAGCGGGATTCAGGGGAAGGCTGGTATGGAGCCGGATGCGCTTGCCGACGATCTCGAGCCGCTGTTCGAGTCGATTATTAAGTGCGTTCCGGGGCCGAAAGTGCAGCCGAAGGCGGCGCTGCAGATGCTGGTGACGAATTTGGATTACGACGAGCACAAGGGGAGGATTGCGATTGGGCGCGTGCACGCGGGGAAGATCGCGCGCGGGCAGGTGGCGAAGATTTGCACGCCCGATGGCGCCTGCCGCGTGGCGAAGGTCGTGGAGCTGTTCGTGTACGACAATTTCGCCCGCGTCCCGGTTGATGACGTGGAGGCGGGAGACATCTGCGCCTTGTCCGGTCTGCCGGACGTGCAGATCGGCGAGACGATCGCGGATCGCGACGGCGACGCGCTGCCGACGATCTCGGTGGAGGAACCGACGGTCAAGATGAGCTTCTCCGTGAACGTGTCGCCGTTCTCGGGGCGCGAGGGGAAGTTCGTGACGTCAAGGAATCTGAGGGATAGGCTGATGAGGGAGCTGGAGAGGAATCTGGCGATGAAGGTGGAGGACGGGGAGAGCGCGGATACGTTCCTGGTCAGCGGACGTGGTACCCTGCACATCACCATCCTCATTGAAAACATGTGAGTGTGTGTGCGTCTGTGCGTGTGTCCACGAGCGGGTGTGTGAGTGCTCTCGAAGTCGAAGGTCCCCTGTGGCTCCAGTGGGTTCAGATTGTTACTTGCTGGCTCTGCTCCCTCATTAATCCCATCTTCTCAACCCTCCGCACCCCTGCTTCTCCCTTCCTTAGCCACTGCTTTGGCTCTTGAGCTGACTCTCAAGTATTGCGCATCCACCTGTGCCCCTCTTCCATCACTTGCTGTTGCTTTGCCCGAGCAGGCGGAGGGAGGGATACGAGTTCATGGTGGGGCCACCACGGGTCATTAACAAGATCGAGGACGGCAAGACGCTAGAGCCGTATGAGGTGAGGAGTCGTATGGGGTGGGTGGGGGTCTTAGGAGGCGATAGTTCAGTTTGTGAAGCGTCTCAACAACGGAGAGGGGTAGAAGAAACACATGAGGGGGCTTGCTTAGCTTTATGAGGCGAGGGTCTGTCTGGGAGGTGTCAAGCCAGGCGAGAGTAGTGGGATGTTAAAGCTCCTCAGAGGATGGAAGGGTGAGGCTCTGGAAAAAACAACTCTGGACATGGAAGGTCGACAGGCAGGAAGCATGGTTTCAGATCATTTGCTACAGTGTGCTTGCACGACGCAGTAGAATATGCCACATAATTTAGGTTGGCACTTACCACATCCTCCCTGTCCTCCACCAATGCCCCACCTCCCTTGCTCTGCTGCACTCGGTGTTGGATCTTTGCAGGAAGCGGTGGTGGAGGTGCCAGAGGAGACGAGTATGTGGCGTGGGGTCCGTGGTGGACATGCTGGGTACACACACGCCATCCCTGTTGCTCTGTGCTGCGCGCATTCCATCCTAAGTGCCCGCCTGCCTTCCTGTGCTCGTTTCTGAATGTGTGCAGGAAGCGGTGGTGGAGGTGCCAGAGGAATATGTGGGGGCTGTGGTGGACATGCTGGGTACACGCAAGGGGCAAATGCTCGACCTGCAGGCCTCCAGGTGAGACGCCAAGGCAGGGAGGCCGTTTTCAGGTCGGTCATGGTGGTTTGGTTCCTGGCTGAGCAAACTAAGGGCGGGTCCAAAGAGTACGTTCGAATGGGGTTGAAAAAGGTTAGGACTCTATCTAGAGCGGTCTAATCAGAACTCCAGATGGTTGGGTAGGGTTTTCCGCGAATACGTATTTTGTTGGACCCGCCCTAAATGCATTGGTTTGGAATCACCATTGCCGCACAGTTGTGAAGTTCAAAGCCAAAGATGTTCATTCTCAGCGTTTCCCTACCCCAGTCGGGCGCTCTCTATCCCTTGGCACTCCACCCCTCTCCACCACCCCCTCCAGTTCCGGCACCACATTCGTGAAGTACCGTGTGCCGACCCGCGGCCTGCATGGGGTATTTTTAAGGGGCATAAAACATTATTGCCCTCCAACCCCCTCCACCCCTCTCCACCTTTCTCCACCACCTCCAGTTCCGGCACCACAACCGTGAAGTACCGTGTGCCAACCCGCGGCCTGCTGGGGCTGCGCAACGCCATGCTGACCGCCACGCGAGGCACGGCCGTCATCAACACAATCTTTGACAGCTATGGACCGTGGGCGGGGGACATGAACACTCGCGAGCAGGGCTCCCTGGTGAGTACTGGGAGAAGAATGCACCCATATGTTGTGGTCTACATACAAGGAATCAGGTCTGGATTTCTCATGCCTTCTTGTGCTGTGTTTTGTTCTCTTGAATCCACCAACCCAACCCACCCCTCCTCCATACCCACATCCTTTCCGCACAGGTGTCGTTTGACACGGCCCAACCACATCGTATACGCTCTTCAGCACAGCACTAACCCAGTCCTCGTGCACTTCCTTTCCTGCGCTGTGTTTTTCCTTTCCTCGCAGGTGTCGTTGGACACGGGTCCAACCACGTCATATGCGCTCTTCAGCTGTCAGGAGAGGGGGCAGCTGCTGCTGGGGCCACCCTCGTGCTGCTGGCTGCTGCTGCTACTATCCATGACTCAAACCACTCCCTCCCATCCTACTTCCCTTCCTCGCAGGTGTCGTTTGACACAGGCCCAACCACATCGTATGCGCTCTTCAGTTGCCAGGAGAGGGGGCAGCTGCTGCTGGGGCCGGGAGTGGAGGTGTACAAGGGGCAGATCATCGGCCTTCACCAGAGGCCCGGGGACCTGGACCTGAACGCGTGCAAGAGGAAAGCTGCCACCAACGTGCGATCCAACAAGGATGCCACAGGTGCGTGTGTGTGTGTGTGTGCTTGTGTGAGTGTAAGTGAGGGTATGGTTTTTGCCTTGACTCCAAGGGAGTGGAGGTGAAGAAGGGGATGATCATCGGGGTTCAACATAGGCCTGGCAACCTTGACCTGAATGGGTGCAAGAGGAAAGCTGCTACCAATGTGCGATCTAACAAGGATGCCACAGATGCGCGCGACCACCATGTGTGTGGTGTGGCTGTGTGTGCTTCCTTGGCCAATGTGGTGTATTGGAGCTTGCTTTTGGTTGGTTGCGTGTATCTTGGCTTGGGTGCTTGTTTTGAACTATCTTGTTTGTTGGGTCTGTTTTTCCTTGCAGTGGTGTTGGCGGCGCCCCTTGAGTTCAGCTTGGATGACTGTGTGGAGTACATTCAAGAGGATGAGCTCGTGGAGGTTACACCCCTTTCCGTCCGCATGCTCAAGAACCCCAGGATGGGCAAGAAGGGAAAGAAGTGACCTGTCCATCTGTAACTCTCAATTCATATTGTTTATCTAGTTCTTTTTAATATATTGCCCATTTTCAAAAGCAAGTGTAAAATGAATCGAACCTCTGTCTGTAGATAGCATCTAGACAAGCAGGTGAACTCATAATCGAGGATCAGGCACCATCTGAGGCGGGAAAGCAGTTCAATGGGATTGTCGTAAATAAGCACGTCACAGGCTAAAGGGCAATTACAAGGGAAATTATATTCCAGGTCCATACTTTCATATTTCTCTCGAATTTAGCCCCAGGTTTACTCAAAAAGCACCACTTTCTAGAATTTCGCTTACACGACGCCCAAAGTACGTTCAAAACTGGTCCTGCGGGGCGTAGTTTTCGACACGTGTCCAATTTCGCTTGTCGACGGGGCAAAAAATATTAAAACCCCTCGGGAACTAGGGCCATTTGCGGGAGGGATCAACCCTAAACACCAAGCGGGTCCCCGTGTTTAGGGTTGGTCCCTCCCGAACGTGTGTCCTGGTTCCCCTAGGGGTTTTATGCTTTTTGCCCCCGTCAGAAATTGCTAATACGAAATAGGACACGTGTCGAAAAGTTTGCCTCGCGGGACCAGTTTTGAACATAACCTGGGCCTCGCGTGAGCAAACTTCTAGAAAGCTGTACTTTTTTAGTAAACTTAGGACTAAATTTGAGATATTTTTCAAACTATGGAGCTGGGATATACTCTCCCAAATTACAAATGCGGAACCTGGCAGTCAATAGCGAACCTGGCATGCTTGACCAAGTTCGTCCAGCTTGCATGTTAGTGATTTACGACGCGCACAGGGCACGTGGCGCTAACCAGTCAAGTGCGTCGCTGTCTCATCGTCAGCTGCAGTCTGGGAGGTAGTGGCGATAGCATCATAACCATGTGCGCCCCTTGATTCGAGATTTTCAAGGAAATTCTTTCCATGGCCTGAAGGCTGAATTCTTATGCCGAAGCCTGAGGTGAGAACTTCGAAGCACAGGCGAGCCATGACGCACCCCAAGCTTGCATCGCTTGCATCTGCTCTAAACTCAGGACACTGCGCTTGGATGCACTTCCTGGCCCTGTCGTTCTTGAGCTGCACTTTTATCTGTTTCTCTCGTCAGTGTTCCTGCCCGCTTGTTGCTTGCCTGCCGTCGAGCCAGAGAGATGAGAATCCCGCGTGCCGCTGTTGTACTGTCAGCAGTTTTTCTGATTCTTCAGAGTGAGCTACACGTAACGTTTTATAATTCCATCCTTCAATTCCTTTTTATCAGTGCTTTCAAGCATTGTCTAGCCTGTTGCACAATCCTATCATCTATAATGGTACTACCACTTCTGTCCCTTGATATCTATTTTAATCTTCAGGTGTGGAGGCCAGGCTTGAACCGCCATGGACGTTGAGCCTGGAGCATGCGACATCAGAGCGCCTCGGAGGAGGCGAAATCGCGTCCTACTCGTTCGACGTTCTCAAGGAAGCAGCTGACGTGGCGGTGGAGAGGCTTGTGATTCGCCAGTGCGGATTGCTGCTGCCTCGGGTGTCTATTGGCTCTCCGTCCCTGCTATTCATTCAGCAAGGTATGCCGGTTTAGCTTGGGTTCTCGTGCACTTGCTCATATCGTTTACATGCATGTTCATGGCTTTCTTCTTTAGTCCCTTGTTAATCTATTTTCTTGTAGCCTGTTATCGATTATTCCTTTTATTATTATTATTGTCATCATCATTCTCTTTTTTTCCTGCTGAACAATTTCAGGGTCGGGTGTGGTGGAGCTGATAGATGACAACGGCCAGGCACCTGCTGACGTGTCACCAATCACGGTGAACAGAGGGGATGCCGTGGTGGTTCCCAAGGGATGGACGTACAGTGTCGGGAACTACCTCAACCAATCACCAGAACTCATCATCACAGCCGTCCGATTCAGCCATCACAAGCAGGTGATTGTTTTCACTGTGTCTTTGCCTTTCCGCACATATTACTGTATTTACTCCTACCTCCTCCACAACCCCCCCCTGTTCTTGAATTTTCATCAGTCCTGCCTTCCCTCCCTGTGCAGAAATCATACCTCGCTGGCAGCAACCCCCACTCCGTGCTGTCTGGCTTCAGTTTGCACATCCTGGAGACGGCATTCAACCAGCAGCACGACGTGGTCAGGGCGCTGCTGCACCAGGCATCTGGAGGAGGGATCATCGTGTCCCGCTGTGTACCACCCTCGCCTCCTGAGCCTGCTGCACAGGAGGATGTTGCAGAGGAGGATGGGGATAAGTCTGAGGAGGATGGGTCAGTGGGGGATGGTTCAGAGGGTGGTGTGTCAGAGGGGGATATGTCAGGGGAGTTGGAGGAAGTAGGACTGGGGAGGTGTGTTGCTATGATGAGGAGGATGGGTTTTGCTGAGGGTGGAATGCAGTTTGTGTTAGAAGGCAAGAAGGATAAGGGGAAGGAGAAGGAGAAAAAAGAGAAGAAAAAGGAAAAGAAAAAGGGCAGGAAGGGGAAAAAAGAGAAGAAAGAGAATGGAAGGAAAGAGAAGAAGAAGAAGAAGAAGAAGACTGTTCTGGTGGATCACGTGGCAGCACGGCGGCCTGCAATCACCACGGAGGGTGGCAGCATGGTGCGCGTGTCGTACCGAGACTTCAAGGCACTCCGGGTCGCAGGCATTGAGGGAGAAATTGTGCTGCTCACGCTTTACCCGGTACGTTTAGTTTGAGATGGTTGAAGTTCTGATACTTGTTGCAAGGTTTGGGATGCGTTTTTCTAGTCTCAAACGCCCTCCACTTAATTTTCCACGTCCAGGCTGACCCCCATCCTCATCCCCATCCGCGCCCTTCACCTTGCTCTCTGCTGGATCATGCCCCTTTTCAGCATGCGGTGGTGGCGCCACACATCCATGGCAACGCAGCAGTGGTCTTCACGGTGCGCAAGGGTTCTGTTCTGCGTGTGAACTCAGCTGGTGATTCGTCCCCTATTCCCTGTCTCTTTTTTATCACCCCCCTCTAGCATGCGGTGGTGGCGCCACACATTCACGGCAACGCAGCGGTGGTCTTCACGGTGCTGCAGGGTTCAGGCCACTTTGAGTCGGTGCACCCCAACGGCACCACGGCCGCCAGCGATGCCGTGTAAGCAGGCCACGTGGGGGTGGTCAGCATGGGGTATGCCAACCCCCCTCTACCTCCCTCTTCTTGCCTCCACACCCTCCCCTCTCCCACCCCCTCCCCCTTCGCTGTCCCCCTCCCTCATCCCTATTCCCTCTCTCCTGAATAGCATGCGGTGGTGGCACCACACATCCACGGCAATGCAGCAGTGGTGTTCACGGTGCTCAAGGGTTCAGGGCACTTTGAATCGGTTCACCCCAACGGCACCACGGCTGCCAGTGATGCCGTGCAGACAGGCCACGTGGGGGTGGTCCCCATGGGTTATGCCCATGCTCTGCAGGCGGGAGAGCAGGGCGTGCAGATTCTCGGCGTGAGAATCGGTTCTTACCATCCATCAATCAAGTTCCTTGCAGGTAATAAGCAGAATATTGTGTTCAACGGCATTTCTTTTTTCATTTCGAGCTGTGACTCCTCTGGTTCGGGTATCTCTGGATTGGTAGTTAATCTTTTGCATCTGTTCTTTTGAGCAGGAAGCAAGAGTGTGTACAAGGCAATGAGGCCGGCGCTTGGTGCTGAAGCTTTCAATATCACCGAAGAGGATTTTTCGAATTTCTTTGGCGCACAGGATAGCCCTGGTATAGTTCCTTGGAAAGGGCCCTTTCCCGGGGTAGCTGCTGTCTAGGATCGTATGTGGGCTGACTTTAGTCTGTGTAGGTACTTGTGCAATGTAATGCTGGTAGCCCATGCCCCGTCAGTAAATTTCAAGCCCATGCCCCGTCAGTAAATTTCAAGCCCATATTAAACATTGTAATTTTGTAATTTTAGGAAATGGTTTGCTATAGTTGCTGTAAGGTCGCACAATCGTCAAGTTTGATTCTATTTATGGTTGTGACCGTGTTGAGGTTAGTCAAATAATGATTATACCGCTTACACTACTGTCCCTTATGATGTTTCAGGTTCCACGTGCAAGGTCTCTGGCTTGCCACGTGTGAGCCAGCAAGGCCTTGCTTTTGGCGAACGCAATTGCGTCAGTGTCCATATTCCCGCCAATATGCCTGCTGCGTCAGCCAGTCCCGATTCCTCGCGAGAGTTCGAATATCGACCAACTAAAAAGCTTTCGCGAAATTCGCAGGATCAGCCAGCCTCGAGATTGCCTCCTTCGCACTCCACGGGAAACTCCTGAATCCTCTGGTTTCTCACACAGGATCGCGCATTATCTATATTTCCCACATTCATCCTTGAAGGCATCTTGCTTGAACAACTCAGCATCTCTAGCTAGTGGCTTCGTGATTTCGTATTAGTCTGTTGCAAATCTCGTTGTCCATTGTCGGTATTTCTGATCAGTTGGATTCGTGCAAGCACCAGTAGAAGGCGATGTCGTTGGGGTTGTGCCAAGGAGCAACCATGGCTGCTTGTCAGATTCCGTCAGCGTCAGTCAGGCTAGCAGCTACCGGCCAGCTCCAGTCGTCCACCGGAACCAGAAACTCGTCCTTCACGCCATCCAGCTTCGCATTTTCGTCTAGAGATGAGTTTTTCAGACCAGGACAAACGGCGCTGCTCAGATGTAGAGTACCGAGTTCGCGCGGCTCGGGATCACGAGGTGCTAGACTAACGGTCAGGGCAGCAGCAGATTATTACACCACGCTGGGAGTTGCCAAGAACGCGTCGAAGCAAGACATCAAGAGCGCGTACCGACGACTCGCTCGGCAGGTGACGATCCTCATTTCTTCTGTTGCTGTGAAGTGCATTTTCTTGGCAGGACCTTGCGTCTGTCAAAGTCGTTGCCACACTTTTTTTTTCCAAATTCTAAGGAGTCTGTCAATTTTGGCTTCACTACACCAGTCCTTTCCCTTCGTGTTCTTTTCTCTTGAAATACATGCAGTTCCACCCGGACGTGAACAAGGACCCCGGAGCGGAGGACAAGTTCAAGGAGATCAGTACCGCGTACGAGGTAACCACATGCACCGTAATGCCCTCAACCATGTCTCTAGTGATCGTTCAGCCTCGTGTGATCATTCTCCCTCGGCCCACGTTCTTTTCGGATGATGAGAAGCGGCCGTTGTATGACCGCTTCTGTGAACCGCAGAAGCATTTCTTCACGCATGCATCGATATATCGTCAACCACACTTCCTGCCATTTCCCCTTGGTGTGATCATTCTCTCCCTTTGCCAGGTTCTTTCGGACGATGAGAAGCGGCCACTATACGACCGCTTTGGGGAGGCGGGCGTGTCTGGGTCTGGTGGCATGGGAGGAGCGGGAGCTTACACGGTGAGTATGGGATGCATTGGCGTTTGAGTTGAGAGAAATTCGCTGTAAACCAACGCTTAGTCAGTATGCGCTCACGGAACGGAACGAACGCATGATTTAAGTTTTTTTCCTCGAAATTTACTGTACACACAGTATAGCGCCCATTAGCGTGCAGGACAAGCACTAAGCCAATCAGTGAAACTCGTCTAACATCCAGACGCACCCATCTGGCGCACCGTTGTCGACACGTGTGGCCGTGTAGTCGAACCCTGTCGACCTGTTCATATTCATATCTGAGTCGGATATGGGCGCTGCTGCGAGGGAAGGCAGGCGACGTGGGCGGAACGCGACGGCCTTTTAAGAAATCTTTACTCATGAGCTTTCTTCTGTCTGCTCTGACTCTACCTCTGCCTGTGGCCGTGCAGTCGAACCCGTTCGACCTGTTCGAGTCCATATTCGGGCCGGGTATGGGCGCTGCCGCGCGGGGAGGCATGGGCGGAATGGGCGGCATGGGCGGCATGGGCGGCGCTGGCCCGCGGACGCGACAACCTGTTCCCGGCGACGATGTCAAGTGAGTGGCGCAGGGTGGGGTGGCTAGATAGGGAAGTACGGAGAGAGAGAAGGCAGTGAGAGACTGACGAAGGACAAGGGAGTTCATCCCACCCATTCCTCCCCGCTCCCGCCCATCCCTGACCATCCTCGCCCAACCTTACCATCCCCGCCCATCCCCGCCCATTTCCGCCCATCCCCGCCCACTCCTACCCATTCGCACCCATCAGAATGGAGATGCCGCTGGAGTTCCGCGAGGTGATATTCGGCGCGGAGAAGACCATCAACGTGGCGCACCTGGACGGCTGCAACGAGTGTGGGGGGTCGGGCGCCAAGGCGGGCACGTCCCCCCGCACGTGCCCCACGTGTCGGGGCATGGGGCAGGTCATGCAGACAAGGCAGACGGCCTTTGGGATGTTCTCCTCGGTGCGTGTCAATGGTGTGGAGTGATCAGGTGTCTCTGGGGCACAGGGCAGGTTAAGGAAGACGGCGAAACCCCATGGGGCGTGTTGTCATGGGTGTGTGAGTGTCATCGGTGTGTGAGTGTGTGGGATGCGGTTGAGCGGAGTGGGAGACCATCAACGTGGCGCGCCTAGACGGGTGCAGTGAGTGTGGGGGGTCGGGCGCCTAGGCGGGCACGTCCCCTCGCACGTGCCCCACGTGCCGGGGCGTGGGGCAGGTCATGCAGACGGCGCAGACAGCTTTTGGGATGTTCTCCTCGGTGCGTTTTAGAGTTAGTGTGGAATATCCCGAGTTCAATGTTGAACAATGGGCAGGTCAGGTAGACGGTGAGAAAGTTTTGGTTGTGTTGTCACGGGGTGTGTGAGCGTGGAAATGCGTTTAGATGGTGTTGGAAGATAAAGGTTCAACGCAGGTATCCCAACTTTGGGAAGCTGATTCCTGATTCTTTTTCTTTACTTTGTGTGCCCCGAATTCCCGCCCCTGTTTCCTTGGTTGCAGGTGTCCACGTGCTCGACGTGTGCCGGAGTGGGGGAGGTGATATCTGAGTTCTGTCGCAAGTGTGGGGGCGAGGGGCGCGTGCGGACGCGCAAGCCAGTGGTGATCAACGTGCCTGCAGGGGTGGACTCGGGCACAGTGCTGCGCGTCAAAGGGGAGGGCGACGCTGGCATGCGCGGGTGAGTGTTCACACGAGCACTATAGGCAACCAGCACCACCAGCAGCACCACCACCATACCACCATCGAACTAGCAGCACCACTGTCACCACCAGTACCAGCACCTTGCAAGCCAGTGGTGATCAACGTGCCTGCAGGGGTGGACTCGGGCACAGTGCTGCGCGTCAAAGGGGAGGGCGACGCTGGCATGCGCGGGTGAGTGTTCACACGAGCACTATAGGCAACCAGCACCACCAGCAGCACCACCACCATACCACCATCGAACTAGCAGCACCACCGTCACCACCAGTACCAGCACCTTGCAAGCCAGTGGTGATCAACGTCCCTGCTGGGGTGGACTCGGGCACAGTGCTGCGCGTCAAAGGGGAGGGCGATGCTGGCATGCGCGGGTGAGTGTTCACACGAGCACTATAGGCAACCAGCACCACCAGCAGCACCACCACCATACCACCATCGAACTAGCAGCACCACCGTCACCACCAGTACCAGCACCTTGCAAGCCAGTGGTGATCAACGTCCCTGCTGGGGTGGACTCGGGCACAGTGCTGCGCGTCAAAGGGGAGGGCGATGCTGGCATGCGCGGGTGAGTGTTCACACGAGCACTTTAGGCAACCAGCACCACTTCCACTACCTGCACCAGCACCACCAGCAGCACCACCACCGTACCACCATCGAACTAGCAGCACCACCGTCACCACCAGTACCAGCACCTTGCAAGCCAGTGGTGATCAACGTGCCTGCTGGAGTGGACTCGGGCACAGTGCTGCGCGTCAAAGGAGAGGGCGACACTGGCATGCGCGGGTGAGTGAGTGGATAGACCATTCAGTGTTTGTGTGCAACAGCACCATCACCACACCAGCACCTGCACCATACTACCAGCGCACTCGCGCCACCTTTGCTACCAGCAGCACTAGCACCTTGCAAGCCAGTTGTGATCAACGTGCTGGCAGGGGTGGACTCGGGGACGGTGCTGCACGTCAAAGGGGAGGGCGACGCTGGCATGTGCGGGTGAGTGAGTGGATAGAGTGTTCAGTGTTTGCACTGCTGCCACAATCAGGATTCGGCACAATCAAGATTAGCACCACCTGCGCCACCAGAACTGCCAGCACTACCAGCAGCAGCACCAGCAGCATAACGACACCAACACCATGCAAGGCAGGGGTGAGTGATCGATGTATCTGGGGCGGGTGGGGTGGCTTTTCTCCACATGCTTGTGAAAGAGGGGAGAGCAAGTTCCCTTTCCTTTCCTGGTCTCATCCTTCTTCTCTTCTCCCCCGCGTCTCACCACCACTCCCCAGGGGCAAGCGGGGCGACCTGTACGTGTTTGTGAAGGTGAAGGAGACGATGGGTATTCGCAGGGACGGCATCAACCTCTACTCCAACGTCTCTATCGACTACACTGACGCCATTCTGGGCACGGTGGCCAAGGTGGGTGTAGTTTCAAAGGTTGGGGCTTGTACAAGTGGTGTCTGGTCATTGAGTCTTGCAGCAGCAGCAGGTGGCATTCGCAGGGACGGCATCAACCTCTACTCCAACGTCAGCATCGACTACACTGACGCTATTCTGGGCACTCTGGCCAAGGTGGATGCTGTCGGCAGGGTGGGCTGGGAATGAGGCTTGTACGGGTGGTGTCTCGGCATTGAGGGATGCAGCAGCAGGTGGCATTCGCAGGGACGGCATCAACCTCTACTTCAACGTCAGCATCGACTACAGTGGCGCCATCCTTGGGACTGTCGCCAGGGTAGGTGTCCTGAACAGTTGGATGCTTTGACCAAGGTGGGTGCTGCTGCTGCTGCTGCCACTGCTGCCATAATTCCCCCACTAATTCCCCCACTCCCACCATCCCACGTATCTCTTTCTCCACTGGTCGCGACAGTGGACGGGGCAGCGGAGCTGAGTGTGCCAGGAGGAACCCAGCCAGGGGACACGCTGGTATTGGACTGCAAGGGTGTGCCCACGGTGGTGCTTTCACAGCTGCTGCTCCCTCTCTCAACTCATACTATTACCCAATCTTCTCCTGTGTCACTGCAGGTGGCCACAGTGGACGGGGCAGCGGAGCTGAGAGTGAAAGGAGGAACCCAGCCAGGGGACACGCTGGTATTGGAGTGTAAGGTCGTGCCTAAGGTGCTGCTGCTGCCACTGCTGCCACGATCTCTCTCTCACCTTCTTGATCTTTGCACTACTACCACATCCCACTTCACCCCTTCAGGTGGCTACGGTTGACGGTGCAGCAGAGCTGAGAGTGCCGGCAGGAACCCAGCCAGGGGACACGCTGGTATTGGAGCGCAAGGGCGTGCCCAAGGTGGGCAAGAGCAACATTCGCGGGGACCACTTCTTTCAAGTCAACGTCTCCATCCCCAAACGAGTCAGGTGCTTATAACGGGTCGGCCACTCATTATAGGGGTAGAAGGTCCCCTTGTTTTGTGAGGTAGAGGGTTTGAAGGGCGCTATGGACGTTTTTCACATCTGCCTTCCATTTTGACGCCCTTCGATAGCCTGCCGCTTCCAACCTTTTTTTCCGCAGCATCAAAACCTGCATCGCACCCTGACCCTCACCCTGCCCCTCACTCTGCCCCTCACCCTGCCCCTCACCCTGCCACCCACCCTGTCTGCCTGGTGCCTTGTGGCATTGTTGTTTGAGCAGCCCCACGGAGCGGGATCTGGTGGAGGAGCTGGCGTCCATTCACAAGACGGGCAAGACGCGCACGGGCATCACTGTGGAGGGAGCAAGTGAGTTCCCACTGCTTGCCTGGTTGGCCCGCTTGCTTGTGTGTGTGCGTGCATGCATGCATGCGTGTGGCTGTGCATAGTGTCTATGTCTGTGTGTGCGTGTATGTCGAGAATTCCTCGCATCGGGGTTGCTAATGCTCCCTCAGTTGCTCTCCTCTCTCCCCTCTCTCTCCCCTCTCTTCCCCTTCTCTCTCTCTCCCTCCCTCCCCCCTCTCCCAACCTCTCCAGGGCCGCGGTTTTCATCCTCCAGCTCGGGCGTGGATGGGGTGGGCATTGTCGACACTGTCAAGTTAGGCTCCCCTTCCCACTCTCTCCTCACTCTCTCTTTCCCCCTCTCCGCCCCTCCTCAGGGCCACGGGGTTCATCCTCCAGCTCAGGAGTGGATGGAGAGGGCATCGTCGACACCGTCAAGTAAGCCCCTCCGCCCCTCTACCCCTCTCCCCATTGCACTGCCCTTGCAAGGGTTAGACGGGTTGCCCTCGAGTTTAGACATCTACCCTTGGTGATGCCTTTCAGCCCCATGACCAGGCTCAGCGCGATTCTACCAGGCTCTTTTCGAGAGCCTGTAGGAGCGACACTCGCATGCAAGCCACAGGCAGGCAGGCAGACTTGAACCTGACCAAGTCCTACTCCTACCTGCCTGCCTGCCAGTTCTGTCATCAGCACCTGATGATCACACAACCGCTTGCTGTTAAGACAGGCAGGGGATTAGTGAGCCAGGGTTTTAGGCCCCTTGCCTGCACACGCCTGGCTCGTGCTCATTGGTTGCTCTGGTTGATCCTGCAGTGGGCCCAAACGGGTGATCCAAACCATCCAATCTGAAGCCAGGAGATTCACAGAGGAGACCATCCAGCCGTTCATTTCCCCTGCAACGCCAATCACATGGCGCCATGTGGCGAATGCAGCAGTGCTGGCTGCAGTCTTAGCTCTGGCCATGGCTGTTGCAGCAGCAGCGGCACGAGCAGCTTGGGCATGGTTGAAGGGTCGCTTTCGGTTAACCCCTTAGCTCCTAGTAAGCGTGTCATTTGAGACGTCTCAAAACAACACTTTTATCTCCAGCAGCAGGGGCAAGAACAGCTTGGGCATGGTTGAAGGGACGCTTTCGGTTAACCCCTTAGTTCCTAGTAAGCGTGTCATTTGCCTTTCTCTGGTTGTCTTTTGCGCTACAGCTCATCGCTGTTTTTTTGCGTTTGTTTTTTCTCTTCTCCCACCCACTCCGGGCCCTCCCTTGATTGTCTGTTGATCTTTTCAACTCCCTCCTGCAGGACTGTTTTTTCGGGCATTAAAGATTTCTTCAGCAAGTGAAGCATGGAAAATCGCAAGTAGTAATGATACGAGGCAGTATCAGGAGTTAGGATTGCAGAGACAGCTGTAGGAAGTCTTGCTGGTGTGATGTTGCTAGTCAGGCATGCAGTCTGTAATTTTATTGTGTGATGAAATGATACAGGGATTCCATGAATATTCTCACGGCCAAGGCAGGATTCACCTACCGTACTGGAGCTTCTCACTGTCTCACAATTCTTTTCTGACCTGTAACTAGTAAGAACAGCCAATCGAATCCCCGAATATCAAAGTGCAACCTCAGACTCAGCCAGTGTATTCCAAAAATGTGTGGAATAATTTATTGGACTGGAGGCTCCAATGAACACACAAGAAGTCCCTTCACACGCACATGGCCAGAGGCATCATCACTTGAGTCATATTAGTGGCATAAACTTAATTAAAGCCCAAGCACTTTCTTCAGGACTGCTGCATGCGTGGGACCAGCGGCCCTCTCATACGTCCAGGCAGGCCCACTCAATCCCAAGGGTACCCTAACCTTTACCTTATATCCAAGAAATCCCTCCAGAAATATTACCGTATCGTCTAGAAGCCCTGTACCAAAATATCAAAGCCCAAGTACTCTTTTCACGAGTGCGGCATGCTTGGGACCGGCAGCCCTCTCGTACATCCAAGCCAGCTCCTCCCGCTCTCGCTGTGACAGCATCTCACGTAAAAGGTTGGCTGAGGATGCCAGTTCCGGCTGACAGTGATGGCAGAAAAGGGATCATATGGAACCAGGGCACAGAGGAGTTAAGCAGACGCATATTCATGCATATCATGAATGGATGGATGTGGAAAGATGTGCATGCATGCGCATGCACATCCAGAAACCCATTCTTTGCGTACAAGTGCATAACATGTGGTAGAAGCAAAGGATAAGAAGCAAAGGGCACGCACCGCGACTAAAGCAGGAGTGAACTCAGAGAGAAGCTTCGAAATCTGCTGCAGTTTCACCTCCGCTTTGCCTCTCATACTCTCTTCTAACAGCTCCTGCTTAAAAAAACAAAGAGAGCGAAATGCATTGGAAAAAAAAAAAAAAAAAAAAAAAAAAAAAAAAAACGTGGAAGGGTCGAAATTGCCAATGATGGCTAGGCAGCCTATTCTTGAGGCGCCTAACAAAAAGCAGCCTGTTTTACCAGCCACTGCTCTGATTACCAATCACACATGATCATAAACGTGCACACCTGCACTCACATTGCATGCCACGAGCTCTGCTGCCACTCTGCTCGCAGCGCTGCTGCCAAAGCTGATGGGGATGTGAGGCACACCGCTGCTGCCATGGCGTTTGAGTAGACTCACAAGGGAGCACACAGCAGACAACACAAGGCACTCACATTGCATGCCACAAGCTCTGCTGCCACTCTGCTGGCCACCCCTCGCAGCGCTGCTGCCAGGGCCGCAGGAGGGGCCAGGCTCACAGCTTCTGCCATGGCCACTATGAATGATGGGCCCGAGGTGGGGAGTTTGGGCGGCTGGTGGGAGCTGTGTGTATAGGGGCGGGGCGCAGAGGGGGATAGGGAGACTGTGAGACCCGCAGCTGCTGCCAGAGCTGCAGGCGGGGCCAGGCGAGTCGACTCAAAAGTCACCTCGGGATAGGGAGCCTGTGAGACCCGCAGCTGCTGCCAGAGCTGCAGGCGGGGCCAGGCTCACCGTTTCAGCCATAGCCACTAAGAATGATGGGCCCGAGGTGGGGAGGCTGGATGGGTGTTGCGAGCTGCATGGAGGGTTGGAAGTATTGTTGACAGTAAGTGGGATGGGGTAAGGGGGTTGGGGAATGGGAATGGGAAACGCGGTGATCTCTTTTCCCCATCACTCTCAGCCAAACCCATCTCCCCCCATCCCTCTCACCCCATCCCATCACCCCATCCCAACAATCTCAATCAACCCATCCCTTTCACGCCATCCCATCACCCCATCCCTCCTTATTTGTTTCCCCTACCCAATGCATTCGTCCAGTGCCAGCTGGACGGCGGCGTTGAACACTATCAGCCGCACAGAGTCCCTCTGAGTGTGCCACGTGTCACCAGATGCTCGCCACGCTGCCCAGATCTGACGGATTGACAACAAAGGTGGATGAGGATGGGTTTGAAAAGTTGATGGGTGGATAGGGATGGGTTTGAAGGGTGGATGTGAGTTGACGGAGATGTATCCATGCTGCTGAAGTGTGATTGTGCGTCTCTTCTGCATGAGAGATGCAGAACGTGTCAAACAGGCCTAGTGTGGTGCGGTGTGGTGCAGTGCAATGTGGTGCGGAGCAATGTGGTCAGGTGCGGTGCACCACACCTGAATGAGAGCATCTGCCGGGATGTGCCCCTGCGAGTTGAACTGCTCCAAAGCACCTGAGATTGAAATTGCACGCCATTGCAAAGAAACACAATCAGATGAGTATAGATTACGTCAACACCTCTAATAAACCGATCCATGGGTCGTGTTTTCCGCTTGCTGTGGTTCGAATCCAATTTGTTTTGTTTTGGGTTGACTCAAAACCCGATCTATGAAGATTTTCAAAGACCAACTAGTCTCATAGCCATGCCATCCTACCCAATCCAAGTAGCCCCAGCCCCTTCCAACTGCATCCCACTGCAACCCACATCATCCCAGCCCACTTACCCATCACAGCGACCCGTGTGTCCTTCACCGAAGCGCCTCCCGAACCAGCCACTCCAGCTTGGCCACTGCCCGCGCCTGCACCCGAGCCTGCAGTCGAGCCTGTAACCAACCGCTGTGTCAGCTGCAAGGCCAACTCGCTCCAGGCATCTCGCCACCAATCCGGGATAAGATCCGATTTGATCCCATTGCCGTTCTTTTGACCCTTCACTGCTTTACGATCCACTCTGCTGCCTGTGTTGCATTGATTGAGGTGGTGACTAAATTTCTTCCCAGATTGACTACTTACTCCACCCATGCCCTTCGGTGCTTTCGCTGGTCTCCCTGCACGTTCACCTGAACTTTCACCTGAGCGTTCTGTTGTATCAACCTGACTCATTTCAAGAGCCAGCATGGTGCGGTGAATGTCTTCTGCCTCTTTCCCTGCTGGTTCCACTCCACCATTAAGACCAGCATAACCGCCACTGAACCCAAACACAGTTTTCATCACAAAGGCAGAACTACCAGTTTCACCAATCCCGCTACTGCCTGTCTGCTCCTGTTGTTGCTGCTGCTGCTGCTTCTGCTGCTGCCGGCTATGCTTCTGCTGGCCCTCTTTCTGCTGCTGCTGCTGCTGCTGCTGCTGCTGTCGCTGCTGCAGCGAATTTTGCTCTGCCTTCTCCTGCTGCTGCTGCTGCTGCTGTCGCTGCTGCAGTGACTTCTGCTCTGCCTTCTCCTCCTGCTGTAGCAAAACCTCTTCAGGACCCACAGCCCACAGCACAGGCGCAAAGAATGAGTGCACAGCAGCGGCAGCTGCCGTTAATTTGGGATTCTCAGCAGATACCTTCCGATTAGCTATCCCTTCCTGCTGTAACGATGCCTTCTGTTCCGCCTTCTCCTCCTGCTGCTGCTGCAAAACCTCCTCAGGACTCACAGCCCACAGCACAGGCGCAAAGAATGAGCCCATAGCAGCGAAAGCTGGCATTTCTTTAGAATTCTCAACACATACCTTCCGATCAGCCTTCTTCTCCTCCTTCTCCGTCTCCTCCTCCTCCTCCTCCTCCTGCTGCTGCTGCTGCTGCTGCTGCTGCAGGGCCTTCCGCTCAGCCTTCTGCTCCTGCTGCTGCAATGCCTTCCGCGCAGCCTTCTCCTGCTCCTGCTGCTGCTGCTGTGCATTCCGTTCAGCCTCCTCCTCCTGCTGCTGCAAAACCTCCTCGGGACTCACAGCCCACAGCACAGGCGCAAAGAATGAGCGCACAGCAGCGGAAGCTGCTTGGAAGCTACGTGCGACGAGGGAGGTGCGGAGGAGAAGGCAGAGGAGGAGGAGGGAGGAGGAGAGGAGGAGGGCGAGGCGGAGGGGGAGAGGGGCGGAGCGGGGAGGTAGCATCTGGTGCAGGCGAGCAGGGAGGGCTGCGATCTGGGTGGTGAGAACACGCCTGTCAGTGGACGGGTGGGTGGGGGGATGGGAGGGTGGGATGACGGGTGGATTGTAAGCAAATGGGGGGTGGGCGACTGGGTGGTGAGAACACGCCTGTCAGTGGAGGGGTGGGTAAGTGGGTGGGTGGGTTGGGATGATGGGTGGATTGGATAGTGGGCGAGTGAGTGGAAAGAACAAGCCTGTTAGTGGTTGGGAACGGGTTGCGGGCAGTGGGAAGATGGGTGGGTGGGCGAAAGCGTATTATAGAAGTCATAACTATGAGAGAATTATGAGAGAACTGAGGGGTGGGTGAGAAGGGAAAACTGTGAGCAGGAAGTTTGGAGTGGGTGGGTGACCAGGTGTGATGCACACACACCAGGCGTGACGTACACACACACACCTGGCCTTATCCATGGTGGGTGGAACTGACTCAGCCACTGACGCTGACACGTCAGCAAACCAGTCAGACACCGAATCCACGGCCTTCTCTAGTGGAGATTTATACAAGTCCGACAATCCCAAGGCTGACGAACCCCTTCTCCTCCTCCTCTCAAAAAGTCTCCTTCGATGGCGTATCTGCTGCCGTACACCCTCCCCAATCTCCTTAACACACTCGTCACCAATTTTCTCCACATCGTCAGCAATCCTCTCCATATAGTCACCAATCCTCTCAACATAATCACCATCCCTCGGAAACCATACCCTCTGGTTATCCCCTTCCCTCCAAATACCGTCTCCTCTTCCCGCTCTACCTCCCCCTCGCCGCCTCCGCGTTCGTCTTTCTTCCCACAACCTCGAGAATTCATCGTCCCTGTTGCTGGGGATCCAGTTCTGTGCCGTAACATTGTAACCAGAAGGCTCCTGAATGGACTCAACAGCTGTCCGGGAATCAAACTCCTTGCTACTGCTGATGTTGCTGCTGCTGCTACTGCTGACGTTGATACTGCTGCTGCTGCCACTGTACAATGTGGTAAGTGCAATAAAACGCCTCAGAATTTTCTCTTGCCAGGAGCAATCCTCCCTGCTGGTATCAGTGCTACTCTGCAACGGATTTAACCGCACATCATTGTTCTGCAGAGCAGTAACTCGCACACCACGACCCTGCACTCCATGCCATGGTGTTTCAAAGCGCCTCGTGACATTCACCTGCAAGGGCCTACAATTAGCCAGAACACCCCTCCGCCTTGGTAAAATGGCTAACGTTTCTGGTCCTGCCCGGCTCCTGGGTACTGCTCGTCTCAGACTAAAAACATGATGATTTTGTAGTCGTCTCGAAGCTACTACTACTGGGCTCAGACGATTATAAGATGCGGTCCAGTTACCACTAATAATAATGCGAGTGGAATTGAGGTTACCAACATTAGGGTTACCACCATTAGGGTCACCACAAGAACTAACGCTGGGTGACGGTTCATGGTAGGTTTGAAGCTTCACGCCTCGGCATGCTTGAAGCTGCACAGCCATGGGAGTCGCCTATGGAAAGGGAACGTATGTGGTGTGAGCTGCCAAGGCCTTTTCATGGTTCAAATCAACGGGCCAGAGAGTGAATTGGTATGGGACTCCTGTATGACACTTCAGGGCAGCTGGCTAGTTAGAATTTCCCGGGAGTAATTCTGGAACTGAAAGGAAACTCCTGCCTCGACAGAATTCCGCAGGGGTGGCGGACCAAGAGCGGATGAAACGCCAGCTGCGGTGGCTGGATTGCCATGGAAAAATTGCCACTCGTACTAGAAGTCGCCACTGAGCTTGCGGGGTGAAAAATTCCCACCGGTGCCTGGCAGGTGCAGGCGCTTAGCCGCTGAGCGAGTGGGTCGCCGAGTACAGGCGGGTGTTACCGTGAATGTGGGCGAACTTGACGGTACCCGGGGCATGAAAAAAAAAACATTTCCGCGTTGTGGATCCGAGTTCTGGTTTGGACTGAAACCCTCGCCATGCCACCCAGGAGAGAGGGAAGTTCATTTTGCTCTTCAGGTTTCGCCATTGCTCTTCAGAGTTGCCAAACCTCGTTCCGTTTGGGTCCCACACCTGAGGGAGCAGGAGCCATCATCAGGATCCTACGTCGGGTAGTGAGGCCGCCCGACACCCTCGATACCCATTGTTCAGTCAGCTTCAGTGTCATGTCACCCGCGACAGCGAACCGTCTGCCGTGTCCGGTGTGCTGAACACAGTTACAACTCGCCACTATGAACGAACCATCAGCCATCGTACGGAAGCACGGGTTACGTGCCACGTGTAGCTCCGCATCCGCCAAGCAGTGTGAAATCTGTTGAAGTGACGCGTGCGCCATCGACCCACTCGACAAGCTGGCGAACTCAAATGTTCATATTAGTTAGAAATGATACCTCTATTTCTGAAGTGTGATAGGTGTGACGGAATGATGGGAGGGAGGGGTGGTGTGATGCATGATGCTGCGAAGTTGGAGGGCGTGGAGAAGGCGTGAAGAAAGAAACATCACTACAGACTGACTCGGTACGAAAACTGCCGCTGGTGCCACACCCCTTAAATGAGATGCGACAGGATAGAACAGTGCATTCGAGATTTCACACTACATAAATTTTCGTGAAGTAGCAATCAGCTAAATTCAATCAACAAAGGAAAACACATTCCGTCACGTGGTGGTCGATAGCTAGCTTGGCAAACCCTACATTATACCCCAAGAGCAGTCCTCACGAGCACCACATGCATGGGACCAGCAGCCCTTTCATACATCCATGCCAGCTCCTCCCGCTGCCGGCGAGTCAGCATGACACCCAGACAGTTGGCTGAAGACGCTAGCTCAGGCTGGTGGGGATGGATGAAGATGAGGGCAAGGGGAGACGATGGGGCAAAGGGAGAAGATGAGGGCAAGGGGAGAAGACGGGGGCAAGGGGAGAAGATGGGTGAAAGCGGGAGGAATGGGGTGCTGGAGTCATACTGTTGTGATACAGGTAGCACAAGGTGGTGTGGATGCAAAGAGAGGAATGGGGGGAGGGAGGGGGAGGGAGTGGGAAGACGAGGGGGAAAGCAAACGTGTGGATGTGTGCAGGAGTGCAGCAGCAGAGCATGTGCACGTGTGTGTTGATCATCCTTTTTGAGGCGCCTCAAAAGCCGAACGGGGCGATTTTTGAGGCGCCTCAGAAAGCAAACGTGTGGATGTGTGCAGGAGTGCAGCCCAAGAGCATGTGCACGTGTGTGTTGATCATTCAGGCACATAAGCCACGTACAGAGATCGCAGGAGGAGTGAAGTCAGAGAGCAGGTTTGCTATCTGGCGCAACTTGACGCTTGCATGGCGCCACATGAACGCTTCTATCATGCCCTGCTTCCCATCCCATACAACCACACACCACACGTGCACAAACCAAAAAGGTATGTGATGGAGTAGCATATTGAAGCACCTCAAGAGTTGCATGGAGGCACACGAAGAATCATACAAATCCCTATTTTGAACACACTCACACAAAACAACCAGATCAATACAGGGGGAACACCGGATACCATGGCAGCACTCCTACCGCCCTGTTATTGTCACACAACAACGCGCGCACACCTCGTTATAACCACCCACACAGAGTACTCACATTGCAAGCGATGAGCTCTGCTTCCAGCCTGGCAACCACGCCTTTGAGTGTTGCTGCGAGGGCTACAGATGGCGCAAGGTGGACTGGAAGTGCCAGTCTAGTGTGCCTTTGAGTATCCTCACAAACACCCTGCAGACTCACATTGCAAGCGACAAGCTCTGCTTCCAGCCTGGCAGCCACGCCCTTGAGTGTTGCTGCGAGGGCCACGGGTGGTGAGAGGCCGACATTGGCTGCTGGTCTAGTGTGCCTTTCCGTATCCTCACAAACACCCTGTAGACTCACGTTGCAAGCGATGAGCTCTGTTTCCAGCCTGGCAACCACGCCTTTGAGTGTTGCTGCGAGGGCCACGGATTGTGAGAGGCCGACGGCTGCTGCCATGCCAGCGAGGAATGATGGGCCGGAGGAGGTGGGGTGACAGGGCGACCTGCACGTGAGGCTCGGTGTCGTGGGAGGGAGGGGGGGAGCATGGGGTGAAGGATGGCGAGAGGCCGATGGCTGCTGCCATAGCAGCGAGGAATGATGGGCCGTAGGAGGTGGGGAGACAGGGCGACCTGCACGCGAGGTAGAATATATAGGCAGGAACTAGGTGGGGTAGCCTAGGGGCATGTAAGGGTGACTCACAATGTATGTCAACATTGTATGAGAATTTTCGAAAACCGGCTACCACTCCCACAATCACCCCATCCCCGCGGATTTTTTTAGGGGCTTCAGATCATAAGTCACTCATCTGGTGCACTCCATTTCTCAGATCCTGGCCTGGCCCTATCACTCACCTCATGCACTCATCCAGTGCCAGCTGGACGGCGGAGTTGAACACTATCAGCCGCACAGAGTCCCTGTGAGTGTGCCACGTGTCACCAGATGCCCGCCACGCCGCCCAGATCTGACGGCTCACAGGAGGTTGCGGATAGAACAGCAAAGAAAAGGGACTGTCAGTTTGAGCACGTTTTGGAGTTCCCAAGAGAAACGGTTGAAACCCGGAAGTCCGAGAAGGTTAAACAATCGTATATTGCGGTCTGATGTGGCGTGATGTGGTTTCGCGTGGTGTAATAGGTTGATATGTGGTGTGGGCACCTGCTTGAGATCCTCTGGTGGGATGTGGCCGTGCGAGTTAAAATGCTCCAATGCCCCTGACAACGAACATCATAATGACAATGTGAAAATGACAAAACCAGTGTCTATGACAATGATTATTGATGGGAATGCACCTGACTGGCAGTGTACGGAAACAAAAAAGAATGCACCTGAAGTTACACGATGCGATTACAACACGGGATGGATTTGGCTCGTAGCATTTGGAAGCCTCATGATGCCTATGCACGCACATCTGACTCGTACCATTATTTCACCCAACCCACATCTGCTTTCCCCAACCCCCCCAACCCAACCCCTTCCACACACTTGCAGAAGCTTCCATTGCACATGATGTTATCATGTGCAACCTAACACAGCCGTACAACCCATGGTATCAAACCCTCCCCACCCTCCACCCCTCCCCACCCATCCCCACATACGCATCACAGCCAGTCGTGTGCCTTTCTCAGGAGCGCCTCCCAAACCTGTTGGTCTGGCTCGGCCCGAACCTCCATCCAATCCCTGTGCCCGCTGCAAGACCACCTCATCCCAGGCCTTCTGCCACCAATCAGGAACAAGCTCCGATTTTATCCTCTCCTCCTCAACTTCAACCCTTCTCTTCCTGTAGACGCTCCCTTCGGATTTGTTTTCCCTTGCTTCCTCTACGCCCGTCACAGCCTCTGCTTTGCCCGCTTTTCCTGCAGCTTCTCCTGCTGCTTCCTCTGCTTCTTCCTCAGCTGCTTTCTCTGCTGCTTCCCCTGCTTCTCCCTCGGATTCTTCGTCCACTTCCTCCTCTGCTGCCCCCTCTGCTGTTCCCTGTGATTCTTCTTCTGCTGCTTCCTCTACTAGCCCCTCTGCTGCTTCCCCTGCTGCTGCTTCCCCTGCTGCTGCTTCCCCTGCTGCTGCTTCCCCTGCTGCTGCTTCCCCTGCTGCTGCTTCCCCTGCTGCTGCTTTTCCTGTTGCATCTCCTGCCGTTTCCTCTGATGCCTCTCGTGCTGCCTCTGCTGCTCCCTCTGCTGCTTTCTCTGCTGCTGCTACCTCTGCTGCTTTTCCTGCTGCTTCCTCTGCTGCCTCCTCTGCTGTTGCCTCTGCTGCTCCCAATGTTGTTGCCTCCGTTGCTCCCTCTGCTGCTTCCTCTGCTGCTCCCAATGCTGTTGCCTTCGTTGCTCCCTCTGCTTCTTTTTCTGTTGCTCCCTCTGCTATTGCCTCTGCTGTTGCATCTGCTGCTTCGTCTACTGCTCCCTCTGCTGCTCTCTCTGTTTCTCCGTCTGTTGCCTCTTCAGCTTCTTCCTCCACTGCTTCCCCCGCTGCCGCTAGTTCCCCTGCTGCTTCAAAAAGTAAACAACCACCAAGATCACCTGAATTTTCACCTGAACCTTCTGTTGCATCCACCCAGCGCACATCAAGTGCCAGCATCAATGAAAAAATGTCATCTGCCGCATTCAGTGACTCAAACACTTCATCTACATCACCACCACCACCACCACTGCTGCCACCACTGGAACCACCATCACCAGCAGCAGCATTACGAACAGCAGCAACAATAGTCCCTTCGTCAGCCCCACCGTCACCAATCAGTTGCTTCAGAGACTGCTGAACCTGCTGTTGCTCTTGCTCCGTTATCCCCTCAGTGCTCAACCCCTCCTCCTCCTCACCCTCCCCTTCCTCACCCACCTCCTCACCCCCCTCCTCCTCACCCCCCTCCTCCTCATCCTCCTCCTCCTCCTCCTCCTCCTCCTCCTCCTCCTCCTCCTCCTCCTCCTCCTCCTCCTCCTCCTCCTCCTCCTCCTCCTCCTCCTCCCCCCCATTCCTCCTCCTCCTCCCCCCATTCCTCCTCCTCCTCCTCCCCCCATTCCTCCCCCTCCTCCCCCCACTCCATCTCCTCCTCCCCCAATTCCTCCTCCTCATCCTCCTCCCCCCACTCCTCCTCACCACACTCCTCCTCCCCCTCCCCCCCACTCCTCCTCCTCGTCATCCTCCTCCCCCTCCTCCTCCTCCTCCTCCTCTTCCTCAATCATAAGCCGAACCCTATCCCGCAAGTACGAAATCTCTTCAAGACTTGACACAAGCTCCTCTGGTGCTATTATTGCTACTATTGCTGCTGTTGCTGCTGCTGCTTTGTTTCTTTTCTTTTCTGCTGCTGCTGCTGCTGCTGGTGGCGGTGCTGTTGCTGCTGCTGCTGCTGGTGGTGGTGGCGGTGCTGCTGCAGCTGGTGACTCCTCCTCCTCCTCCTTCTTCTGCCCCTCCTCATCCTGCTGCTGCTCCTGCTCCTGACCAATGACAAGCGGGGCCCTCCGCTGCAGCTGCAAGCTGTCTTCTCGCATCCCGGCATGGTGCAAAGGTGTTTTACGCCCTTCAGGCTTCAATAAGAGACCTCCAGCACGGGAAAGCTGGGTGAAAAAACGACGCACAGCAGAGGAAGCTGCAAGGAACGTGCGAGCGACGGTGCGGCGCAGCAGGAGGAGGAAGAGAAGCAGCAGGGAGGCGGCGAGGAAAGGGGCTAGGTTTCGCAAGTGCGGGGAGGAGAGGGGAGGTATCATCTGGTGCAGGCGAGCAGGGAGGGCTGCGACTTGGGTAGTAACCACCCGTCCAATCCCGCCGTCATCCCTGATCCGCTGCATATAGTCACGATCCGTCTTCACAGGGTCAGCTCTCTGCTTCAAATTCTCACCACCCTGCTTGATATAGTCACTTTCTCGCTTGATACAGTCACCATCTCGCGAATTATTGTCATCTTCTATTTTCTCTCCAGATTTTTCCCTGTCTGGCGCCCCCCACGGTTTTCCACCTCCTACTCCTCTCCCCCCTCGCCCACCCTGTCGCCTCCTCTCCACGCGCCTCGCAGTCCACGAAAACCCGTCGCTCCTGCCACCGCTGCCTCCGCTGTGGTAAGTCGATTTTTGAGTCGACTCAATAAACCCGTCGCTCCTGCCACCACCACTACCTCCGCTGCTGTTGAAGCTACTGCTGACGCTGATCCTGGTCCTGCTGCTGCTGCTGCTGCCGCTGCAGCTGCTGCTGCTGCTGCTGGTACTGATTCGGCTCCTGCTGCTGCCGCTGCGGCTGCTCCGCCATGGGATTGTCACGCGGCACTTTCCCTTTGTACCCTTTATTGAATGATCCCCGTGGGAGGGCGCCAGAGCAGGGCGTATGCCGTGTACGGCTAACGAGAGTTGGATGGTGGTGGCAACAGTCGCAGCCATGGTTGTTGCTGCCACGGTTCGAACACAAGTGCTGTGTGAAAAAATATGAGTAGAAGGAAAAAAAAAAATGGCGTCGCACAGTGGTTTGATGAGCCGCTGCCGAGGGAGCAGAACTAAGACGGCCGAATCTGGTTGAATGATTGAATCCGTCTAAAGAAGCAAGAGCCCTCGGATCATTTCGCGCCATCGCATATCAAACCATCCCATCGCATCACATTCGTTCCCACCCTATCTTATACCACCGCATCCCACCCTGCATCCTCGCCTCGTCACCGCATTGGACGCCTGGGTCACCTTGGAAAGCCGCAGCAACCACGCTGAAAATTTCAGTCCGGCGGGGCGCGTGCGCCTTCCTTCGCCTGGATCTGCGCCCCATCTCCTCCGCAAACATAAGCTTCCGCCTCTATGCTTTCCGCGCGGATGCGTTCCGCTTGTGCTTTTCGCTCCGCCTCCATGCTTTCCGCGCGGACTCGTTCCGCTTATGCCTTTCGTTCCGCTCATGCTTTCCGCAAGGATGCGTTTTCGGCCGGAATTTCCATACTTCGCGCAAACCACGGTGAGGGGCGGAGGCGCGGAGTAGACGAGCGACAACACGCCACGTCTTGGCAGAGCGCGCGACACGTGGATCGCATGAAATTCAATGGTGCCATTACACGCGGACGACAGAGGTATTGCGCGTGTAGCCTGCTGCCAGCGGGAACATCAAGGTTAAGCCATGCAAATAAGACAGGTGGTTTCAGAAATTGAAGGGGCGAATTTCAGTGTCATACGCGTTTGAGGAGGTGCGTAGGGCTACGAGACTCGATAAGATGTTGGCACGGGATGTGAACAAGCACCTCAAGTACGTCTTTTGAGATTTGTGCTTCGTTCTTCTTGAACACTTTGATGTATTTAACACAATGCTATTATGTTAGCCCATTGCTGTTAGCAGCTAATCTATATCGAGCGGCAACGGCTAAATTCGAAACGGAGTAATCTTGAGTCAAGTTGGCATCGATGGTACCATCAGAATTGGGCATGATAATTTCACAGGTGCTGCGGTCGCGTTCAGAAAGCCCCTTGAAGTAGTTTATGCGCACACTCCCCGTGGGCGCTATGTAGCCTCCCGGCTCCGCATTCAAAATCCTGCACCAAAGCACCTCATAAAAGTTATAGAAAAAACCAATAGGAGGCTGAACTGTGTTCCATTGCATTGACTTGCATGCGCTTTTGGTATGGGGGTCTGATGAAGCATTGAACAACCTTGGGGAGTTTAGCAACCCATGGATTGTTCTACTCACCGGTTGCTCTGAACCACGAGGGTTTTGCGCGGGTTGATGGCGAGTTGGCGAAGGCCATCTGCCTTTTGGCATACGGTCTTGTCGCTATAGCTGCTGTTCTCCTTGCAGTATGGCTCAGGGTCCCGATACACCATGCGCTCTACCGCCCACTCGTCCCCCTCACTGCACGGGTTGTGGGTGGTGGTGGGAGGTGGAAGACAGGGGGGATGGTTAGAGGCATGGCACACGGTCTTGTCGCTGTAGCTGCTTTTCTCTCTGCAGTATGGCTCAGGGTCCCGATACACCATGCGCTCCACTGCCCACTCGTCCCCCTCACTGCACAGGTTGTGAGAGGTGACAGAGACAGAAACATGCTACCAGTCACTGAAATAGGAATGCAGGATCGGTGCTGCCCTACGCTCGTTCTTTTTAGAACCACATAACAAAGAAAGAAAGAAAGAAAGAAAGGAAGAAAGAAGAAGAAAAAAGAAGACGAAGAAAAAAAGGAAGCATACGCAAAGATTAAAGGGAAGGGGCAAGAGTGAAGGCGCAAGCGTCTCACCTGATGTCAGGCAAAGGAGCGCAGCGATCGACAGAGAAGACGAAGCACCCAAAGCTCACCCACGTCCACCCCTCCTCGGCCCCCCCCTGCCCCTGCCCCTGCCCCTGTCCCCCGCCCAGCCCCTGCCCTTGCCCCCTCCCGTCAAGCGTCTCACCTGATGTCGGGCAGAGGAGCGCAGCGGTCGACAGAGAAGACGAAGCACCCGAAGCTCACCCACGTCCACCCCTCCTCGCCCTCCCCCTGCCACCTCCCGTCAACAGTCTGGCCCTTCCCATCGAGGAACGCCAGCAGAGAGAGCGCCCTGCTGTTACTCGGGTCAGCCAGGAGCGTTCTGGGAAAGGTGGCGGTACCAGTGGCAGTGGTGGTGGCAATGGTGATGGTGGGAGTGGTGGTGGTGGTGGTGGCGGCGGTGGCAGAAGTGGTGGTGGGGGGATAGCGGTTGGAGATGAGGGCGTGGGGGATGGTGATGTAGTGGTCAAAGTCGAGGAAGAGCGTCCAGCGGGAGAGGTGGCGCGTGCGGAATATGCAGTCGTTCATCGCTAGGAGCTGGAAGAATGTAGGTGAGGGGGATGGGAGGAGCGTGGGGAGGAGAGGGGAGGGAGGGGAGGGAGAGAGGGGGAGTCTGAGGTGCCTCGTGCGGAAAATGCCATCGTTCATTGCTAGGACCTGGAGGAATGGAGGTGAGGAGGGAAAGGGAGGGAGGGGAAGGGTGGGAGGTAAGGGAAGGGAAGGAAAAGGAGGCAAAGCAGAATGGAAGAAGATGTTCATAAGTTTCAGAGGGGAAGTGAAGCTGGCGTTCATAACAGACAAACTTGCTGTTCATCTGTTCAGACGAACACAAACACACGGACATACATATTGGAGCGACTTTTGAGAATTCTCAAAAGTCGCTCCAAGGACACACAACGCAACACGCACGCACCCGCACATAAGCACGCACGCACACACATACAGACAAAACATACCCACCTGAGCGTGGTGGTAGCTCTCGAACCGGGCGGCGTCTCTGAGATCCGCGATCTGCACTGAGCCGCCCGCCAGCAGCGGGTGCAGCGCATGTCGCACGGCGCCGTCCACGCCGCCCGCATCGTACAGCAGGAAGAGGTCCACGCGGTGAACAGTGCTGTGGAAATCCATCCACTCGCGCAGCCGGCCGGCGTGTGTCGGCTTGTATAGGGGCGACGAGCAGTGGGTGAGAGCATGGCTGGAGAAGGGAGGATAAGGAAGTGGAGAGGAGAAGGGTGGAGAGGGGGGGATGTGTGTCTTGGGAGGGAATTCATAAATGTGCACAGCATGTGGGCAGGTAATGCCCTTAGTGAGTGTTTTTTGAGAATTCTCAAAAAACACTCGCTGGAAGGAATTCATAGATGTGCACAGCATGTGGCAGTTAATGTAATGCCCTTGCTCCTCCCCCTCCTCCTCCTCCTCCTCCACCACCACTATTCAGGCGATTCAACACAAGCACCAAACAAAAACCCCTATCCACACCCACGGGAAGTTGTGGGTGCGCATGGCATGCGGCAGATCATGCCCTTGCTCCTCCTCCACCACCACTGCCTCACCCATCCACCGCCATCACCAGCTGCCTCCCCGATATCGGCCCCGTGGGCGCCTGCAGGGTTTTGAGGGTCTCAAAACCCACTATCGGCCCCGTTTGCCCTTGTAGCGAGCTCTGCAGGGCTCACTGCAGGGAACACTGCAGGATGACAGGCGAATTTAACAAAGCAACGCCCCTTCCATACTCACGGGAAGTCATGTGTTCGCATGGCGTGTGGCAGGTCGTGCCCTTGCTCCTCCTGCACCACCACTGCCTTGCGCCCATCCACCGCCATCACCAGCCGGCAGGGAGCATTGCAGGGTAACATACAAATTCAAACAAACCCATCATCAATTCCCACTCACGGGAAGTCATGAGTGCGCATGGCGTGCGGCAGGTCGTGCCCTTGCTCCTCCTGCACCACCACCGCCTCGCACCCATCCACCGCCATCACCAGCCGGCCGCCCGAGATCGGCCCCGTGGGCGCCTGCAGGGAGCACTGCAGGATCACCGCCTCGTACCGCATCTTAAAGCCCTCCCCTGGGTAGTGCGCTGTCACTGTGCCCAGGATTGACCCTGGAGGGTAGTTGGGCTTTGACTCGCCCCCTCCTCCTCCTTCTTTGCTGCCTTTTGTTACTGCTCCTGCTGTTCCTTTCCCTGTTGCTCCTGCTGCTGCTCCTGCTGCTGCTGATGCGCCTGCTGATTTCCCTTGTGCCGCTGCTGCAGTCCCGTTTGCTGTTGCAGCTGTTGCTCCTCCTCCTCCTTTTCCTGCTGTCTTTCCTGCCCCTGTTTCTGCTGCTGTTGCTGCAGTGGTTGCTTTGGCTGTTGCTGTCACTGCTGCTGCTGTTGCTGTGGCTGATGTTGGCTTTGTTGGCCCCTGAGACTGCTTACTGCTATCCCCTTGCATGACCGAAATCACTCCCTCCGCCCGACCTACCACTCCGCCACCGCCTGTGACTGCTGCTTTCTTCGCACCTGTACCGTCCTTGGCAGAAACGCCACCTACCTTCTGCTCCTCCTTCCTCTCCCCTCCTCCCTTCCCTCCTCCCTCCCCTCCTCCTTTGTCTCCCCGCTTCCCTTTCCCCTTCTCTTCACCCACTTCTCCTCCTTTCCCTCCTCCTTTCTCTCTTTCCTTGTCTCCTCCTTTTTCTCCTCCCTTTTCCCTACCCTTCTCTCCTCCCTTCCCCCCTTCCCTTCCTCGCCCACCTCCCTTCTCTACCTCCTTGCCTGTCTGCTGCACCCCCTGCTGCTCATTCAACCCCACTGCACCCTTTTTCACCTCATTGTTTCCCTCCGTCTTCCCCACCTCGACCCTCTTCTCATTCTCTCTTCTCCCCTTACTCACACTCTCAGCCCCACTCTTCCCCTTGTGAACCACATGCGCCCACTTTACCCCGATCTTTCCCCCACCCCCATGCCTTACCCTCCCCCCATCACCCGCCCCGTTTCCCCGTCCATCCCCTCCTTTACCCCTTCCTGCCCCCCTACCCTGTACCACCCCTTTACTTCCCCCATCCCCTGCTCCATTGCCCCGTCCATTCCCCTTACCCCTTCCTGCCCCCCTACCCTGTACCACCCCTTTACTTCCCCCATCCCCTGCTCCGTTGCCCCGTCCATTCCCCTTACCCCTTCCTGCCCCCCTACCCTGTATCACCCCTTCATTTCCCCCATCCCCTTTGCCTCGCACTGCCCCTTTACCTCCCTCATCCCTTTTCTCCCGTGGCCCCACTTTCCCACCTCCCTTGACTTCTAACAAGTGTCGTGAGAATCCTGCGCGTGCTGACATGGCTGTGCCACGTGTACCATCACTGCCACGTGGCTCATCAGCATGTGATGCTGGAGTCGTCGGCTCCCATCTGCCTAAACGCGGGGAACGGGTGCATGCGATTCGGGGGAGTGCAGGGAGAGGAGCGGAGAAGGAGAGGTGAGTAGAGGGAGGTGGAGTAGAGAGAGGTGGAGTGGAGAGTGGTGGAGTGGAGAGCGGTGGAGTGGAGAGAGGTGGAGTGGAGTGGGGAGAGGTGGGGTGGAGAGAGGTGGAATGGAGTGGAGAGAGGTGGGGTGGTGAGAGGTGGAGTGGAGAGGCGAAATGGAGAGGTGGGTGGAGAGGTGGATGGGGGGCAAGGGAAAAAGATCACAGGAGAAAGCGGATGGAGGAGGCTTTGGGGGAAAACGAATAGTGGTATCCTCCCCCCCTCCCCCCCTGCGTCTCACTCCCCCTTTCCTTATAACCCTTGCTTCCACAAACAAGCACCGTCAGCAATGCTGCTGCCACGTCATCTCCCCATCACGCCACGTCACCTGCACGAGTTGACACGTGGCAGCGAGTGCAGCGCCATGGGGGAGAGTCCGAGCACCACAAAGGATGACATGTTCAGCCGGTAGCTGCTGTACAGAACGAATCCCTGCAGCCCGTGTCCCGTGCTGACGTGGCGCCGCTTGATTGGCAGGGAGAACCGCTCCGCGTCCTCGTTTAACAGCTTTCCAATGGTCTGGTTAGGGTTGCGGTGAATGGAATCAAACGGGCAGTGGGTGGGAGTGTGGAGGGAGGGATTGGGGTGGGTAGAGTGGAGATAGGGGAGTGGAAATAGGGGGTTAGGAATAGGGGAAGTGGGGAGAGGGGAAATGGGATATGAGCGGTGGGAAAAGAGACTAGAGGTGGAGGGTGGGGGGTACAGGAGATGGGAGAGGGAGGGCGAGGGGAAATCATCAGAAGAGCATGAAGACGGGTTGAATGATAAAAACCCTGTGAAAAGTGTGGGATAGTGTCAAACGGACAAGAGGAACAGGGGAGGGGGGGAAGGGATTGGAGTTTGAAACTTCTGAATAAGCAAGCATGTCAGGAGGTGAGGGGAAGGGAAAGGGGGGAGAGGGGAAGGAAGGGGGGGTGGGTGGCTGGGTGGGTTGGTGGGTGGGGGTGAAGCATCAACACAATAAAAAAAGTGCACCATTCCGCAGCCAACTGCTACCTAGGTCGTACCGCATCCAGGTCGTACCTCATCCAAGTCATACCTGATCCCGGTTGTACCTCTGCCTGAATGCCGTCCGCTCCGCGCCATCGTTGCTTAGCTGCACTCCACAGTCCCCCTCGTTTCCGCCTCGATCGCGATGCCACGTCAGCAGCGGCTCTCGAGAATGGATCCTGATCGTCCTCGTCGCTAATACCGGAAATTGGTGACCTAAATGTCAATAGAGGGTGGAGGAAGAGCAATGCGAGGTTGGTAACGGCCAAGATGAGAACCAGGTGCCGGCTGCAGTCCCGCTTATGCTCGGATCGCGTCGTCGAGCCGCGGCTTCCAAACGGTAACGTCTTCGCCGGCGCATTGGAGCGCCATCTGCTGACATTTCCACGGAGGCCGGAATTTCGGGTCACATGAGCGAACATGTGACTCTAACGACAATTCCTCCAAGCTAGAGGGAATGTTTAGCGGGTAATATTTGTTAAACTCAACAACCAATTTCAGATCAAATGAACCCAGATAGGAGGTTCCGCCAGTGATGAGGAAAATAAGGAAATACTTTCAAGCTCATGGCCTCCTATGCGGCGGCTGGCAGGATGAAAGAGGTGACAGGGGAAGCGTGTGCGACTGGCCCATTTGTGGCCGAAGTAACGCATCAGCGAACGTTTTCTCCATGCATCGCTACCTGCAGAGCATCTCACGAATACTGTATTGGCGAATCTATTTTATCGACAAAACAGCAGCCAACCACCTAGCCGAAGGGTCGGACCAGCAATTGGTCTCAGTGCGGCTCAAATTTGAATCGATACGATCTAGAGCGGTCTTTTCAAGATTCAGAATGGTTGGTTAGGGATTCTGCAAGAACGCCCACCCAACTGAACCGCGTGCAACAAACAGGGAACGAATGGGCGGGAAAACCCACAGGCAGGACGAAGTGTGCGAGACTGGGGTCGCGCAGCGGAGAACTCTGGCCAGAGTGATAAGAATCTTTGCAGTTACCAGGTCCCGTATCTTCAAGAAACGCTTAAGGGTAACGAGTGATCTTGTAACGAGTTCGGTGAGGAACTGTAGTTCTTGTGAATCTCTGGTGTGTGAAGTTACGCGTGGCAGAGGTACATTGGTGGTCGCTGGCACCTGGCTTTGCCTCCCGTAAAGCTGGCTGCTGAAGCCTTGAATTTCTCTCGACTGATGACTGGACCTTCAAGGCTACAGTGATTCTCTGCTGGAGCACGCACGCTGTGTATGTTGCACACGGAGCGCGTCCGAAGCAGAATTCCACCCGCCCATTTCTTCTGCTACAGTAATCCGCCCGTGCCCGAAAATACAGTACAGTACTGACATGAACATGCCAGAGTAGTGTTCCAAAAACACGCACTGACTGAAATTTGGGGTACGAGTCTCAAGTTCATATTCTGTGCTGGAAACTTCAAATCACGGTACATGTCCGGACCAATTTCATGATGCAACAAGTCACATCAATTGCATCGTCTCGTCGTCACTGTCACTTGCTGTCTGGTTGGGGTTGCTTACTCCCCATTGGGCAAGGACCAGCCCAAATCTTCAACTCTCTCCATCCAGCACATCCGACCCATGTGTGATCGAACGGCCGCAAAGTCATCGCGTAACGAACAGCGGAAGGGGGGATCCTCAGGCGGCTTTTGACATGGTGGTGTGGTGACGATGACAACCCACAACGATGAACACCCAGAAGGGATAGGAATGCCCTCAATCTGGCTTTGCGGCGACTCTGTGCAATTCCTCCGCAATGCTCCGCTCTCCAAACAGGATGGACGTTGCACAGCACACGACCCCGTGCTTTTTGTTTCCCCCTTTCCATTACATTACCGCTTCCCCCGATCGAAATTTGGAACACTCCGCCGCAGCTCCGTTCCCTCCCTCGACCCTTTTCACCAGCAGCCAGGATCCAGATCATACGGAACCGAGGCGCGAAGGATGAGACGTTTGTCTTTTTTCGCATCCAGCAGCAATGCACTACCGTCCAAAGTCTGCTGATGTGGGGCAAACTGCACGAGGCGGTGGAGGGCGGATGCTCCGAAAGGGTTTCCTGGCGTCCACAGTGACACAACTCCCCTGACCATGCAAAGCTCATCAAGCGAGGGAGCGAGCCCTCCTCCATTCTTCCATTTCCGCTCCCGTCCCGTGGTCATCGCAAGTGCGGAAACTAAACCGCGTCGCGAGGTTGGGTGGTCGTGGAGAGCTGAGCTCAGCGGGGGACGGCCGTGGCGCCACGGCCTACCAGGGCGTAGGGGGGATGGCGTGGCGGGGAAAGAACACAAACACCCCATCGGGGCAAAGGGAAGCTCGAGAACTTCGAGGTGCGCTAGCGACAGAACAGTCGAGTGTCGAAACAGGCAGAGCGCGCAGCAGCAGCAGCAGGCAATGTGTAGCGCGGAACTTCTTCCCCCAACCGAACTGGAAGGCGGGTGTTGTACGTAACAGTACGGTACAGTGCTGGATGGCAAACACAAATCCAACATCGATGAGTGGAACGGGCAGCCAGTTGAACAAACGAGCGGAGCGAATGGGCAAGCACCACCAGTCCCCTCCCCAGCCAAAGATACGGGGTGGGGGAAAGAGTGGGGAAGTGGGCGCAGGGATGTATGTGGCGGATTTGATGGTCCAAAGGGAAGACGAAAACTGGTCGAGGGGTTGAAGGAGGCGGATTGAGCGAAGCAGATAGATGAAAAGCGAAGCGAGGCGAGGCGGGGAAAGGAGTGGAGAGAGCCAGACAGCAACGCGAAGGAGGAGAATCAAGGCGAGCATAGCCGAGCCAAGGAAGTTGGGCTTGTCTTGTCTTGCCTTCCTCACCCCTGACTGATTCCGGAATAACTGGCTTTCAGGGAGGGGAAAGGCAAAGCTCAGATTGAAGCTGCTGGTAATAAACAAGTACAACATGCAGTCATAAGTCACAACCAGAATTACACATCTCACAGAAACAATTAGCAATTCCAGAACTCACCAGGCCTTGCACTTAGTCCAATCATCCCACAACTGCCACGTCATGCAGTGAAATTAGAAAATGCATCTGCCGTGTTAGCTAGATCGCCTGTATCAGCACTGCGACCGTACGAGTTTAAAGGATATGCGATATGCGGTTTAGTAATTTGTTGACCGCATCGCCTTTAATCCTTCCTCATGTACTAGCAACCCCTCTTCCCACTACTCTCTTCTTGTACTAGACGTGAACCACTAGTAGATCCTTAACCTCCGTACACATCCGTTTATTACCTAGCTTCTTATACATTTCCGTCCTTCTCCTTTTCTTTGGCTTTAGACGTAGTAGCTCATCCAATTTCTATTTTGTCCCACCACCATCGTCTTGCTAAAATGGCGTCGATTCGCGTCGAATCTTCTCGAGCGAGCAAATCAGAGAAGCCAGCGTCGATTGCGACAAAATCCCCCGGACGACCACGAGCGAATCGCGTCGCCGCATCAAAGAATCGGCCACCGTTGCCTGTCGCGTTGACGCCTGGCATTCCACCAACTAAAAACCCGTCGATCGTTGTGAAGACACCAGAAATCCCGGCGGGTGGCGGTGGAGAGACGAAGCGCGTCCGCACCGGCAAGCGGGAACGGCCCTCAGCAACGGCCAATGGCGCATCGGCGAGCGGCAAGAAGCACGCGAAGGACCCGGCGACGAGAATGGCGTTGACGGCGACGGCGACGACGATGACGACACAGAGGGCGACGGTTTCGAGGGGAAACGGCGAGTCATCGGCGGCAGCCACGAGTGCCAGAGGGAAGGCGTCTCTTACTAAAGCGCAGGGCAAACGGCCCCTTGAAGAATCGCCGGAGGAGGCGATGAAGGCCCAAGCCGCGCGCTGTTCAAAGGCGACGAAGGATCCGGCGACAAAGCAGCCGGCGACGAAGCAGCCGGCGACGAAGCAGCCGGCGACGAAACAGCCGGCGACGAAGCAGCAGGCGACAAAACATCAAGCGACGAAACAGCAGGCGACGAAGCAGCAGGCGACGAAACAGCAGGCGACAAAACAGCAGGCGATGAAGCAGCCGGCGACGAAGCAGTCTGCGACAAAGGAGCAGGCGACGAAGGAGCAAGTCGCGAAGCAGGCACCGTCGTCGTCGTCGCCACCCTGCCAATCGGCCCAAGACCGATCCAAGATCTTGAAAGCAGTACGTCGCTTCGACTGCCAATCATCACCCGCAGCTTTGATGCCATTGATTTATCCCTCCGTCGGCTCTCGCCTTACCGTATTTTCTCCGATTTCGGATAGGAGAAAGGTTTCAATGCTCTCCCGTCGCGTGACGAGGGCGCCACTGCCGTTGCCTCAGTAGCGTCCTCCTCGCCAGCTTAGCGACTGATAGACAGAAGCAGGCTACAGCGGCGCACTAGTAAAGCGTGTCTTTTCAGTCGATTCAGAAGTCACTGCCGTTGCCTCAGTACCGTCATCCTCGCCAGCTTGGTGACAGATAGACAGCGGCAGGCTAAAACAGCACACTAGTAGAGCGTGTGACGCGATATGGTCATCCTTGGTCTCCCGCCGTCTCTAGACCGTGACGTGGCGGATTGCATTAGTACTGCCGTCACCGACAGTCGCCGTCGTCAACGCTGTCGCGCTTCCGGTCTGTTTCCAGACGTCGCAAACGCCACTTGTTTCCACATGGTTTGCGCTGGTACTACCGGTCGCCGCCGTCACAGGCGAGAATCGCAACTAGTATCCGCCATCGTTCGTTAATTCAGTCGTTAGATATCTGGTAGATTCGCTGCTCGTCTTGCGTAGACAGTGACGACGGCGACTAGGACTGCCTTCCTTATCCGCGCAGAAAAAAAGGCAGATGTCAGGCGGTCGGTATCTCGACAGACCCCAGAAAATTAGTGCGACTAGCGAAATCGGCTGACAGAAACGTTTTAAATAAAGTCAAAACTACGGATCTGGCCGCTGACTCCGCCGCTTGGCATTCCCTTTTGGAACTGCCACTCCGCCCAGTCCCGCCACTCCGCCCAGTCCCATGGCGTCGTTCCGTGACTGCCTCGTGCTTCATTCCTCGTAACTTCCTGGTTTCTTTCACTTTGTCCCGTCGCAAACGCAACTGGAGATGGCGAAGCGGCAGCTCGTTCCCACACATACTCAACTGCGGATCTGATTCTTAAACTGCCCGTTCGTTTCCCACACTCGTCCCGTCGCCGCCGCAGGCGCTACTGAACATGGCGAAGCGGCAGCCCAAGAGCCCCGAGGTGCATTTCTTCCTCGCGCTGCACTTTCTCCGCGAGCACCAACCCGCCAAGGTACGCGCGCGCGCTCGCGCTTTCGCGGAGTATGCGCGGAAGGTTAAATGTTCTCGCGAGGCTCTCGCGGAAAGATATTGCCCAGTTACACGCCCGGCAGTCTGGCGGACAGCTTTTCCCGCAATTCATACGCGCGCGTATCCGCGTTACGCAAATGCATGCATGCGCGCAAGCTCCGCCTGCTGTCCGCCAGGATGCGCGCGGAAGGTTCCGCGAGCACTTTTCCCAAGAGATGCGCGCTTTTCCAAAGGCGAACTTCTGTCACGGATAGCATCCATCCGTGAGATCCGTTGATCGTTGCAAGTGCTTGCTTTCCGTCACTAAGGGAGTGGATCTTGGGGGAAAACGTCTGCATTTGTGTTTTGAATTTTCTCTCCTTCCATGCGTTGAGCCCTGGTGGATGAGACAGATGTCGTATCCCATATGTGCGTGTGCGTGTGTCTGCATTTTCCCTCGTCCTCCCTTTTTTTTTACGCCGAATTCCCTGTACTTCATCACTTTCTCGACCAGGCGTTGAGCGCGTTTGAGGCCGCAGCGGCAGCAGTGGCAGCGCTGCCGGAGGAGCGGATGTCTCAACCCAGGAGGGACCTGCACTCCGCTGCGCACCGCCACATGGCACAGGTCCGTTGGTCTATTTCCGTTTGCATCCATTGCGCCACGTGCCATTCTCAAGTACGCCCTCTCTGCTCCACCGTTTCTTCTTTTTTCATCACCCCCTCATCTCCTCCCGTCTCCTGCCCCCCCCCATGCCTGCTCTACGCCCCCCTGCAGTGTCATCTAGAGCTGGCTATGCTTGCTGCTCCTGCTGCTGCAGAGACCGACCCCCACCATCATCACCATAACCAGCATCTCAATGCTTCGCAGCAGCAGCATCCGCATAAGCAGCAGAAACAACATCAGCAGAATCATCAACAGCAGCAACAACAGCATGCAGCACATGCAAACGATGCTGACGTGGCTGGTGGCGCCCCTATTACAGTTCACAAGCAAAGCAGCTCCAAGGTGCAGGGCAAAGCACAGGGGAAAGATCAGGTGAACGCGCAGGGGAAAGTTGAGGGAAAGGTACAGGCAAAAGCACAGCTCAAGGGGCCGAGGCGGGGAGCGAAGATGCAGCAGCAAGCGCAGAAGAAGGGTGAGAAGCGGGGAAAGCGAGAGCGAGAGAAGGCAGAAACAGGGTTGATGCGTCCTGCGGAAAAGCATGGAGAGGAGTGGAGCCTGCCTGAAATGGACCAGGAGGGTGGTCTCAGTGGGAAGAGGAAGTTTGAGGGGGAGGGAGCAATAGAGGGCGTTACGAATGGGTTGGATGAGTTGGATGGGTTACTTGGACTGGCTGGGTTGGTGGAGGAAGAAGCGGAGGGGAGGGAGGCGAAGCGGGTGTGCAGTGCTCTCGACATGTTTGCTGCTGTTGCTGACCTCGAACTGAGGAGAGAGGAGAGGCTGAGGGAGGAGAGGCAGAGGGAGGAGGCGTGCTTGTTGCAACAAGACAGTACGGAAGAAGAGGGGGGGGTTAAAGTTGAGGGGGAGGATGAGGGTGAACGGAAACTGGAGCAGGAGGGGGAAGAGCTGGGTGAAGGGGAGGGGGAGGGGAAGAGGAAGTGGAGGCGGAGCGTTTTTCTCAAACAAGAAGTGGAAGGGTATGGAGATGGGGAAGGTGCTGGTGTGCAGATGGGTGGAGAGGTGCGGATGGAGGTCAAGTGCGGTGGAGATCTGTTTGAAGGTCATTGTGAGGATGCAGGTGGGGCTGCATGGGGAGGAGCGTTTGTGGCGGAGGAGAATGTGGGGGAAGAAAGGGTGGAAGAGGACGGTTGTGAGGCGGTTGAGGAGGAGGAAGGGAAGGCGGGAGAAGAGGAGGAGGAGAGGGAGGAGGAGGAAGATGCGGTGATTCGCAATGTGATTCGTCATTTGACTCTGGCGGCTGCAAACGATCGCTCTGCTGCTGCTGCTACTGGTGCCTCTGCTGCTCATGCTGATGCTGCTGGTGATCCAGGTGCTACTGTTGATGCTCCGAGTGCCGCTGCTACAGAAGCAAAGGACGTTGCAGAGCAGTCACTGGGAATGCCACCTGCTGCTCCTGCTGCTGCTGATGGGAGCACCGGAAGTGGTGCTTTCTCCGGTGCTGGTGATGATGGTACTGCTGGTGCTGGTACTGCCGGTGCTGGTACTGCTGGTAACCACATGGAGGAGCAGCAAGTGGGAGAATCCCCAGCGGTAGAAGAGGGTGCTGAGCTGACCCTGGGCCCTGGTGACGTTGAAGGCGTTGGATCTCTGAAGAAAGCAGCGGAAAGAGGGGGGATGGCCACGACCAATCATCTTGCTGTCATGCTCCTGCTGTACGGGCGAACAGAGGTGCGTGTGCGCGCTGTGCGCTGTGCGCTGTGTGCATTGCGCTGTGTGCAGTGCAGTGTATCGACGCCGCCGTTCAATCTGATCAACGGTGACGCAGTGCCCTTGAAGCCGGTAGCATTTGAGACATCTGAAAGCCCTTTCTTCTCTCCACGACCCTCTCGTTTATGCACTTCAGAGAGCCCTGGACGTTCTGTCACAACAGCTGGCAAGCGTTTAGAGTGGAACAACACGTCTGATGGTGCTAGCATCATTGGAGACGTCACAAAGCCCTTTCTTCTCTCCACGACCCTCTCGTTTTTGCACTTCAGAAAGCCCTGGACGTTCTGTCACAACAGCTGGCAAGCGTTGAGACTGGCACAAGCGGTGATGCTGCTGGCAGCACTGGCAGCACGGCAAGCCCTACCGCTCCCATAGACACCGACACTCTCGCCAACCTAGGAGCTGCCCTGCTGCATGTGTAAGTGTCTTCGTGTGCCGGCGTGCTTTCCTGCTGCATCTGCAGACTGTATGTGTCTTTGTGCGGTGCATGTATAGCATCTGAGCCGTTTCTGTGCTGTCCTCTTCTCACATGCTCCCCTGCTCGCCTCCCCTGAAAAATTCCCACCTGCCTGCTTCCCTGTTCTTGCTTGTTTCAGGGGAAGGTACGATGAGGCTGCGGCCTGCCTGCAGGCAGTGCTGCAGAGGGAGCCGCAGCACCCTGCTGCTCTCTGCTCGTACTCCGCCCTGCTGCTTGCTACACAGCGGTGTCATGGCAGGAGACTTGACAGGAAAGCTGGCAGTAAACTTGACCACATGCAGCAGCAGAAGCCGCAGGTGGAGCAGAAACTGGAGCTGCAACAGGATTTGCAACAGCAGGAGCAAGTGCAGCAGCGGCAGGACGAAGAGAAGGAGAGAGCTCCGAATGCTGGTGTTGTTGTGGATGTGACGGAGACAGAAGGTGCAGAGTTGGCTCCAGCAGCAACGGGCACAGCAGGAGCAGATGCAACCATAGAAGGAGGAGAAAGCAGAGTGGTTTTTTCAGCGGCTGCAGGGGATTTGGCAGGGGTGTCAGCACAGCAGTGTGCCACAGCAGCAGTGCAGCTGCTACCGAGTTGCGGCTTCCTCTGGTGCAACCTTGCCCACGCCGCCACGCGCTCAGGCCGTTGGAAGCAGGCGGCTAAGTGCATGTCCCAGGTAACCCTCGGCATAACTTGTCTCTTTCTTCTCTTCCCTTTCTTTTTTTTCTCGGCATCCTCTGAGGGCTCGTTGTTTGTTATGATGCTAAGCCTGCCCCTCGTCGGTGCAATGCAGGCTCTGAAGCTGCAGCCGGCCAGTGCGCCTCTGCGCTTCGCAGCAGCAGCCCACCGCATCGCGACTGCTGCCGCTGCCCCTTTGCCCCCGGCCCTCGCCTCCCAGCACATCCGCTGCGGCGTTGCAGAGATGGCAGATGCGATGGGACTGCCGGAACTGACGTATGGCTCCAACGGCGTCCCAACATTTTCACGTGATGGTGCTTCTGCCATCATTTTTGGAACTGGTGCTGGTGCTGGTCCTGGTGCCACTGGTGCTGGTACTAATGTTGCAAGTGCTGGTGCTGCTGGTGCTTTTGGTGGTTGTCATGGCGGAAATCGCAAGAGCGTTTTGAGCCATGTGCCTGAGTGGATGGCGTGGGACGTGGTGGGGCATGCGCATGCAGCCCTTGAACGGAGAGCTCTCCAGGAGATTGTGACTAAAACGGGGGCGTTTGTGGTGGAAGAGGAGGCGCGGTTGACTGTAACTGGGTGTTCTGATGGAGGGAGCGCACAGGAGGGGTTGGGTGAGGAGGAGATGGAGAGGGGGGGGGGAGGAAATCGGTTAATGGCGCTGCTGGTTGGTGCAGCATCACGGGGAGAGGATGGGGATGGAGAGGAGGACGAGGAGAAGAGGTGCAAAGAAGAGGAGGAGGAGGAGGAGGGTTTTGGAAGCGGGGATGGTGGTGGGAGTGGGGAGGCGGTGAATGAGGAGCTGGCATGTGCGGTGGTGCAGGCAGAGGAGCTGAAGCTGGCCGCGTGGAAGAAGCAGGTGAGAACGAGAGTGGCTGCAGTGCAGAGAGGGGCTGTGGATTGGGGCTACAGAGTTGGCTGGTGACATAATGCCCAGAAGGTGTATGAGAGCTTGGGTTGCTGTCGCTGAAGGACCTTAGTTTCCACGTCACATTCTCCTCTCATCACTTCCTCGTCCCATTTTCTCGTCCGTCCTCTGCCCATGGTTCTGTCTTGCTAAGCTAACCTCGCCCCGTACCTACACCCTTTTCCTTTCTCCCTCTTCCCTCTCCTCTCTCCCGCTTGCTGCATTCAGTCTCTGATGGCAGCAGCAGGGGCGGGAACCGGAGCCCATCAGCTGGGCGTGCATGCGCTGCACTCTGCCATTCACTCACTTGCTTCTGACATGGGAGATGGCACCACAATGGGGGGTGCTGCTGCGGACATCAGAGATGCTAATGGTGCAGTTGAGCTGTCTTCCACGGGCTACTTTGCAGCAGCTCACTCGCACTTCCTGAGAGCTCTCTCACGCCACCAGCAATCGACAGCCACGTGGAGTTCCCTAGGTGAGCAATTCCCTAGGTGAGCAATTCCATAGGTGAGCACTTCCCTGGGTGAGCACTTCCCTAGGTGAGCAATTCCCTAGATGAGCACTTCCCTAGGTGAGCAATTCCCTAGATGAGCACTTCCCTAGGTGAGCACTTCCCTAGATGAGCACTTCCCTAGGTGAGCACTTCCCTAGATGAGCACTTCCCTAGGTGAGCACTTCCCTAGGTGAGCACTTCCCTAGGTGAGCACTTCCCTAGGTGAGCACTTCCCTAGGTGAGCACTTCCCTAGGTGAGCACTTCCCTAGGTGAGCACTTCCCTAGGTGAGCACTTCCCTAGGTGAGCACTTCCCTAGGTGAGCACTTCCCTAGGTGAGCACTTCCCTAGGTGAGCACTTCCCTAGGTGAGCACTTCCCTAGGTGAGCACTTCCCTAGGTGAGCACTTCCCTAGGTGAGCACTTCCCTAGGTGAGCACTTCCCTAGGTGAGCACTTCCCTAGGTGAGCACTTCCCTAGGTGAGCACCTTCCCTAGGTGAGCACTTCCCTAGGTGAGCACTTCCCTAGGTGAGCACTTCCCTAGGTGAGCACTTCCCTAGGTGAGCACTTCCCCTAGGTGAGCACTTCCCCTAGGTGAGCACTTCCCTAGGTGAGCACTTCCCTAGGTGAGCACTTCCCTAGGTGAGCACTTCCCTAGGTGAGCACTTCCCTAGGTGAGCACTTCCCTAGGTGAGCACTTCCCCTAGGTGAGCACTTCCCTAGGTGAGCACTTCCCTAGGTGAGCACTTCCCTAGGTGAGCACTTCCCTAGGTGAGCACTTCCCTAGGTGAGCACTTCCCTAGGTGAGCACTTCCCTAGGTGAGCACTTCCCTAGGTGAGCACTTCCCTAGGTGAGCACTTCCCTAGGTGAGCACTTCCCTAGGTGAGCACTTCCCTAGGTGAGCACTTCCCTAGGTGAGCACTTCCCTAGGTGAGCACTTCCCTAGGTGAGCACTTCCCTAGGTGAGCACTTCCCTAGGTGAGCACTTCCCTAGGTGAGCACTTCCCTAGGTGAGCACTTTCCCTAGGTGAGCACTTCCCTAGGTGACGCACTTCCCTAGGTGAGCACTTCCCTAGGTGAGCACTTCCCTAGGTGAGCACATTCCCTAGATGAGCCGGACCTTTCAGTCGACCAGACCTAAATATTCTTCACCAAACCAATATTCATCCCGCCGCCGCGGCAGCCACGTGGAGTTCCCTAGGTGAGTCGGACTTGCAACACCAGCTGTGCCCAGCTTTGTGCCACATTCATAGCCCTCCGTTTCAAAGTGGAGATGTCTCAAGCTAGAGGTTCAAACGCCTCAGCTCTGCTTTACTCGCTCACCCGCTGCATCTAACATCTTGGCTGGCACCATGCACGTATCCATCCTAGTTTTGAGGCGCCTCAAAACTAAACTTCACCCACTGCATCTAACATCCTAGCTGGCGCCATGCACCTATCCATCCTACGGAGTTACGGAGTCCCATCACATTGACTCGAGCACCATGCACCTCTCGATAGTTTCTATGTTGAACTATCTGTGTGGCGTTGTGTCTAAATTGCCACTTCACCTGTTTTGTGTGCAGGCCTCTGCCTACAGCTTTCTGGCCGTCTTGACGAATCCGAGGCAGCGTATACCCGCGCGCTGCACTGCCCATCGTCGCTGCCTCCTTGCCCTTCCACCGACCCATCTTCTCCTCCTTCCTCTTCTCCTCCTCCTCTACCTCCTCCTCCTGCGTCTGCATCCCATGTGACCTGGTGCAACCTCTCTCTGCTTCTGCGAGCCCAAGGCCGTCTCTCTGCTGCCCTCTCAGCTGCACACAACGCCCTCCTCCTCGCCCCCATGCACGGCCCCTCCCTCTGCAGCTTCGCCCTGCTCTCTGCCACCGCTGGCCGCTGGAAAGACGCTGTGGACGCATTTCAGCGCGCGAGTGAGGTGTTTAGAGGAGTACAGGGAGGCGTGGAGAGAGGGGAGGTGGTGGGGGAGGATGGGGGGGTGATGGAGGGACGGGGTGAGATGGGAGAGGGGTGTGGGTCTGGTGTTGGTGAGGTGGTGGGAGTGGGTGAGGCGGTGAGAGAGGCTGTGAGGGTGAATCTGCAGGTGGCCTTGAAATGGCAAGCACGGGCAGAGGAGGAAAGGCAGAAGGTCGAGAAGAAAAAGCAGGAGAGGAAGGAGAGGGAGAGGCGAAAGGCTGAGAGATCAGCAAGGAAGGAAGCGAAGCGGGTGCGAAAGCAGGAGAGGGTGGAACGGCAGGCGAAGAAGGAGCAGGAGAGGAGAGAAAGGGCGGAGAAGCGTGAGGCGAGGAAGATGCGGAGAGAGCAGAGGAGGCATGAGCAAGAAGCGCTGCTGCGCAGCAAACAGGAGCAGCAAAAGCTTCAGCCTGCGGCTCATTCTGAGCCTCTTGACTCTTTGCGTGACTCTCCTGCTGCCACTCCTGCTGTCGTTCCTGCAGCCGTGCCCTCTCCAGCTGCTTCCCCTGCTGCTTCTCCAGCTGCTGCGGCAGCTGCAGCCTCGGCTGCTGCTGTTCCCAAGGCAGCGCTTATGGATCTCAATGAGATGTGCGATGATGAAGCAGACGCTCCCTCCTTGGGTGCTGCTGAATCAGCTGCCCGTGGTGCTGAGAATCCCAGGAATGATGACGGTGCTGCTGCGACCTTGCGTTCGCCAGAGGAGCAAGGAGCAGCTGCGGCAGTCAGGGGCGAATCAGCTGGGGCGGTCCACCAAATCGCTGCTCCCAAAGCAGCGTCTCAGAGCAAGGACTACCAGTCCTTTGCACACAACGTTGCAGCGTCTGGATTCTCGTGGGAGGTGTTCAAGCTCCCACGACCTGTGACGCTCCCGTCAAATGGTGCCACGCTGCCCGCTGCTGCTGCCGCCATGCCTCCTTTCAACTCAGGGCCCAACAGCCAGCAGCAGCAGCTTCCGCAGCCTTGGCTGCAGCAACTGCAGCAACCACAGCAGCCGTGGAGCGGGCGGCAGCACTTCCAGCAACAGCAACTGCAACAGCAACAGCAGCAGCAGCACCAGCAACAGCAGCAGCAGCACCGGCAACAGCAGCACCAGCACCAGCAACAGCAGCAGCAGCAAGAGGCGCATACATCCAGCCAAGCTTTGGGGGGGATGCAGCAGTTAAGTCATGTGGTGCTTGAGGCAGAAAAGAGGAAGCGAGAGGCTAGTGAGATGCAGCTCCAAGGATCAGCACTGGTCCCGTCCAAGGGGAAGGATGCTGGCGGCAGTTTGGGTCAGGGCCTGCATATCCCAGGCAGGTTGAATGGTACTGTCCTGAGCGTGTTGAGAAGGCATTGCGAGGCGAATGGGCGGAATGAGATGGCTGGACCAGCGGCAGAGAGGGCGTCTCAATATGCGGCTGGTGAGATCCCTGCTGCTGCTGCTGCTGCTGCTCCTGGTGGTGGTGCTGGTGCTGCTGCTACGAATGGTACTAATGGCATTAATGGCACCTGGCATCCAACTTCCGGTCACAGGAACGGGTTGATGGAAGCAGCACAAAACGCTGTGAAGTCTTCAAACAACCCAACATGGCCAAACTTATCACACACCAACGCTGCTCTACCTCTGGCCAACTCAGTAATGGCCAGCTCAGCAGCACTAAACGCATCAGCATCAAGTGCCACCATGGCGCCGAAGCGGAGAGTACTGCTGGATTTGGAAATGCCAGCCTGTGAGCTCTCAGAAACAGAGAGCGGAGGAAACACTCCGCTGGGAGCAAGCACTCTTTGCGGCAGGGGTAACATTCCTGGCGGAGGCAACATGCGACATGGCGGGGGCGTTCCTGGTGAAGCACTTGCAAGTGGTCCTAGCAAGGGGAATGCGTTTGCTGGTGCGAACGGTTTTTATGGAAGTGGTGGTAATGCAGCAGCTGGCCAGGGGGGTGGACTGAGGTCACAACAACCAGAGGCTATGGTATCAGAGCATGCTGCTGAGCGTGCAGTGAATGGATTCCATGTGGCGCCACGCAGTGCAGGAGGCAGGGACACAGGGTCGGATCGGAATCGACTTCCGGACCTCAATGATTGGCTGACAGCATCTTGAATCGATAGAATAGAAGATATAAATCTTGCATTGATCATTGAGTTGTAGAATGATGACACAATGACAATGAAGAAGTGACGCAGCAGGGTATATATGCATCTAGCTCAGGGGTTTTTTATTAGAGTAAATTACTCTGTTTCTCTGAAAATCAGAGTGGTTTTTAGGGGGTCACTCTTGCGTGTCTGGGTAATTTTTTTGGAAGATAAGTTTTCTCTCATTTGTCAGGGTTCTGATTTTAGCTACTCTGAGAGACCAGTGTATATTTGTGGCGAATGTATTTTTCTCTGTACAGGGTATAGGCATTTCGACCGAGCCCCCCCTTCCTAAATCGGTGGAAGATGGTTGGGCAAACTTAACACGGTTATCGTATCTTCTTCAGCACTACCAACAATTAGCGCGCAGCACAACAGGTCCAGTTTTGGTAGGAGTGCAGAAGGCTTGGGTTCAATACTTGAGAGGACACTTAGAATTGGAAAAATAAAATCCCTGACTATTCAAAGTATGTTTTCGAGAAGTTAAAACCGAGATGCAAAATAGTGAACCCAAACCCAACTTGAAAGGGCGCAGGGACGAGTTTGCCGAGCGAAACGAAGTTTAGACGGACTGGGAAGTTTGTACCGTTTCAAACGCTGCGGACGTGCAAATCGAACACCTTTGATTGGTTCCCGCCAAAATTGAGACATTTTCCTGATGTGTGGCGTCGCACTTCTCATTGCTAAGCCCGCACGACAATTGCACAGGCGATCGTTTCAGTCTGTCCAAGCGATTTGGGCCCAACTGATGTTTCCGGTTGGGATGGGGTGAACTACTACCAATTTTGCGTCGGAAGTTCTAAGTAGCTAGGCTAGGCATAGGCTATGTCTCAACTTAGGCCCTCGTTATCTACACATGTATTAATCAGAATGTCCGTCGTGTTGTATCCGAAAGCTATGAGTGTAAGCTTTTCAGTCTGTCCCTTTGTGCCCGCGTTTTTCCGTCCCGTCGCCCACGCGATCTCCTCTCGCCTCCCTTACCCACGCGATTGTCGCCGCCCTTCCGTGGCTCGTCCCGCTGCCTTCTCATCGCCCATCCCATCGTCCATCCCGTCGCCCATCTCGTCGCCCATCTCGTCGCCCATCCCGTCGCCCATCCCGTCGTCGATCCCGTCGCCCTTCCCGTCGCCCATCCCGTCGCCCCTCCCTCCGCCCTTCCTATCTCCCCTCGCCTATCCTCTCCTCCGTCGCCCTTTCTCTCCCCCGTCGCCCTTTCTCTCCCCCGCCGCCCTTTCTCTCTCCCGTCGCCCTTTCTCTGTCACGTCGCCCTTTCTCTTTCCCGTCGCCCTTGCTCTCTCCCGTCGCCCTTTCTCTGTCACGTCGCCCTTTCTCTTTCCCGTTGCCCTCCCTCTCGTCGCCCTTTATCTCTCCCGTCGCCGATCCTCTCTCCCGTCGCCCTTCCTTTCTCCCGTCGCCTATCCTCTCTCCCTCGAAACAGTCATCGCCCTTCCTCTCTCCCCTCCCGTCACCCACCTCGGCGCCCTGGCGCTCGCCCCGAAATGTCTGCCCGTCGCCCTTCGTTTCTCCCCTCCCATCACCCATCTCGGCACCTTCGCGCTCGCCCCGAAATGTCTGCAAGTCACCCTTCCTTTCTCCCCTCCCATCTCCCCACACCCTACCATTCCACAATTTTCACACAATCAGCTCTCTACGTGCGTTGTCGTTTCCTTCTCGTTCTTTGTTTTTTTATTCCTGACATAAAACTTCTCTGTTTTTTATGCATTTCTGCTTTTCCTATGCTGTTTGTGCCGCTCCAGCAGGTCCATGTCTGTGTCACAACATATATTTGTAACTGCCTGTAGCTGTAGTTAGTGTAGATATTTAAACTTTGTTTGGTGGTGCACCTTATGTGTTTCCTTTGCTATATGTACTTCGAAACTATAGTGAAGCCACACATTTCTCCCAACTTCTCTTCAACTCACTCGATACTCACCCTAGGAGAAACCCGCTCGACACCTAAGTTCGGGCCTAGGCTCCTAAGCCTAGGCCCTACCTTTCAACTTAACTCTACACTCTCGTTCAACTTTCGACATGTTATCAGAGCGACGTTCGTTCTGGCCTCACGTTTCCGCTGCTATGATTTTCCGGTTGCGCGCCTAGGGCGCGTGACGATTTTTACCTTGTCCCGCCCCCGGTTGGCGTGTGACGCCTTTTCTGCCCGTCGCGCGCCCCGTGGCACGCGACGGTGCCCTTAACCTGCCCATCGTGCGCCCCGTGGCACACGATGGTGCCCTGCTCGTCGTGCGCCCCGAGGCACACGATCGGGCCCTTTCTCTTATCTTACCCGTCGTGCGCCCCGTGGCACTGGCACGCGACGGGCCTTTCCGCCCCTGCTCTCCCTGAAGCCGCCCCTGATCCATCTGCGCCGACACCGTTTAGCCGCTCTGCGGCTTTCTTCCCGCCCACCCCCCTCCTCCTTTGTCTCCCTGCAGCCGTGGGGAGGAGGGTATGGGGGTGGCGGGTGTTGGAGTGTTGGGTCAACTCTCTCCCTTCCCCTCCTCCTTCTTTCAGTCCCACTATTGTAGCTATTGTAGCTGCTGGCTTTAAGTTTTCTCTGACAAATCAGAGTAACGCTCATAAAAAACCCTGAATTTCAGAGTTCCCTAGAAAACAGCTCTGGAAATCCGAGTAGTAAAAATAAAATAAAAAAAGCCCTGGATTCCACCTACCCTTTCAGAATGACCTCATTCACACCAATAATGGTGTACCAATAATTGTACCCTCTACCCTCCAATGTTGCTAGGTTGTCCTACAATAATTGTGACAATTACCGTCAGGCCCCCAGAAGTCAGACTTTTTTGTCTGATTTGCTTGTTTTAGTCTGAGATTTCAGACTTTTTTTAGGGTGTACTCTGTAAAATTCAGAGTTTTTATTGTCTCAATTCTGTGAAAATCAGATTTTTCTCTAGGCTGACTCTGACGTTTCAGAGTTTTCCGGGAGTGTACTCTGATGAATTAAGAGTACAAACGAGTTCCGACTCTGAATGAATCTACATGCGCGCCGACACCCAGGATTAGCTGTGGTTACATGCATTGTACCTGTACCGCCGCCCTGCGGCCCGATGTTTCCCTCGTACAGCTGGATGTTTCACCCGCCCTGCGGCGCGTTCTTTCCCTCGGTGTAAGATACTGCAGCTGTTGCCATGCCACCCACGTAAACGTGATGGCAAGCAGACGCTCCTTTAGGCAGCATCGTGTACCACGATGGTGCAACATCCACACCACACACTGCAAGGATGCGCCTCGTCGTTGCCGTGCATGGTAGGCAACCACCCACACAACTCAATGATGGCCCATCTTGGTAAAGGGCCTTCGTCTTTGTGCTAGGGTCTCATCCACACCCCTCAGCTACATCTCACGGGCCCAAGCCAGTGCCCAGTTTTGCCTCAGCCATCATCTCTCTAGTTAGTTCCTGCTCGGCAGGCTCTTTCACAGCCCCGCCATGGCGGTGCTGGACAATCCCGCCACAGTCGACGACGACCCTGATGAGCGGCCTACCTTAACAGGCTTGGACTTCTTGCTTAGTACACTAGATCTCGATAAAGCTGCACGCGCCATGCCCGATACGATTCCCATACAGAAAGCACCCGCGGCTCCAGTTTTCTCACTTTCTGCCGACCATGTGGCAGAGACATCTGCGAAACCAATCGGTGATTCACAGTCGCAGATTCCGACTCAGACCACGGCGCGCACGACCCGTCTCAAGCAGGCGACCTTGACCTTCGGCAAACCTGCGTCGTCAACTGCCAACGTCACGAACGCTCCCGGAACATCTGACCGACCGCGACCTCGCCTCAATATCAATCTGGCCGAGCTCATCGAGGGAGTTTACGACGAAGCGATTGACAAGTTCAAAAATCATTGGTCTACCCGGTTTCAGTGGCTCAGAATCACTAAAACCACTACCGGCTTGCCTGCGTTCAAGTGTACCGTTTGTGCAGCCTTTGCTGGGGATGCAGGAAAGTGCGGGAGGCGCGGGAGAGGCGCCACCGACCTGCAGACACAGTCTTTCCGTAAACACGCTGGCTCGAAGAAGCACAAGCTGGCGGATTGGGAGACAGAAATATGAAGAGGAGTGCGGTGGACGGCAGCCACAGATCGACCAACATCGCGCCGCGGTGGACACTGAGAAGATGCGGACCGTCGCCCTTCTGGACTCGCTGCTGTTCATCAGCAGGTCCGACGCGCCCATGGGGATGTGGGTGAAACTGGTGCGGTACTTGTCGGAGAAGGGCGTGCAAGGCTTCCCTAAGAGAGGGTACGGCACCTACTACACCACGTGAGTGCAACTGCCGTACGCCTCTTTTTAAGTACCCACGTTTTAATAATGTTCTAACTAAATTGTTATTGACTATTGGTTCCATGTGCAGATACGGCTTCGGTGAGCTGACGCAAGCTACAGCTACATGGCTCCAGACAACCCAGCTGCAACATGTGCTATCGTCGCCCTTTTTTTTTTTGCAACTCTGTCAGATTCAGACTACAACTTTGGGAGAGTCTGACGAATCAGACAGGCTAAAAACGAATCTGAGGGCCTGGTGATGATGACGATGGATTTGCTGACTGGATGTAGGTAGGGTAGTTAGTTAGTTAGTTCTATTCTAACTGTGATCTTGTGAAGGCTAAGCAGCAGCATTAGTAGTAGTAGAAGTACTAGTATGAATGTAGGCAAAGCTGTATGAGAAGTGGAGTAGGCTTGCTTTATGATATGATTACTAGGGCTACAACAAGCACAATCAGACTTTTACTTGAGTGTACTCTGAAAGTTTCAGACTTTTTTTTAAACACACTCAGACGTTTCAGACTTTTTTTTTAGACAACTCTGAGGATTTCAGACTAATACTTAGAGAGAGTCTGACGAATCAGACAGGCCAAAAACGAATCTGAGGGCCTGATTACCGCATTGTAGGACCTGGAGGCTTAACGAGGACTACACTAAAACCGAACAGCACACTGGTATACAGTATTCGTTATACTGTACTCGGATTTCCAACAGGGTGGATGAGCAGGAGGTGACTTGCTGTGTAGTGAAGGTTGGTGACAGGTCTATGAATGATGTGCCATGTACGGCACTCTGACGCCTGGTAGGAATGCCAATACTGATGGTTCTCATCTCATCATGTTGTACTGACTCCATCAATGATGTCTTGCAGTCAATTCAGCTGACGTTGATCCATTTTATGCTGGCTGAAAGGATCCAGATTGTTTATGGTGTTGAAATATGCTAGCTCCGCTATGAAAATTGCAGTCTTCCTGCAATGTGCACAACACAATGGTCAGTCACTAGCACAAGTGGTCACACCCACTTGTCTATCTGTTGCTTCCAGCCACCAGCAGAAACAAAAATACCAATCCAAATCTATCCTTCATAAGATGCAAGATCTAGTGGAGATAACCAGGCATCTTGATCCGCAGGAACACCATGCTCATCGTGTAGCTAATAACCACCATGGACAGCCCAGTACCCAGATACACCAGCCGCATGTTCTTCGTTTGCAGCTTGTCGCAAGCCCAGTCGATCAGGACAATCCCAAGGCCTCCCATCACGAGCATAAATCCGGACGAAAGGCCTTCGATAATGTACTGCTGGTTAAGTCTTCCAGCCATTATGACCTCGGGAACGAATTTTCCCGTAGCCTCGTCCTGATGGCCGCCGATGCCGGGAGGCTCGACAATCATATCGAAAACGATTCCGGAAACGACGAGGAAATAGCTGAAAACTACGAAGCAGTAGACGACCATAGGATGGGGGAAAGAGAAAGTCGGGAGCTTCAGGCGGAGCTTCGGGGGGCGGAGAATGGCGTAGGGAAGGCTGGTCAGGTGGAAGAACGGGTCTAGGGACGCCATGGCGACTGATACTGAGAAGTAACAATTCACGAGGATCTCAGGTAAAATGCCTGGGCTGAATTGAAGTCTCAACTTGGGGATAACTGGGGAAGAGGGAGAATGAAAGGTGGGAAAAAGAAGTGGAGGGGGCAGATCCCGAAGTTGCTGAACTCGAATCTCTGTTTGGTCTTTCTGTTTAGAGAATGCTATCTAAAGTGTACCCTTCGAATGCGTGAATCCTGATATCTTAACGTTTTGTCCCATGTTCTGATATCTTCACGTTTTGTCCCAGTGTAAGGAATTTTCTCGATATTCCTTAGCGCATCCGGCAATATCGCGTACAGCAGCAGCCGTTGATCGCCCGTTACAGCTAACGGGGCTTCGCCGACTTTCGCGTGCACTGTTTCACAAAATCTCGCACTGCTGGCCCGGCCGTGTCGGCCTACGCTTCGAGACCAGCCCGAACCTCACTACCAACGTAGCACTAGCTGGCTTGCACCCACCGCATTACCGTTTTGCATGTTTCGTGTATAAATGTTCCCTCATGCCTTCGCTCACATTTTGTACTCATTTGACACTTAGTGCAATCCTCGCTATCTCGATTCATTGCACCCGTAACACTTGGTATCACAGCTACTTTCTGTTACGAATAGTAATACTTGAATATTACTGTGCACACCTCACCGTAGCAAAGTCGAAGCACGCACTATCGAGAGTGAAGACGAAAAGGCAGAAGAAAGGCGAAGGGACAGACAGTTACGAGGAGCATCTGGACCGTCGGGCAGACAGCATCAGGCAGCAGCAGTGGCGAGGATTCTGCCCGAACAGTTACGTAACCACTCGGAGTCGCACGGTTGGATTTCGCTGCAATAAGG